CTATCTATCTATCTATCTATCTATCTATCTATCTATCTATCTATCTAAACTGAGTAGTTGCTCTTTCATTGAGGAAGCAGTTTCAGTCTCAGAGAGGCATGTGGCTCTGGTTGGTCGTCACTATTTCAACAATTGGATGCTTCCTGTTCCGAGCCTGAGAAATCTGTGGTCTCACAAAGATTATAGGTCACCGAGAAAGTATCCACAGGAGGCGAGCAGGAACTGGGGCAGCGTTTGTAAGACTCAGTTATTATATTGCTGCATGTGGGCCAACGGCAGGCAGAGCCTGACTGAGAAACCGGGCCAGCACAGTCAGCGGCAGCAACCTGAGAGGCTGTCAGAAAATGTAGGTTAACCATAGATTACGTAACACGGACAGCACACCCGAAAAGCCCACCGCGATTTGGCCCCACTGTTTTTTTTCTCACTGTAGGCCGGAGATAAGATCAGCCGTTGGAGACAAAACGCTAGTGTGTGACCGGGTTGAGAAAAAGCCGCTCTGAATTATTGATTCTTCACTGTGATTCCCATGAGACGCGAAAGCCAATCGAATCTGACAGAAATGGAAGGAAGTGCGGGTCAGTTTACACACTGACTGTTGTTGGTGCTAAAGTGACCGTAGGCCGTGGAGGAATGCTCGTGTTTACAGTCGCAGCTCAGGCTCACCTGAAATATCAATTTTGCTGCGTGGGTTACTACCTCCAATCTGTCTGAGCTGCCTAAAAAAGATCAGCCTCCTCCTCACACACACAAATGACACTATAGTGGTGAGAGGCTGCAAAAGGAACAGGAAACTCCAACTGTAGCTCACCGGTGTATTTTTGTCCGAGCAGTGCAACTGTGCTATTAATAGTCCCACAGCCTCATAGAGTACTTTCATCATGCGCTATGACACCAAGATCTGAGTAATGATGCACAAAGTGGATGCAGCCTCGGTGATGCTGGAAATCCAGTTTTAGTCCACGACGAAAAGAAAATGACGCAAAGATTGGGATTGACTCTTTTTTTGTTTGCTGAATCTTTTCTCACTGGTTCGTCACCGGTGTTTACACCCAACGCAGGTCAGTGGAAAAGGGAAAGCCAAAGTGGGTCACATTCTCACAGCCCAGCAGCACTGGGCTGGAGACGGGCCGTCCACATCAGACATCGGGGCATTTTTTTGGTTTGACCCCTCAAACTGATGTGTAACAACGTGTGGGTCAAAAGTTGAGCTTAGTCTTTGGGTTTATCTGTCTGTCCATCTGTTAATCTGGCACTCTGTCTGTCTCCTTGAGAGCTCAGCCTCATTTTCCTCCTAGTCGTTTACGCAGAGCAACCTATGATTATCTTTAAAAGTAGAGCCACTGGAATGTTAATCTTTGGCCTCTTGTCCTGAAAACCCTCAGTTTGGACATTTCAAAATGAGCATGAGTATAAACCTGCACAGATAAACTTTACCTAATGAAATGGTCCGCTGTTCATGTTTAGCATGCAGGCAGAGAAGGTGATTTGTCAAAGAGGAAAATGTATAGGCTTTACTAGGAAACACCAAGATCCAAAATCTTATTTCTATAAACAGCTCTGCTCTTCTCAAAGGAGTGTTCTGGAGTTTATGGAACAACAACATTACCGGAGTCATTTTTTCTGTGAAATACAATGAATACCACAAGAAGGTGTTACCTTTAACAAGTGCCTCATCCCCATTTCCATGACAAGCCTGGAAGCACACAAACACAAAACACAGCCTGTTGGTGACAGTGTGCATGGGATGACAATGAAAATACATATTAACTTGATTACATTCAATTAAAAATTGAGTACTCTTGTTTTTTTTTTACTTTATCTGAATGTCACGGAGTTTCCTTGAGCTTAAAATGATAATAACTAAAGTTATTTGTAAAAAAGTCAACTCGTAAATATCCAGTTGGAGTGAAAACAAACGCCCAGCTTTGCGCCTTCTGATAATAATCTCCAGCTGGAGGTTTAGAGGCTCGTTATTTACCAGCTCATCACTGTTGGTAACAGCACAGTGTGAACTAAACAGACAGGAATCTGTGGGCCGCAGTGAGTCTCCCGCCTCTCCATGTGTCACCGTCTGCGTCAAGACACACAGCGAAGGCACAAAGACCACGCTAGCAAAACAAGATGATACCATCCTTCGCACTTCCGGGTTTGTTTAACATTGTTCTGATTTAAAACAACATAAACTTTCGTTGAAAGTTATATATTTTCAATTAAATAGCTCAAATAACATCTCAATGGAGGCTAGAATTTTACAAATGTCGGCTTAAACGGGGTTTTCTGTGATTGTGAGTTAAACTAATCGTTAGGCAGCTCTTCCGTAGTCGCGTGCAGATGGTTGGTCCTTTAAATAAGGGGGAACTATCTTGCTCTAGCTCTAGTTTCTGTGGGAGCTCCCAGCCAGTGTTCTCATATTCACACTGTCACTACTGTGCGTAGCCTCACATAAACACAGGCGGACACAAAATGCACAGCTGGCCGGGCAGCGGACAGGACCGATAACTTTGTGTCAGCCTCAGCCCTCCGTGCTGTTATGCTGTCTTTAACTTTGTGGTGAGTAACCCAACACCATTATTTGACCGTACCATAATATCTTAATGCCTTAAAAGTAACTTTGAAGTTGTTTTTTATGTGAACCGCTTTCTGTTATGTGTATGGATACTCAGTCGCTTAAATAACAGTAACGTAATGCTAATTATTCCGCTTATTACCATGTCGGTGCGAGTAAACGAGTTCTCTTTTCTGTTTTTGAGACACACATGTGTACATATTTATATATACATGAACCCGACGTCATACTGTGTTAACTGTGTGGGGCGCGAGAGGAACTTTTTGGTTAATTGGGCTGGGTTTAAACGGAGGCCGGGCCCACGGTGTTGGGCAGCGGGGAACAGTGTTGTCATTGTGGCTTACGGGGCCCACCGCGGTGTCTCCCTCCGCCGGGGGTGAAGGGGTCAGCCGCCCTAATTGTCATGCCGAACAGGAAACGACTCCGGCGGAAAAAAAAACCCGGGTGACATCCGCGTAACATTCCTGAAGGGGATTTTAAAGTGTGCGTGGAGACGGAGGCGTGACGGCCGCGCGCTGAGGTCGCGCGCCGGAGTGCGTGCTCCTGTTTCCCAGCGGCGTTTCTGCCCTTTGGGTATGTGAGCCGTGTCAAAAACCGCTATAGTCCCTCTGAGTGTGCGCGCGTGCGCGCCCGCGTGCGCTTCGCTGCTGTGAATCTTCTAAATAATGGATGTCGTCTCAGTGGAAGCCTGGATGTACAGTGAAGTCTCCGCTCTGCGGGATGTGCAGTAGAGGGGATGTAAGTGGGCCAGGAGACAGCCGTTTCATGATTTGAGCCGGAAGTCAGGTAGTTCCAGTCACTGCTGACAGAAAAAGGCCTGCAGAGCAACGTTTAAACTTTGCCACAGCTCCAGAAACTCACTGAGCTGTGTCCGGTCTCACCTCTTATTTGCAATGAATCCAGGAAGTACACACAGACACACATGCACAGACACAGACACACACACACACAGACTGCAGCACACACACTGGTTTATTTGGTTGCTATTTGCTTGCCTCCTACAATCAGAAGTCTTTTGTCTGTTGGACCGTGACTGACTGTGTTTCTGTAAAGGATGACTGCATTTTATTTGACATGTTTGACATGTTATGTTGCCACTAAAAACATATCAAAGCAAACATTTGTAAATTTTTGCTTTTGATTAATTTGATGTTTTTTCAGCCAAAGAATCAGTCAGTCAGTCAAGAATTTTGACAATGAAAAAGCCTTTCCTATGGATCGCTGCCTTCAAATTGCTGTTGTCTGGATTTATTTTCCATGTTCAAGTCCAAAAATAGCTGCCGCTTGATCCATTACACGCCCAGCCCACAGCATACTACCAAAGGACCGTCCGTTTCCACGTATTCTTCACCAAAAAAAACTGGAGGAATCACTGGAATGTTAATTACTCTGCGGGGAATGGAAGACGAGCCTCGATGTGTGTTTTTTTTCTCTTCTTCCTGTAACTCAAATGTATAGCTGTTTATAACTTCCAGTAAGATTTTAGCTCTTGCGAGCGCACTTCTGTGAGTTGGACGATCTCCATCCAGATGTAAAGAAAGCCAAACAGACTCTCGTCCTGAAACCAGCTTGACCAGTCGGTGTGTCTGAACACATCACTCCCTTTCACTTTCCATTTATCATGAATTCCTTAAATGATTCATGGATCTCCTCTGACAGATATATCTTACTGGAGTGGTAAAATAAGTGCTGATCGTTGCCTGGAGCCAGATTCTTCATCCCTTTGGTTTTCTTTTATTATTCATAAATGAAGACAGGCTGCTTGGATTTGACACCGGTGCCCCTGTTCCCTTCTGTTTGTGTAGATTGTACATCAAAGACCACTGCCAAACAATGAGAGGCGCCCTGAAGAGAAAGTTAGACGAGGACGAGAAAAGTCCCTGCTCTTCCTCGTCCTCTTCGTCTCCATCCTCCCCCTCCTCCCCCTCCTCCCCCGCCTCCTCCGGGTGGGAGTCTGAGGGGGACAGCGGCTCCTCTGGGAGCCAGCACTTCTCACCTCGCCGTCCCGCCTCTCCCAGCTCTCTGCCCGGTAAGTACCGCTGCCAGGCACCACTGTTTATTTTCCCCCCTTCTTTCAAATAATGCAAACCTCCTCCTTATCAGCTCGTTTTCCCATCAGCGTTTTATAGGAGTGTCTCTTATCGCCCCGCGGCAGCAGTTATGAGTGAGTGATATGAAAACGCCAGCCGCTCGGCCCACTCCAGATAACACGCACGGAGTCAATCGCCTCTGCGGCGTACAGGCTCATTTGCCTAAGCTGTAGGAAGTTTTTTCATCAATTTGAATGGCAGAGTTGCCTTATACAAGTCATATCAAATGGCTTTTTTAAGCTAAATGTAACTCCACTCGCCGTCTGTTGGACGAATGCCCGTCTGTGACAACTTGACAGAGATAAAAACTGAATCGCCACACGGCAGCTGGAGGAAAACTGGAGGACATAGAGGAGGAAGAAGGTTTAAAGGGTTTGGGGGGGGGCTAGATTAACCTCCTGAGGCGAAAGAAGATGGACTATACCATATGTGCCAGACTTAATGGATCCGGGAGGGAAGTGTTTTGACAAACCGGAGCTGTAAAGACAAGCAAACTTCCCTCTGATTTGACTCCCTCTTTCAGCTGGAGCGATGTCTAATGTTCAGCCTCCTGGTTCCGTCCCGCCACCTCTGCATGCTGTTGGTCTCTCACTGTTGCATTAGGCCACATTCTTGGTATTGCCTTTCAGTGTTTGTGTTGGACTTCTGACCCCATAAAAGTTTCACTCCAGTTTAGGAGCTGTGTTCACCAAGCATGAAGGAACTAGGAACTTTCAAAAACACATCTATCTATCTATCTATCTATCTATCTATCTATCTATCTATCTATCTATCTATCTATCTATCTATCTATCTATCTATCTGTCTATCCTCTTTGTGTTCTCTCTGTATTTTTATCAGACCCCCTGTTGAGACTTCCCGTTGCACGACGTGATCTGATGTGTTTGTTTTTCTAACCCGACCAGTTCGCTCCATCCTGAAGAGGCCCGGGCTTACCAAAGGGCAGAGCAGCGTGTGCTTCGGTCAGGTGACTGTGTTCAGCTTCCCCCGCTGCCAGGGCTTCAGCAGCGTGCCGGGCCGCGGGGGGGCGTCTCTGGGCATGGCGTGGCGGCACAGCGCCCTCCGCAGGTTCACGGTGGCCGAGCACGCGCTGGAGCGCAGGCAGAGGCGCACGGAGAGGCTGAGGCAGGACAGGATGGAGGCCCTCACACAGAAAGTGAGCTCCCGCCCCCACACCCGCCGCCCCTCCCGCTCCCCCGCGCAGCCCTCCGACCCTGTCGCTCTGCTTCCAGCCAATCGAAAGCGGAGCCGTCGAGCAGCCCGAAGCCGGCAGCCTCCCTCTGGACCGGGTCCTGGACGAGGACGCTGACGGCCCCGGTGGTGACTCCGAGCAGGAGGACGGAGGTTCCCTTCAGCCCTTCTCCTCCAAACAGCGGCAGGCCCTCCTCCAGGCGGCGGGGGTGACGTTCATCGACCGGGAGGAGAAGAGGCAGCTACACGCCCTGCGGCTCTCCAGAGGAAGCTGTGGCTGTGACTGCCAGGGCTTCTGCGAACCCGAGACCTGCGCATGTAACCTGGCAGGCATCGGTTGCCAGGTACACAAGTCTGACAGCACATACACCTAAACACTAAAAAGCAGAGAGGCAACAGACAGTGTCAGGGTGGATATAAGCTCACCTTATCCGTGATGATAGGCGAATATAAGACACTTTCATTTAGCCTCTCAGTGGGTTTTAACTTTACACCCGGGTGGAAACATCCTGACTCATGTCTCGCTTTCCTTTCTGTGCCTGACAGGTGGACCGCTTCAACTTCCCGTGCGGATGCACAAAGGAGAACTGCGGGAACACCCGGGGGTGCGTGCAGTTCGACAGCAGGCACGTGCGCACCCATTACATCCACACTGCCATGAGGCTGGAACTGGAGCGCCGGCTGCAGGAGGAGGGGCGGGGCCCGGGGGGCCCGGGGGGCCAGACGGGACTTCCCGAGGAGCTTCACGAGCACGGAGACGAGGAGGAGGCTCATCGGGCGCAGAGTGCAGGGGACAAGAGATGTCCGTTTGGGTTTACTCTGGAGGAGGACGGCCTTCCTCTCACCATGCCCGCTGCTCCCGCCTTCCATTTCATCCCCGAGCGGCTGGCCGGAGAGGAGAACAGCTGCTGCAGCGACACCACCGAGTCCTCCTGCTCCTCCTCCGACTCGGACGCAGGAGCTCCCCCGAGCGGGGGGAGCAACGGAGGTCTAACCTCCGACACAGACGAGCTTTCGTGCGTCCAGCCGATGGAAACACAGGAACCACTAACGCAGCACAGCAGCAGCTCAGAGCTGTCTGAGCTGTCTGAGCTCAGCACCGGAGCTCAGACCCCCAGCCCCCTGTCAGAGGACGGGAGGAGGGCCTATCTGGACGAGAACGCAAATCAGTCCAGAGACTTCTTTGACGATGACTCTCTCGAGGATTTCCCCAACACCCCCTCTCCCACTGTGGACTACTCCTTAGGCAGATACATGGACCTCAGCCTGTCATCTGACTCCGACCTGGAGTTTTTTGACAGCGACTACCCCATCGGACCTCTGTGCAGCTTTTTCAAAGAGCACAGACATTCAGGCAGCTTTCAGCCCCTCCAGCTGTTTAGCTCTGTGAATTTACCACAGTACGAGTCAAGCACTCGCCTCCTAGAGTCTCTGATCGGCCTGACCTAATCCAGAAAGGACCACATGCAGTTTCCATAGCTGATTTGTAAAATAGAGCAACAACACATCTGAGAGAATATCTGTAAAGAGCACTGATTTTATATATATTTGTAATATGATTTTACAAAGAATGATTGATAATGTATTTTTCCAAAATACATTTTTTCTACTGCCTTAATATTATTTTCTCTTCTTCTTCTTCTTTTTTTTTTTTTTAGAAAGAATGCACACTTAAATACTTAATATTTGCCTCCTTTTTAAAACCTGAAACTTAATGATACCTAACGTGTTTATTGAACTGTTTTTACCATGGACACCAAAAAATAATTGGATTTCCTTGAATGCTGTTATAATGCTATTTTCAAAGGTAATTTTGCTGAAAGTGAACAGAAGCATGTTGAGACAGAGTCATCATTTCAGGAGCACTAATGTGGCGTAATGCAGAATGAGCCACTTCAGCACTTCATTTTCACATCATGCTCACTGTGGATTATTTTGAACATTTGTACTGGAGTTGTGAAATAAAATATTCTTATTTATTTTACATTTGTTTCATGGGTGGCAATTATTTGTTTTGTGGAAAAAGTACAAAACAAAATATACTAGTCTATTAATGCATGTTAATACATAATACACAAAATTTAGATTAAACCTTTATTCTACCAAAGTAGAAGGCATGACTGCAATGCAACACAACAAAGTAAATTGAAAGAAAATAATAGTTTGATATAAATCTATTTTAAAATCCCTTTCCTGTCGCTAATTAGTTTGGCATTTAAACGTAGAATTTTTCTGGACTACATCATAACAACGAAAGCTGGACAATGCACGCATGCGCGGTGCCTTCCAGTTCGACGGAAGCCCGTGTGTGCTCGATTGTTTTGGTCTGCTAACAAGATGGTCGTGAAGTGTCAACCGTAGAAATTACCTGTTTTTTTCCTAACGAGAACACTAATAACGTAAATCCGATAAGAATGGGGTTATCACAGAGTTCAGAAGTATCGGAAGGAGGGACGTACGGATATCACGTGCACGGCGTAAGACGAAGTGATTTTGAAATTGGAGCAGCGCGTGCAGCACCTTGCGAAATGTTGCCGTGTGCTAACGGCTAGCTTAATGTTTACAGTGTTAAAGCTGATGAGGTGGCAGTGCTCACCACAATTTGGCACACTTGGATGAAGATATCATGAATTTATGTTCCTAGAAGTGCAAGAAATTAGCTTAAATGTAGCAATTTAATGTACCGGTGCTCTCAGTGGGTGATATTGAGTGGTTGTGCTTATGTGTTGTGTTTAACTATCCTATAAAAAAATACGTATTCAGCTCGTGAACTAATCTCTTAAAAGAGGAGACATTTTACAAGTCACCGTTTAACCTCAAGCTTCGTTGTATGATATAAAAAGTGGGCAGGACTAAGTTGTATTACGGTGCTATTGACCTTGATAAAACATTCATGATTTAAGCCCTATGAATATGAGTTTGAATAAAAAAAATAGATGATTTTGATTATGGTGATTGAATCATTTTTTAACCTTAGTTATTAACATTTTGAGGAACAGTTGTGGAGGCCTATCTAAGACTTTTAGAGCAATGTTCATATTCATTTGAAGTTATGTCATTTTTATTTAATTAGATTAATCGTATAAAGACGACCTGTGCTGGTTTTGGTAGGTTCAGCCCAGTTCTCCAGCAGAAAAGGCAGGACTCCAGCCTTTCTTCGACTTCATTCTGTCTTTGGACAGCAAAAGGCTCGTAAGTATGCTGCCGCAAGATTGCAAGACTTTGACAGCTGATCTGAAATGTCAAAAGATCATAAACATATTTGCAGCATGTTTGTTGCTATGAAACAAATCCTGCCTAACCCCCCTCCCCCCTTTTTTCTCCCACCAGAATGAAGAGAACGACCTGTTGAAGGAGCTCCTGAGAGCCAACATGGAGAAAGCGGTGAAGATGGAGGTGTACAGCTCCAAAACCACCCGGGTGCGTGAGCTGGAGGTGGTGCCCAGTAACATGTGGGGGGGCCAGGGTCTGCTGGGGGCCAGCGTCCGCTTCTGCAGCTACCAAGGAGCCAATGAGAACGTGTGGCACGTGCTGGTGAGCAAAGCCCTCAAAACCCGCTGATCTTACTGGGATATTGCACTAACAGGTGCATGGACCTTATATGTCCCCCTCCCGCCCCCATTTAGTCCTCTAAACTAAAACTGTTTCCTCGTAGGATGTGGAGCCCAGCTCGCCTGCAGCCCTGGCAGGGCTTCAACCCCACGATGACTACATAGTGGGAGCAGATCAGGTTTTGCAAGACGTAAGCCTCCTAAAATCACACGTCCTCACTTATGTTCAAATATGGTGTCAAGTGAAGGCTGACACCCAACATCAGTACAGAAAATATGCAGATGGACATAGGAAAACAAAATCCAGCAAAGGGCTGACACAGGAGTGAGGATCGTCTCCTATTTCTGCCCCCGCTTGTTCAGTTTCTCTACATTTTTAACAACACAACACACTCCGTTTAGCACGTAAACAAACGCTTTGACCACATCCGAGTGTGCGGCTGACTCTGGGTTCTCGGTTGCCAGTCGGAGGACTTCTTCTCGCTGATCGAGGCCCACGAGGGGAAGCCCCTGAAGCTGCTGGTGTACAACACACAAACCGAGGCCTGCCGAGAGGTGGTGGTCACCCCCAACGGAGCGTGGGGGGGGGAGGGAAGGTACGAGCCAAAGAAAAACACAACAACCACAAAACCAGAGGGATTTCCTGCATTTGCAGTGTAGTTTATCTTACCCTCTTATTTGAGGAAATAAAAATGCTTATGAAGGGTTTTGTAAAATGACATGCATAGAGATAGATTCTGTTGCTTCTAACAAACTTATACCTGATTGTTTTGTCAGTTTATTCAATAAATAAAATTAGGCAGAGAAGAGCAAAACTGGTGTTTTTTTAGCAGGTTTTTCAAAACAAAAGTAACTGGTGCTCCATTTGAACATTTCTCCTCTTAGTCTGGGTTGTGGCATCGGCTACGGCTACCTTCACCGCATCCCTGCTAGTCCCGATGCGTCCACAGAGGAGCCCACCCCCCCCGTTCCGGAGGAGGACCCCACTCCCCCGCCGCCCACACATGGATACACAGAGGTAAATCTCCCCGTGGGCCTGAACCATGCACTAAAAGCCTCAATAATCCCATAAACCAGTGTCTCTTTAGCTCCTTTTCCTGCACGTTCAGCATCTTTGTCGTTTGCTGGCTTCCAGGCACCTCTGATGGCTCCTTCTGGCCTCAGTGAGGAACTGTCAGGCGCGGATCCGGTCGGCCTCCAGGAGGCGCCGCTACCTCCGCCCATTCAGAGAGTCATGGACCCCGGTCAGCACACATCCCGTCACCCCCCCGCCGCCCTCCGTGGCTGTGGGGTCCCACCACAGACCTCTGATTGTTACAAAACCGTGTGTTTGTCGTTTTTTAAGGCTTTTCCGAGTCAGATGTGGCGGCCGTGAACCCTGACCCCGCAGACCTGCTGGACAGGCTGGATGTATCCGTGTCCTCCATCGACATGACCAACACGTCCCTGGCCATGCACGAGGAGAAGGACGTGGACGTGGACGTGTCCGGCGTGGGTGAGGAAACACGCCGGCGGTCTGCAGAGGTTAACGGCCGTTAACCCAGATGGTCCCTGACATCTTTTTTTTGTTTTTTGGGTCCCACAGAGGAGCTGGAGGACAGTGTTATTCTTTCGTCGTCCACGGAGCTCCAGAGTGACCCCCCTGAGGCCGCCGCCCTGGACCTGACCGCCTCCCTGCCCTCCACCGACTCGCTGTCCGACTCCGGCCTCCCGGGGGCCGGGGCCTCCCTCCCGCTGTCCGAGGCCTCGGACCCCCAGAGCCTGCTGGGGGAGTGCAGCCCCAGCCCCCCCATGGGCGTGCTGTCCATCCCTGACGAGCCCTCGGCTCCGGCCGCCGACCAGACCAACGGAGCGGACTCTCCCCCCGAGGCTGTCGTGGACTCACAGGGGGGGGCCCCTGAGTCTGCAGAGCCCCTTAACGTGACCCCTCCTCCCCAGTGCGAGCACGAGCACAACGAGGAGGACCCAGAGGAGGCGCATGAGGACTGATCAGGTCTGTACACAGAGCAGAGATTTAAGCTGAGGCTGACAATCGATTTTTTTTTAGTTTTTTTTTTAGCAACACATGCGTAGGAGCCACAGGTTAGCCTGAGCTACACTGAGGGGGGGGTGGGGGGGCTGTTAGGCTACGTGCTGATACACTACATGAAAAAGTCCCAGCATGAATGGAAAAGGACAGCCCCCCCCAGTTACTGCAATAATATCCTGTTTGTCTCTATATGTGGGAATGGAGTTACTTTAGGCCAAAAGGGTTTTAGTTTGGACTTTTTTTTTTTTTTCTCTCTTTTAGATCACACGGGTAATGATCCTTTGCTTCTGGAACATCTAAAGTGACATATACTTGAATACTCCCAAAGATAAACATATTTTACTGCTGCGGGGCACAGTCAGAGCCCTCCATGTTCTGAGGAAGCATCGTTTACGTCACTCAGATGGGGGCTTTTAAAAAACGACTGAGCCCGGACATAAAGGGCTTTCGCTGTATAACTCTAAGTCCTGTTGCATTGATGAGAAGCACTGAGTGCATGTTTTTACACCAGGTCGGCTGAGGTCAGTTAATTTTAAACAGTATCTTTTTATTATTGTTTTTTTTTAAGTCTTGGAGCTTGTGACAAGTTTCGGGTCAGACTTTTAACAGCCAGTCATTTGCCCGAGTGGTAATTTAGTTATTTCCACTTTTAGTTCATATGATCTATGCAAAGTACCATGTAAGTATGTTGTGTATTTCCAGTAGAGGGAAACCCTTCTGAAATCCGAGTCCAGCATCATGGAAGTACTCTAAATGAATATTAGTTATCTGCTTCTCTTTTAATGGGGCTTTTTATGATTTGTTTTAGTCCAAGTAGGTGCTAATGTTAAAAATATGGTTAATTATTTTTGCAGGTTTTATTAATGGATTGTATGTGTTGATAGGAATGAGTGCAGAGGCTTTAATGAATGTAAAGGGTGAAACTTTGATTGTTAAACAATCATATCATTTGACTTAAAAAAAAAAAGTGTCCCTTGTTTTTATTTGACTCACCAGCTGAACATGTTACAACTTAAACATCCACCTCTAATCCCCATACATCCTTCATTGTTAAACCATTCCAATTTATTTCTTTGAATGCCTAAAATATACATATTTCACAAATTATTACAAGGAATATTGCAGAGTTATGGCCTAATTGTGGTACACATCTTGTTTTTGGCCAATTTTAGAGCTCGCCCGATGCGTCCTCCGTTATGGCGTTACACACACTCGTCGTGGCAAAATTAACTCCGGACAATTTACAGTGAAAAGAGCGACGCTCTGAGGGAGAGATGGGTGTTAGCGTGGGTGAACTTCCCACAGTGGCTGGATGCTCATAAACTCCACCGGATGAGATTCCCTGTTAAAGTTATATTTACTCTTATTCAGTCTAAATGAAATATACACCAATAACAGCCCTCAGCGTCATCAGTGTCACCCAAACACAGCATGTAGTTACGAGTTACTGTAGGATATATACCTTATACATAATTTTCCAATTGCTAAGATGACTTTAACAACTAGTTTCAGAGTAAACTTGAATTTCTGGGTTGCAGTGAGTACAACAAATGCAATTCTTAACATCCAAGTCACATTACCTTCATAATCATGAATGTGCTCTGGGGATTTAGGGGAGGAAAAAAAAAACTATTAGTTTTTAAGGAAACTGTACAAGAGCAACAAAAGAGAAAAAAATAATGCTGCAAAACCAAAAGAAAGTCATTTAAATCAACAATGGTGCCGGTATATTTACAAAAAAGAACATTCATTCCATGGAGAACAGCACAGCTAAAAGTAAAGACAAAGACTGGACTCTGTCAGTGAGGTTTAAGCTCTGCGACATTTAGACATCCGCAGCTGGGTAAGTTCAAGTTAAGGTGGTGTCTTATTCAGGGGGGGGGGGGATGCTACCCAGAGACAAGTGTTCTCCTGCCCGGGTTCAAAATGTTTGTGGGACAGGAACAGTTTCTGGAATGTACTAGAGCAGAACAGTCTACTACATCCATGTGCAGACACACACACACACACGCGCGTTCGGACACAAACAACGAACCGCAACTTCGGCCGCTTTGGAAAAAAAAAAAAATGGGGAAAATAAGCCAATCGGAAGGAAAGGGGGATGAATAACTGAAGAAATTTAAGAGAAAAAAACAAACAAAAACAAAACACATTTGCTGAAATTAAAAGTCAAACAATCCCTCAAACTTTTATAGAACCATCATGGACCCCCCCCCCCCCCTCCTCAGGAGTGTGTAGGCTGCACCGGACAGCTCAGGTCACTTCCCTATGACACACACACACCCCCCCCCTTTGAAAATTTACCAGATTCTCCTACTGCGACGCTTGACCACACAATGGGGGTTAGGGGAACTATATGTCAGAGGTGGGTGGTGATTGGCAAATGAGAAAGAGTTCTGCTCGTAGAAATGAGGACTTTCACGTGGACTTCTGCCTATAGTGAAGTGTCAAGTCCCCGCCGCTCTTCCAGATAAAATGTTTAACTGTTCGCAGGTCCATGTTGGGGTCTAGAACCTGGCAGAGAGACAGAGGACAGCAGAGCAAAACGATGTTAGGTGAAGGCGGGGGGGGGGCGTTTGGGGGATGGCGGGGGAACGGGGGCCCACCTGGTCCTGGCACATGAGCTCGATCTTCTCCTCGGCCAGCATGGCCATGTCCTCCTCCTTCTCCTGCTCGCCGGGCTTGTCGTTGGCCGAGGAGCTGGTGGTCTGCGACTCGTTGTCCAGGTTGATGATCTTCTCGTAGACGTGCTCCATCACCTTCCGGACCTGCAGCATGTCGCTGGCCGAGAGCCGGTCCCTGCGGAGCACAGCAAAACGCTACAAAACCGGCCCGCCGCGCGCAGAGCGGCCAGGGACGTTCCACACTCACTTTTTAAGCGTTTTCGCACCAGAAGACGAGTGGGGCTGGAGGTAGAATGGGATTTTGTTGAATTTGGGCATGTTTTTCTGGAACAGAAGAAGAGTTGCGCACATAAATGATGGAAACTAAGAAAATGGCCACATAGATGTAAACTTTCAGGTCGATTTAAAACCATTTTTTTTTACAGATTTGTTGTTGCTTTTTAAACGACAAAAGCCTGTACAAAGCCAATAATTTCAATTCCATTTAATGATGGACACCAGGCAAATATCCTCTTTATACAGAGGTGTTCGGTTTTAAGGATCATTTAAGTCTCCTGAACAGCTGCTGACGCCACTGTGTCGGGGTTCTTTAGCACCGCTCCAGCTGTGTGCGCCTTTGTAGGAAAAGATCAAAATTAAGTCACATTTTTCATTAAGGAAAACATAATTTCTCCCTTTAAACAAGATTTCTGTGTTCCATTAGGAACTTTACTATGACTTTGAGTAAGGTTTGCAGTCCACCTTTACTCACATTTTACAGTGCATTACATTTTGTGTAATGCTTTTTTATTTATTTTTTAAAGTGGGGATACTCACATCTACAGTTATGTCGATGACCCACTGGGGGACCGTCTCATTCAGCAGCATGGACTCGGTCTCACCGCCTGAATCTCTGCATAACAACCTGCAAAACGGAGGAGGAATCAGACAATTCCCGGAGACTGACTCGGGGCTCCCGCCTTCACTCCAACCGTACCTAAAAAGAGTTCTTCCTCCCGCCTCTCCGAAGATGACGGGTGTGTGGGGGGGCACCTGGAAGTAGCCGTTTCCTTTCTGGACCCTGTTCTCTTGCTCTCCGTTCACTGCGGGGACCGGCACAAAAACACTGAGTGACGGCGGACCCTCCGAGGCCCCCCCCCCCTTCCCGTGCAGAGCTCCCGGTCCTTACCGTGGTTCACCTCGTTCTCCTCCTCGTCCATGGGGTTGAGGCGGGTTCGGGGCCAGAACTCCAGCAGCGCCTGGAGCAGCAGTCCGCCCAAGTTCACTGTGGGGGGGGGGGACAGCGAGAGCCTGTGTGACGGACAGCGGGGCTTCGGGGTCTGACACTGGTTTACACTGAACGGGGACAGCCTACGTTTGGGGTCGGATCCGTCCGAGCTGGAGAACCCTGCGTCCTTAGCCGACACCCAGGCAGCGAAGCAGTCGCTCTCGTCCAGAGTGATGGTCAGCATCTGTTTGGAGCGAGCAGGTCAACACAAACACAGCAGGGGGTCCCTCACAAACCAGCTCCCCCAACAGGGACTCTGTAAACTCACCCCAGTTTTCAGGTCGACGGAGAACCAGTTTGGCACGTAGACCATCTTGAAGCGCTTTTTAATCTCCTCGTCGAATTCCACTTTCCCTAAATCTTCTCCCTTGCAAGCCTGACGGTGAAAAGAAAACGGAAACACGCACACACACGAGGTCAATAATCAACTGGAGTGCCGTCGTACAAACACATATCTACCCTTAAAGGGGGGGAAGGTCTGAAATGAACTGCCCCTCCGCTGAGGAAAAGGAAAGAGTCCCAACTTCCTCATGTGTCTCAGTGTGGCCCTTCCCTCACTGAACATGAGCTGAAAACCCAACATGGCTGCCCAGGCACAAACAGCAAACTTATCCTATGTTGTCAAGACATTCAAACGATCTGAACAGAACTGTGCACGTTCTCATGCGCGTGGGGAGCAGAGCTTTCAGTTATTGTATGTCTCTTATATTGTCTTATTTTTCAAAAAATAAAATGTATTATTATTATTATTATTAACTCCCTAAAAGATGTTCTTATCTGGACAGCTGAGAATCACAGTGTGATGGAGGCCCTTAAAGCCAAAACCCCTTAAAGCGTCAGGACAATAGAGTGTGTTTTTACCTTCAGAACGTCCCAAAACGCCACATTGTTGTTGGTGTCTTTGGTGAGTATGTGTCTCTTGTCATTCAGAATGTGGCACTGTATAATACTGGCACCTCCTACGACGAAAAAAAACAGAGGTTTTCTTTCTGGGGCTTCTAAAAAGGTGATTATGGGATGGTTTTTTAAGAGAAATAAAAGGACAGCATTACCCTTGATGACCTGCTCTGGCTGCGTACACAGTGGAGTTAGCGGCGTGCTGCAGTCGTTGTCGTACTCCCCCGATGACCTGAAGTTGTGCATTCCCTTTAGAGACTACACCAACAAACAAAAAAGCACAAACAGAATTCAAACAAACAGAATCACAGCGAACCGGAAAAACCCATTAATCATCCCCTGGGATTTGAAGCCGCGGCTCCGATTGCTACAGTCCTCTCTTCCGTTCCAACAGCAGAGCTGATTTAAAGGCTTACGCGCCTGACCTTCCATCCGCTCTATTACGTTTGACAGTCGATCTCGGAGGCGTCACACGCATGCTTACCCATTTATTAACGGATGACTTGGTGGTGGAAACCCAGATAGCTGGAGGTGGGTCAGCAGATCTGTCCAGTTCCATCTGAGCAAAGAGAGAGAGACGTGACTCCAACTGACCGTGCACAGCTCTGAATATTACAGCAGCGGGACAAAGAAAACTAACAGTCATTTCAAATACCAGAAGTTAAAGAAAGCCTGGGCAGATTACATCCCTGTCAAAATTTCCAAAATAAAAAAAAAAGTTACTTGAAAACTAAAAATTCTATTTCAGACTTGAGGCTGAAGTATTCTTCCTGCGTACCTTAAGCACCGGGGCTTTCTCCTCACAGATGAGCACGCGGATGTCCGGGTTCCGCAGGTCGGTGCAGTAGATCTTTTTGTCCCTGCCTCCAGAGTACACGTGGGTGAAGGCCTCGTTCACCTGCAGGGCCCACACCCCCTCGTCGTGCACCCGGTAGGTGGCGATGCACCTCTGCTGGCCGAGTGACCACAGGCGGATGGTCCCGTCCGAGCTGCCCGACAGGCACTGCGAGCGGGGAGGGAGCAAACCCGGGCTCTAAAAAATCCCCCTTTTTTTGTCTTTTTTTTTCTAAAGCGGTGCAGTACTTTTGATCGGAACCCACCTGAGTGCCATCCCGATTCAACAGCAGCGACTTCACGTTGTCTGTGTGGCCCTTCAGCTTCATCAGTTTCGCACACGTCCGAGGATCCCACACTCTCAGGACCTGAAGGAGGGAATACCAGGTTTTCAAAAAGGCTGAGACCCAATAAACTTCAGATACTAGGTAGATACTAACATCTTCAAACACTTAAAGAGACCTGAGCACGTGCCCAAAATTGATGTGAACGTTCAACCAAAACACAAGCTACAACTACACAAACACTTATCATTAGATGGCAATACAAAAAAGTTCCCTCATTCACTCTGCTGGAAGCACCAACCTTCTCAGTGGATCCAGAAACAATAACTGTACCCATCTGGTTCATGGCCAGACTATAGATCGAGTCCTTGTTCCCACTCAACGACGAAGCTGTTGGGAAACAAAGAACGTTGAATCCAAAAGTCTGGGTTGCTTATTATCTTATAGAAGCATATCGGCCACAGTAAGGAAAGATGTTGGGTCGGCCCCACGTCTGGAGTCCCGGGCTGAAGTGCTTACTCACTGGTGACAGTGTTGTTGGAGGCGGTCAGAGCTGTGAGCGTGTTCACGTCCCAAAGAAAGATCTGCCGATCCAGGCCGGCCGACGCCACCAGCTCCTTGTCCTTAGCGTAAGCCAACGCCTTGACGTAGTCTTTGTGTGTCCGTAACGTCGACATACAAAATCCTTTATGCGCATTCCATACTTTGACTGTTGTGTCTGATGAGGCAGATATCACTAAAAGGAGAGGATTAACCGTCAGAACGGACAGGTGGAAAAACAACAAATCCCCCAGGAGCAGCTGGCAGTGTTTAAAACTCACAGGTTTTCCCGTTGCAGCACAGAACTATGTCATTAACCCAGTCTGTGTGGTGCTCCATAGACGCGATGTATGGGTCTTGCTATAGAAACAAAGAGGCAACATTTTTTAAGCAGCGTCATTAGTAACAGTATAATACAGTAAAGGATATGAATAGCTCTCCAAGAGTAAAGTGATTCAATATTCCAATCTTAAGAGGAGCGGAAACTTTACTTTATGCTGGTAGACACTCCATATCCGGATGATGGAGTCCCTCCCTGCAGTGAAGAGCCGGTTCAGGGCTGGGTCTAACTGGAGTGCGTTCACCCCATTTCGATTGTACTTCTCCACCTCATCTCTAATGACATAAGATACCTGTGGCACATGGAGGTGAATGGGGTCAGACTTTTACCTGGAGGACTTCTAGTAAAACCGAAAGCACACCCACTTTCGGGCAGAGACGCGCTTCATGCAGTTGTCGTGTAAAGGCAAAAGTAGCGAAAACAACACGGAACTTGACTGAATTTTCCTAATGAGAAGTGCTAAAGGCAACATATTTCCCGCCCAAATACCCAGCGCCCCCATCATTAATAACCAGTGTACAGGGTACACGACAGAAACAAAGAGAGCTGTGTTAGACCAGCAATTAGACGGAGCCGGGATACAGGGTAGCTTAGCTACCAATAGCACGAGCATTAACTGGGAATAAAAACGAAGATAAGTCACACTTTCTTTTAGGCTTAATTTGTGTTAGTTGCTCGTGTCATTAGATATTTTACAATTACTTATTAGACAACTGCATTCAAATTACCACACAAACATGTTGCCATTTAGACGTAACCGTTAGCAGAAAACGCTAACACATTTTCTATGCTAAGCTAAGCTAGCTAGGTTAGCCGGCTTGTGGCACGAGTCATAACAACAGCGCTGCTTCCACTAAAGCTTTTTGCAAGTAGTCGAGTGTTTGTGATCTATATCTTTACTGTAAAAACTTTTATCTCGCCGTTGAGAGATTTTCAACCTTGCAGCTTCCAATATTTACCTGGACTTTCCTCCGCCCAGCAGCATTTTGCCTGTGATGCGTGGCCATCTTGCATGTTGACACTCAATCCACGTGATGCTACATCCGGAAGTAAAGAAAACACGAACACCTGAGCTTTATGGGTAATGTGGTTTTACCACGGCATCTGACTAACTATTAAGATTATACGTCGTTTTTCCACACCAGTTTCTTAGCACTTCCATCGACGAAGAAGTTGTATTCTTGTTAATATTCTTAATTTAATTATTATTTATATAATTTTTAACGGGGCTGGCTTTAACGAAGGCGATATACAACACATGATATCTAATCGACTGAAGGATTGAATAAATCCGTCTCGACGACGTCCATTTACTCGCTATTTAGATGGAATTATTAATTAAAACTATGACATATTACCTTTGAATTTACCTGTACCTTTTCAGTCTTGCAAAGCATATATCGAAAAAATAGCAGATTCGAGATTTTTATGTTTTTTTGTTTTAAAAGCAGCCACTAAGTGGAGCCAAATATCCTAATGGCCTTGGGAAACTCTGCGGGGCAAAGTCGCCCAAAGCCTAACCCCGTCCGCAGGCGCACAGACACACCCACGCACGCGCCCTCGGCAACAATCTTGAGTGCACGATAAAATGCATACAACCAATAATCAATTTGCACAAAGTGTAAAAAGACATGTATTCACTTATGCATCTTTTTTCAATCCAACACCCATTGAATCAGTTGTTTATTCATCAATTTTATGGGGTTGAGCGCCTTTTCAAATCTACCTGTTCCTGTCGCCAATCCCGTTGCGGAAGTTTTATTTTTGCGTTTAAAACCCATTATCGAACATATAGGATAAGGAAATCAAGTATTAGAAATTGTGAAAAGATTTAGGGCTCAGACCTACTTGTTTCTAAAAAAACTGGTAATATGTCATGATGGGATTAGATGAGATTACATAAAGCAGCCTTTTGTGGGCTGTGTGGACGTGGTGCGTTCAGGCTTCAACCGCCGAGCTCTGCGCCCAAACTTCCTCTTGAGTGTCCCAGCCCGACTTGTTGATGGGATCTAAAAAAAATTGCCAGCTCCCTTCCTCTGCAGGCCGGGGAGCCTCCTGCACACGTTTGCGCGCGGCATGAGGCGCCCGCTGGAGCGGTAATCCTCTGTGGTCCAGCTGCATCCTCCCTCCCTCATGCCCTCGATTGCTCAAGGGCACATTGAGGTGCGCACTGCTGCGCACTGCTGCTCAGGACGGCGCAGCCTGCTTTGCGGCTCGGGACTTTCCTGTTGCGGGATGAGCGCACAACTGGCCCCATGAATGGCAAAGGAAGCTGGGAAAGTTGCGCATCGCACCTCTGGCAGCTCTAAAATGTCCAGCACAGGGTGACAAGGCTTCTGGTGACTGCCTGGAGAACAGTATTGACCGCTGTAAACTTTGGATTCCGCTGACAGTTTTTGTCTGTCCTGTTGAATGGAGTTTGGGTTCATAATGGAGCGAAGTAAGCCTTGATGTGAGGACATGGATTTCGCATGGAGGGTTTTGCTGTTCCTTCTACTCAAACCCGAAGAATTTAACTCTGGAAATGATGCTGTTAATCTCAGAGTTTATATGTAAGTATCATCACTGGAGGGATTCACACTGCTTGCAAAAAGTCTGAGCAGACAGAATGCGTCATTTAAACGTTAGGCAAAAGACCGTCTCAGTATTAAGGGAAAAAAAAAAACTTTTTTCTAAAGATTATCTTGAATTGAATCTGTGAAGTGAAATTACACCTGCCCAAACTGGTAGTTTATGGCCATGAACTCTTAATGCTGCAATATTGTGTTCGCTGTCTACACATGAAATATGATGGCTGGCACTTAATATATATATATAGACCAAATCTTTGATACAAATTGGCAAACTGGGACAATACAGGGGTATTAATTTGTTAAAATTAGAAAGGGGCATTCCAATAACTTTCAAAATAATTTCCAGAAATGATGAAACAGCCCAGCTTGTTGCAATGATTAACAATCATTGTGTTACCTTTGTAATTATGAGAACTTGAGAATAGCCATTTTGTAGCTGTAAACCTCCTGTAAACAACAGTGATTACACTGAAAGGTTTGCACCAAAGAAGTAGGTCATCAGTTCAGATCCTGTGTAACTCGGATCACAGAGTGACACTGTGAGAGGGGGCGAGCAACACCAAACACGGCCCCAGCGAAATGAGAACAGGCTGACTCCCAGCAAGCCCTGCACCTATTTGCTCATATATGAATTAGGGTTTGTGGTTAAAGGTCACAAAGTTGTGCAAAGTTTGTTGTGTTTGTTGCTCAAGTTGTGTAGCACCAGACTTACAAGGGACCATTTAAGAGCTATTTGTTTGTGTGTGTACGTGTGTAACAGACCAGAGAAACAGGGAAAACATTCAGGGCAACAGATCCATGAGATCAATGATCAAGTCAAGGAAAAAACAAAGCAGAAGTATTGTTTATTGTTCAGGTAATACATATCTTAAGGTTTAAAAGACAGAAAATGGCGATATAACAGTAACACAAAGCGAGAATTGGCTTATTGTCAATTGGGAGTTTAGAGTGAGTTAGAATAAAGTTAGAATTTAGTTTGACTGAACCTCTGTCTGTCGTAGTTGGTAAAAGTACTTCACGGACCACACCGGGATCTTGGACCTAGTTGCTGCTATTCAAATGCACATGTACAGCCGGTACCCTGATGGGTCACAGAAGTGCCTCAGTGGTGCTTTTCATCTGACCTGCTGACATAATCAACCTGTACAAGACTGAGTGGAAACTGGGAAGAACCCAAGATGCATCCTGCTTTTTAGAGAGAAGCTTTTCCCCCTAACTTAAACAATTTCTTGAGCATTTATTTGGCTATTATCACTTTGATTTTAAAATGTTTAAAAACAGTCTAAAAAAATGTATATATATATAAATATATATATTTATACATATAGTTGTCTTAGTAATTAACAGAAATAAATCACAATGCATTTTTTTTCTCTCTCTTTAGAGTTAATTTTCAACAACCCAAATAGTAACAGAAGCACTTTTGTGGACCGAAGTTATCCTCTAGTGTCTTTAAAGACTTCCTTATGTCTGGTACCAGGAAATGTCAGAGGAGACTACAGATCTTTATTTGGAACACTTTGCATTTTGCTTTACTGCACAGATATTACTCCAAAGATCTATTGTAATTTGCTTTAAAATCTTCAGTTTTCTTTGAAGATTGTTGTAGTTGAGGAGGCAGATTTTTCACCCAGTGATGCACAATGCAAATTCTGGGTAATGTTCTCATTAATACTTTCATATCAGAGTAAGAAACCGCTGTAGGATTAAGAAACTCTATATTCAGACCTGTAGTAACAATCTTTTGAATCGGCTTTCAGGTTCTTTAGATTGTCCAAATGAACAAAACACACCTGATTTGAATTCTCAATGTTTGTCCTCATCTTGCTACATAAATGTGGCGCATGAGAAAGCTTTCCCAGATGCATCATGGGTTTTTTTTCTCCCTGCCTCTTTAGCTCCTTACATTACTGGCAACTTTAAAAAAAAAAAAAAGCATCCAAACCGGTATGCCATCGTAGATCGTGCAGACACCAGATCTGAAACACTCTGAAAAAAACACAGAGATCCACCTGAGGCTGATAGAAGGAGTCAGTGTTGTGAGAACCCGCTCAGCACAGGCCCGACTGTAACAGATGTTCCTGCGTATGTAAAAGTCCCGCACATTAAAGCCCTAAATCATCAAGCAACAGCGCTGTATAAATTGAACCTAAGTTATATAAGCGAGAATGAGGAGCACTCTTTTGTATATGGATAAACATCTGGTGATGGGAAAGTAACTGAACTGCTTGTTTACCCTCACATGTTCGGGGCATAGTTAATATATTCATGCGGCACATGAATTCAGTAAAGTAACAGCACTACTTGTTTTCCCTCATATGTTCAGGGCATCGTTAATCCCTGTCAAAAACATCTCAGTTAAAAAACGTTTTTTTTATCATAGACGAAAAGACAGAAGTTTGCAAAAAATGATTTATTTCGTTGATAAGTTTAATTTACTTTCAAAGGTGCCCCTGTCTTTTTTAACACTACAAGCTACATTCACACTTCTAAATCTGCTCAGCATTACTGGCTACACTTTAGTTTTTTACTCCACAGCACATGTTTAAAATCCACTAGATTCATTAGAGTCAAAGTAAGGGTCAGTATTTTGTCCATAGATATTTCAGCATGTGGTTGAAGTATCATGCCCTGTTTACAATTTTTCTGCCCCTTTTTTATACTCTGTAACATGGTTTCTGATCAGCAAAATAAAAAAAAACTGCACATTTAGTTTATTTTTAGTAACAAACGCACTTGTATTTCAACTCTCCCTGGTCACATTGTGTGATGCCACTCGTGCACGCGCAGTTCAAGGACTCTAGTTTCATTCCAATCATCTTCATTATTTGTGGTGCTGATGACCATTTCACATCTGGCTGTTATGGGAATTAAATGCCATTGAACTAAAGTCCTTTTTACCCCCCCCCCCCCCCCCCCCCTCGCTGTGTTGAATGAAATGCTTCACAGCCATTTTGTCCTGCGAATGAGTTTGCATGCAACCTAACCCTGAGCATTTTGGCAGATATTCTCTGGAGATTTCGCAGACTCATTTAAACGGACTGGCTCACTTCACAGAGGCATCGCTCCTTTTTCTAAAAGAAGCGCCGTGTTTTTTGGGAACATTTTGACAGACACGGCCACACTGCTCTGAACCTGGTTTATCTGCTTTATGACTTTGCACGCAAATCTCAACCTCATTGACTGCAAATTGGAAAGCAATGGGTTTAGTGTATCAGACGAGTTTATCTGAGATTGACAAGGGTCAAACAAGCAGATAAAGGGAAAGCATATAACTGCCGTCTGGCTGGATGTGTGAAAGGATCAAGGCATTTCAAGACAGTCGGGGATGGGAGACTCAGAATTAGGTGACAGTTACAGGATGCAGAGGTAGTTTTTCTGTCAAAGGATAAATATGAAATAATCCTCTCTTTGGGAAGCTTCCCAAGTTGTTTGCATCTCTTCTTGACCAGCGAACAGTCAGAGCTCTCTATCTGTGCCTGGAGTTTACCAGTGAGAACGAAGCAGACGTGCCACTTTGAGCCTTCCAAATGAACTAACGTTGCACCTCTCAGGTCAAACTTTGACCATCCATTCCATAAATGTAATTTCTTGATGCATAAAACTCAAATTCAAGTCAAAAGGCATATTAGAGGCACAGCAACCAGTGTGTGAGCACAATGGATTCATCTTGGGTCTACATAGCTTGTTGCTTTCCTCCATAATAGTTATATTGATTTTATATCTAATATATAATACGCTTGTTTCAGATCTTGTGTTCTGAAATGCTCAGTAGGTGATATTGTCTCATTATTCAGCTTTTCTGACAGACAAATAACCAGTTTTGTGTTTCAGACTGACTGCCCTGTGCCCCCTGCACCAAACGTCATTTGGTCTTTCATTTAAAAAAGAGAAAGTCTGCTGGACTTATAAAGAGTCACAATTCGAAGCTAGAGAGTTGGCGATTTGTTGTTTTACAGGTTACATGCGGTGATGTAATGAAATTAGGTAATGCATCAAATCCTCATTTACATCTAATCGACCTGAGCCAGAGCTCAGTTTGAGTCTCTGTTTCTCCAGATTTGCCTCTGGAACACATATTATCACAGTCTTTTATTTACAAAGGATCAAAACTTTAGGGCAAACTCATCTTTGACTGGAGATTTTTGAAAACAGAGAACATGAGCCAATCAAAGTAATGGAGATGCATGCGTTTCCATGCAGATCTCAACAGATTTGTTAGAGTTGATTTTTAAAGTGGAATCGTTTTCTACAGAATCTCTTGCATGTGTTGGTGGAAGTCATGCAGAACTGAATCATTTTGACATCACTTTACTTCACGTTGCCTGAATTTTGTATGGCTGGAGTCAGAATTCCACCCATATCTGGGCTTTGAAACGCAATTCTTTTCTTCCTTTATAATCCTGGGGGCAGGGGTTGTATCTCAGCCATTAAAGGAGGATGTGAACAGACCTTTTTTTTAAATGCCACATCTTTTTAATCTGTTAAAAGTTCATAACAAGTGAAAAACTGTGAGTCCAAAGACGACATTTACCCAGACCAGTGGCTGTTAACACCAGTAGCTTACTTTACATTAGGCCTCTGGTCCAGACCCCCACCCATCTGAGACAGGTGTAGGCTGACCTTTACGTTTACAAAAATATCGAATAAACTCTTTGTTCACTCTCAATGACAATTGTATTCTATGACTTGTTCCCACTACCAGCCTAAGCCCTAGAGTCCTGGGTGAAAGTCCGGTAACATCCACCACAATCTACTTTGTGGATTTTTGTGTTTGTCCAAAACAAAATAGCTTGACATTTCCACTTGGAATAGATGGGAAATTGTTCTTTGCGGCTTTGTCCTTGTAAACACTTTGCTCCCTCCGGTTGACGGTAATCCATTGTTAATGTCAAATGTTGATGAAAGCAGATTTGAGGGCTTTGAAATCTGTCAAGCCAACTGCTGACACAAGGTCGAGGTTGAGCTGGTTGGTAATTTGACAGGAGACGTTCAGGAATCAGGAATCTCTGAAGCGGACATGGCTGACCTCACCTCTTTCTCCTGTTTTGCTCCTTCTCCCCCCCTTGTTCCCCTCCCTGCAGCTGTAAGTAAATTCTAGTACCGAACTATCAGGATGAAAAGATGGCAGCCATGCTGTTACCAACGGGTCCTGATGGCTTGCGGCGGTTCACTCGCGAATCCCTTGCTGCCCTGGAGCGGCGGATTGCGGAGGAGCAGGCCAAGAGCGCCAAGGATGGCCACAAGGCCCAGAGGAACGCCGAGCCGGTCAAGCCCAGGGTCGACCTGGAAGCGGGCAAGCAGCTGCCGCGCATCTTCGGCGACCTCCCGACGGGACTGGTCGGGGTGCCTCTGGAAGACATCGATCCATTTTACTACAAGAACCAGAGGGTGAGAGATGGTCCATGAGCGTGGGATGGGTCACATGGTATTTTGAGGTTTTGGCTATCTTTAAAAGATGCTAAAAAAAAGACTGTAGTCATAAACTTCCACAATTGTCTAATAGATGCAAAGAAAAAAACGCTCTGCTTCCCGAACTTCAGGTTTTAGGGCTAACACACCTATGGTACCAATTCCTGTTGGACTGGGCTGACTGAAAAAAAAGTTAGTTCTGCCAAATAAATGGCACATGAAACTTTTCCCTTTGTGGGCCTTGAACGGGGTATGGTCAGCCACCGGAGCCGCTCGTTGAGACCTGGGCTGTGCAACCGCGTCTCTTTAGCTCCCCAGTGGACGCTGAAATAGGATTAGCAAGTTTTGATTTGCAGAGCTGGTAGATCAGGCCGACGCCCATTAGTGGAGAGATGAAAAAAGGACATGGCAGTCATTCTCAGGGTCTCTTTGTTTTGGCATGTGATGCTCCGCTGGATGGGAGGATTATCCAAAGACGGGGGAAAAAAAATATATATTTATATAAATGCCACATCTGTTGGGGAAACATTCAGCCTCCATTATCTCAACTGGCCTCCCCTAGCTGGAAGTGGAAGTTAACACAGATGGTAGACAGAGAGACTCGCTCCACGCTGGAGCTAAATTGTCATCCCCGCTCAGCCAAGAAGCAGCAACATCTGCTCAGAGCTGCTGTCGGGCTTCTCTGCAGGATGGGGGAAAAAAACAAGTGCCTTTACATAACGGAGGACTCCGAGCAACATATTTGTACAGTGTGACGGGGGGGTGGGGTCCTCCACACTAATCCGTTTTTCTGTCTCTCTTTCTTTTGCAGACCTTTATAGTACTTAACAAAGGGAAGGCCATCTTCAGATTCAGTGCCACGTCAGCGCTCTACATACTGAGTCCCTTTCACTTCATCAGATCAATTTCCATAAAGATTTTAGTCCATTCATATCCTTTTTTATTAGTAGGTGCCCTCCGTGGCTTATTTCAGTTTGCTGTTACAACGTACAATTCAATACAGAACAACAGCAATTAAATCAAGACAGTCAGATATCATTGAAGGAAAGAAAATCCTAAAATGAAGAATTCTTCTCCCAGATCAGAATCAACAGATAATAGTGAGACATTTTACAACTTTCTGAAAAATGTCAGGTCATCCTTGTCAGGTCTGGATTGACACTATAAATATTTCTGTTGGATGTTTGGACTGCAGGTCAGTTTAGCGCCTGTTCTCTCAAACTTTAAAGCTGTGCTGCTGTAATGGATGCAGGTGGTTCAGTATTACCTTGCTGTATTCAGCAGAGTCTTTTAGAGAAAAATAAATGGAGGATTATGTGGCTCTCAAGTCTTTTTACCACAAAAAATTTTTGCCTCCCCCACTTTAATTAAGTTTATCCCACAGAAAATAGAAAGTTGACTATATTTGACCCAAAGGGCCAAAGAATAGAGCGAGATGTAACTTTTTGACATGTGATGTTCTTTTTCGTTAAGTAGTAAAATGTCCCACTCTTAACTTTCGACGTATTTTTCTTATGTTGTATTGGAAAAAAAGGTTTTGGCTCATTCACAAATCATTACCTTATATTTGTTTGTTTTTTTAACATTGTTACAATTTTTTTTAAATGAGCTGAAATTACAATATTTGGGGTTATTATAAAAAATGTGTATGTTGAAATAATTACAGAAAGAAATATGAGTTTTTTGTTGTTAGAATTGTTTCGATGCCATTTCCTTAACCCTCTCCACATTGTTTAGCTATTTCATAATGTTCACAATCCTGACCAACTGCTTCTTCATGGCCATGTCCGACCCGCCGACGTGGACCAAATATCTGGAGTGAGTAAACACCTTTTTCACCGTTGTTAAGATGCTATTTGAGCTTTAGCTCGTCTACATGTGTTCTAATGAGGAGTTTGCTGGGGTTTGTTGCTTCGTCGGTGACTACTGAAGATGTAGTTGACATGTGAGTATTCGTTGCATGTGATGTTTCAAAGCTCCTGTCTGCATGCTGCTGAGGACACATGCTGAACAGGGAAAGTCTACGAAATCATGTTGAGACATTAGACGCTGTGCATGATGCAGAAGATGTGGCTGAGCTCTTCATCCTCCCCTTGGTACTGGACATTCTGCTAGCCGCACACACAGCCTCCGTTGGTCAACCTCCTGCAACTTTTGTAGTTATTTCTTTTTATCAATGGGAAAGGAAAAGAAGTAGAAAGTTAGATTTTTTTGAAAAAATCATTCCCAATCTTCAGTTCAAGCTAACATGCGTGGGCGCTCTTCTTCTGGAGCTACATTTGCCCAAAGGGTTAAAGCAGGAGTGTCCAAAGTTTGCCAGCTTCAACACACCTGGTTTACATTAATGTGCCATAAGCAGACATGTACAGAGCCTTTGTTTGGATCTATTTCATCAGAATGAGGTGGGTCGAAGCAGGGAAACTTCTAAAACCTGCAGGACAGCGGCCCTCGAGCAGTGTTGGAGCCTCTCTCTGGACAGGTCACCAGTTCATCACAGGGTCAACACAGACCACGCACGGTCATATATACAGTCAGTTTAGAATCAGGATTAGCCCAGTATGCATGTTTTTGGACTCTTGGAGAAAAATCCAAGTGCAAGCAGAGTACTCCTCAGAGAAATATTCCAAACTTGTGTTTGATTTGACGTGCTGACTGAGAAGCTGGGGATTGTAAAAGCTACCAACCAGTAAACGAACATTCATATCCCCCGAATTACAAAAGTATCATGACCAAGTTTGTCATAATACTGATCAATATAGGGTATTTAAATAGTTTAATGGGCCTTGAACGAGCCTAGCTTGAAGACTGAAAAGAAAACAGGCTCCTGCTAATTTCTCTTTTTTTGCTTACGCTTGTATTTTTGATCTGATGCTCGATAATCTGATAATCGAACCTGTGCTAAGTGGCAGTTATTGCAGTTGTTTCAGCATCTCATTTCACATCTTGAAACCCATCTGCAAGTGACATCGCTCCTCTGTTATTATACTGTTGTTAGTTTTGCGGCCTCACACCTAGAGGTTCGATTTTCTTTCCTGGGCTACATAACATGAAAGACTGAAGCAGGATTATGTTTGCACCGATGTTTTCCAGGTACACGTTCACCGGCATTTACACTTTTGAGTCGGCCATAAAGATATTTGCGAGAGGATTCTGCATAGTGCCGTTCACCTTCCTGAGAGACCCGTGGAACTGGCTGGACTTCATCGTCATTGTCATGGCGTGAGTAGCAATATTACTCATATCCCACCAAAGCTGATAATCTGTCTCCTTTAAGATCTCTTTGCTTCTGGGGACATTCTCTAACAGCCAGAGAAGCTTCTCTCTGAAAATGTTTCCCATAATTCAGAATTTGCAAGCATTTGAAAGGCAGCCTGTAATGATGAGCATAAACACAAAGATCCCTTGAAAATCTTCAGCCACGTCATTGCTCCCGCGATCAGTCATTAATTCTTTGCCATAATTTTACGTGCGGTAAGCCCTTAGCGAAGGCTGCAGATCTGTATGGAATGGATTAGATGGATGACCTCTGTGCTGTTGGATTGTCTGAGACCAATCGCCCTGATGGAACGTTGGCTTTGTTTGAAAACAGAGACATTAACAGGATATGGACACACCGAAAGCCGCCATAACCCTCCTCGATTAACTCGTTTTTGATTAACTATGGTTCAATCAGCCATCTTTCCTGTCATCCTACAGGCACCAAACAAATTGATTTCCTGTCTTTAAATCGAAGAGTCACATTTATTCACATTAAATTACAGAAAAGTATCAGACAAATCCTGGCAGATAGTCTGATAATTTGACTGTTTTGGTTCATGTACAGTAACATTAGATTGGGAGGAAGTAAGCAGAAGATTTCTCTCAAAGTGCTTAAAAAATTAATATTCAACAACTCATAATCACCTCTAAATGGCAGGCAAACAAACTTCATGAGTCACTGGTAAAATTGGCAAAGCAGCTAAAACTACATTTTACAGGAACCAATTTGAACTGAAATCAAGGCTAAAAGAGAGCCAATTACTAGATAAGATTAATCCGTTTGGACAATGAATCTCCGATTTCTTCTGAAGATGCATTCAAAACAATTTGGCGATCGGTAATATTCCAATAGTTTTCAATCATTCTCTAACAGGGCCAGAAATCTGCTTATTTATTTGTACTCAGAATAAAGTATCAGCTTTGACACATTTTCTGGGACTTGTGTATTTCATTTTACACTAAAGAAGTCGCCGGTGTATGAGGAAGCTCTTTCCTTTTACATTTTGATAGAAGTCCCCCTGTTCTTTACATCATTTTCCAGTTATGTCACAGAATTTGTTGATCTCGGAAACGTCTCAGCTTTAAGAACCTTCAGAGTACTGCGGGCACTGAAAACCATCTCCGTTATTCCAGGTAAAACGACCATTTCTCTTCTTTTTAAACGACGTCTTAATGGAATACAGATTGCAGGACACCACTTTCTTTCTGCTCCGTGAAGGTCTGAAGACCATCGTGGGCGCTCTGATCCAGTCGGTGAAGAAGCTGGCCGACGTGATGATCCTGACCGTTTTCTGCCTCAGCGTGTTCGCCCTGATCGGCCTGCAGCTCTTCATGGGGCTCCTGCGGCAGAAGTGCGTCCGCAGCCTGGGGCACTGCATCAACTCCTCGTACAGCCCCAACACCTCCTTCATCTGTAACAACAGAACCTGGAGCTCGCCTGCAGACTTCTTCAGCGACGAAGGTCAGATGCAGAAGCAGTTTTTCCACACCAAATATCGCAACATCTGCATGATCTATCTGCTTGAATTCGAACTTTTTACTCTTTCCTCAGATAATTTTTATAAGGTCGAGGGATCAAAGGATGCCTTAATATGTGGATACGGAAATGATGCGGGGTGAGTGAACGCTTCCCCCGCTCCCGTCTGTTTTTCAGCTGCAGAATTGTTACACAATTTCCATTTTTTCCATTTTATGGCTTTTGATTCTATGCATGTCAGGTGTACGACAGGATACGCGAACGTGAACACCAGGTTCAATTTATAAAAGACAAAAACAGCAGCAAATGACTTCTTGTCAGCTTCAGACATTCTGCATGATGCTCAGAAAAGAGGAGTGAGTCTCTCTGAGGGACGGATGGAGCGTGGCAGAGGCTGCACACACGATATCATGTGATGAGGATAATCACTCTGGGTCCAGTGGAACCTTTCACTCAGAAACGCAGAGTTGCCAGCTGCACACTGGGGTCATCTCAAAACCTTTATGACATGATTAGGTTAACTGAGCCTACCAGGTCCTTTCAAATGATACTACTCATTTATTGTTTGCATGGCAAACAAACAGCACCTACTAGTCAACCAGCTTGTGTCTTATAATGAGGAATTCTATGGAAATAAACCAAACATTCAGTCTTAAGTCGCTGCCAAATGGTTGAGATGTCATTTTGAAGGGCTATATTTTTGTGGAGTGGTGGGTTTTGCTCCCATCCAGGGGGCACAGTGTGAAACCATCAAAATATTGCTACTCAGCCTATTGATGGAGTAATCCCGAAAAACCAAAAGCTTTTGAAACAAGCACAACAGTACAACTCTGCTGCTGCCAGGTCCAGTTCAAGGGGTTATAGTGAGCTAAATACCCATCTGTGTGAATCCGAAATCCTTCAGCCTAAAAAAAACGGCCCCGTTAGGTGCTCTTGTTACTATTACAAGATAATGGATGAAGGAAGAGAACATTTGTGGTGATATCAATTGTTTTTACATTTACCAGCACGGTTCTTCAGTGTTCGACTGGTGATTTTGGCAAGAGTGGGTCTGAAGTGAACTTCCCTGTGCAGATGGTTATTAATCATTTGTGATGTGTAATGTTGAAAAAGGTTGGCATTTTGGTGTAAAAACTGAATACAATTAGTCATCTTGACATTACAAGCTGTCGTACATTTTCTCTTAAAAATTGGTAGCAGTAGTCATCATCTTTTACTAAGAAAAAAATATAAAAGAAAAAAAAGTTTAACCACAAGTATTAGAATAGAGACAAATGAAAGTGGCGGGGCTTGACTAATATGCATAAACTATTTTAAAAAATCTTAATATTTCTTAAAAAGGCTAACATGGCTGCCAAATACCCGTAGCTAAATAACGCCGTCAAAATAAATGGTCGTTTCGTTGTTTTTTTCGTCGCAGACAAAATGGAGCTAGTCAGTCACAGCCGTGCATGGGAGAGCAGTCGCTCAGTAGTTTTTAATCTCATTCAGCATCCCCCCCCCCCCCCAAAACACAGGAACTTAATCTCTCAAGAAGCCAAAACCGATCCAGCAATTTGCGATGAAGTCAGAGTGGCTGGAGGATGCATTTGAGGGCATTCAGGGGAAAGTGATGTCATGAATTCCTCTCTGTTGTAGGTTAGTAAGATCAGACTATTTTTACGACCTGTGCAGCCGTCCCCACCTGCAGCTAAAGCTTTCTGCTTCCACTATTTGTGCAGTTTAACGAACTTAATGCGTATGGATCACTTCTCTTTGAGTTTGGCTCCTTATGGTGTCTAATGAGCTCGTATGAAAAATAACAGAGAGCATAAGTCTTGCTCTCTGCTCTCGATTTTAACACTGCTGCATCATCACTGCTGACATGGTGTTTATTGCATTCTTTTAATCTTTTTCACTGCTGCCAAATGAGGAGTGACACAAAGTCATGTCATGGTTGCCAGGTCATAGTTTAACCATAACCATAAGGAAGCTTATGGGGTTGTTTGCAAATGATTGACGCAGACTTTTAACTCTTTTTTTTTTTTATTACACTGAACTTTCTGAGGCTTTCTGTGGAGACGGGCAAGATACTAAGCAGGTCAGGCTGGAGGACGTAAAACATAGAGGATGCTTAATCTTTTGAGTGTATTCCAACAAGTAATCCCTGAGTAGATTTCCAAATTAAAGCTTTGGGTACGTTATGATGACACACGCCGCCACACACAGGCGCACAGACACACACAGACGCACCAGGGCACGCATGCACACACCCGTGCATATTCCAATGATATTTGCAGCCTCGTCGACAAGTTTGCGATAAACCATTTGCTCAAAGGTCCGGGCTGTTTTTCATCGCTTCTACTGTAGAGTTCAGGCGAACGCTTATCCCCTCCCATCTTAAAGCCACTGTGCATTAAGGATTATTACTGATTGTATAGATGTTTTCAACTTTTGCCCTTGACTGTTGCAAAGCATGGAAACCCACAACTTTAGTCGCAGCTGGGAAAAAAGAAAAAGAATAAGGCAGATGTCCCCGTCCTGCAATGTCCCCAAGCTGCAGTAAAACCGATGACGCCGCCTCAAAAATCGTACTTTTAAAAATGTAAACATGTAGTAAAGAGCTTTGACGGAGATTGTGCTGCTTTAGTTACATAAAATCCCTTGTGAACGTGTTTGGATTGTTCTCAAATTAAACTCCTGCTGTGCATTAGCCACACAGGCTCCCTCACTCACAACTGAATCTTATTGCCAAAGGAGTCTCAATTCGTGCTCATCACTGGAAAAAGTAAGCAGTACACATAGCAATCACATCAGTGGATGCAGTTTCTAGATTTTTGTACGTCATCCATCCATTTTATGACGCGCATGTCGGACTGGGCTGCAGGTGCAGGTGCCTCTTCCCAGCCACCTCCTACGGTTTATTCCCTACCACTGAGCATGTCTGAACACGTTCCCTGGAAGGTCTCCAGCAGGAATCATAACCACAGGCCCAAACCCTAAATGCAAAGTAGTGGCTCCACTGTGGGATCTGACTTTAAAAACCAAGTTCTCCATCTCCAAAGCTACACCCAGAAACACCTCGAAGGAAGTTTATGCATTTTAGACTCGCCTCTCAGGACAAAGCTCAGCATTAAGGTGCTTCAGATTAGGATGTTAAATGATATAGATTAAAAAAATGTTTTTTTTTTATTTGACAAGATGACAAATTTCTCCTTTTCACAGCTGTTTTCTTGTTAATTTTACCCATTGATGAGCTTTCTTTTTTATTTCATATCTCTTTTATATGAGACTGAACAAAATGAATAACCAGAGCTCAGACTTATGATGCAGCCACTGTTGACAGGAAATAAATTAGAAGTGCAGGGGTAATTTTCACTATTAATTTATAGAAACATTATTAATAAATCCCATTGGTTGAATAATTAATTTTAGGATGGATGCAAATTCCTTTGACGACAATGTCATATGCTTTAAGGAATTAAAGCACCCACGTGGTGTGGGTGAGCAGAATAAATATGTTTACCGGCAACTAAATGAACCGTCTAAATCAATTGCACAAACTACCGAGTTGTCCTTGATTGAATCCCACTGTCGTGTCAGCGTGTTGTGTGTGTGGTCGTATGATTAAAAGAGGTGAGGCGATCAGTGACAGGTTGTGCTGTGAGCCTGGCAGGAAGATGTCCGGCCCCGCTTCCCCTGCCTGTTGGATTTTACTCAGAATTCCCGCTCAGCTGGTTGGTAAGATCCACAGCTGTTCTCACAGCATCGCTCTGCGGCCCAGATGTTTGCCAGCCATTATGAAATTATTCCACCCTCTGACTGACACGGCAGTCAGGCTTGTTCTCAGCTGCCGGACTTAAATATTTTTTCTGTAATGCCACTATGCTCACAATGAAGATCATGGACGAAGGCATCCTGCCGGAAATGTTTTGAACTGCAGTTTGATATCCATCTGGCTCAGCATAATCCCACCTCACCCCGGTGTATTTTAGTCGCTACGGCCGAAATAAATTTCAAGAACCCTCTTCAGTTGAAATAGTGGTGATGATAGCAGTGCATGCATTCACAGTCTCATCTGCTCCCCCCCCCCGAAGTGAAATGCTGCAGGGCAACATGTAGATACTGAGGATGTTTTTAGCTCTGATAAACCAGCCCGCACGCTAGCACGGCCCGGTCTGTCCCGGCTGCTCCTGATGTAACTAGGCTCAGCCTTTATTCATCATTCCAGATGTCCAAAAATCTGTCTTCTGCCTCTTAAATCTATGTGCATTACAGGAAGTGCCCAGATGGATTTGAATGCCTAAAAGTAGGAAGGAATCCCAACTATGGCTACACCAGCTTCGACACCTTCGGCTGGGCCTTTCTGGCACTTTTTCGACTCATGACCCAAGACTACTGGGAAGAACTGTTTCACCAGGTACAGAATATCAGTGTTTTTATTCCAGAAATACTCAAAGTCTTGGGCCCAATCCAATTTTTTATCCCTGAAATCTCCCACTTTATCTAAAATTCTGGTTTTGCAATGGTCAGGCATGTGTCTCAAACCTCTGCAAATGCAGGAGTTGGGACCCGGCACTAGTTTGGTCCCTAATAGTGAGAAATATTTATGTGATAGTTTCACTATAGCAATCCATGTTGTAAAAACCTTTTACAAGATGGATCTCTTTTAATTTAGCTTTTTCTATTGAAACCTAAGCATTGATATCAGCAAAAAAAAGCTAAATGTATTTTGGTTTAGTCATTACTATATTCACTCAAGCTGTAAAGAGACACAATTTACGTATGAGGTTTACCAAAAGATCACAGGTAGATTTTTATGCTGCGACTTTTAAAAAAACATTGTATAATGGATCAATCAAAACTGAAACGAAATTATATTTCCCATACTATCCTTTGATTTTAAAACCTGGAAAGAGATGTTTCTTTGGATTTGACAGACTTTAATCTTTCAGATTTTGATATGTAAATGAAGTTGGATTTAAGCGCTAGTAAGAGCCAGATTTTTAAGCAAACCCTAGAAACTGAAAGAGCCCATCTACAATCATACAAATGCATAAAAGTGCTGGTTGTTAAAGGAGCGAGACATACATTTAAGATAGGACTTTTCTCACTGATTCATGTCATGGTATCCTCAGACTTTGCGCTCGGCAGGGAAGACGTACATGGTTTTCTTTGTGCTGGTGATCTTCCTTGGATCCTTCTACCTGGTCAACCTGATCCTGGCTGTAGTGGCCATGGCTTACGAGGAGCAGAATCAGGCCACCATTGCCGAGGCCTGGCAGAAAGAGAGGGAGTTTCAGCTGGCCATGGAGCACCTCAGACGAGAGCAAAGGGTAGGAGCAGGATTGTCAGATTTGGTTGTGTGCCTCTGAGTTGACGACCAGAACCTGGCGCTCACCTTCTGTATTCTCGTCCCCGTCGGTCTGAAGCTGGCATCCAAAAGACAAGCGCAGGAGACAGACTCAGTCCTGTCCCCGGAGCTGTCGCCCTTCTGTCTGAAGGCAGGGAGCATACGGCGCAACAGCAGCAGGAGAAGGCGATCTCACAGGACTCTGTCTGAGGAAACGGCAGGGGAGGCTGCCGAGGAGAAGCCGGACCCTGTGGCCGACACTGTGGTACAGTATAGCGTCACAGTAGAAAAAGGCTTTCTGGAGATCAGCCGATTGTCCAAACCAAAGCAGCTAATGGGATCTTAATGTCCTCCACAGCCTCCTTTGTCCCCCCTGCCAGTCCACCCCCTGCTGGCTACGCTCTCGTCCCACCCGCTCAGCACCAGGAGAGGCAGCCAGATCAGCATCTTCAGCTCGTTCCGCGTCCGGAACAACTCAGAGGCCGAGTTCGGGGACGACGAGTACAGCGTCCACGGGGACGTGTTCAGGAGTCGCACCAACTCAACTGCCACGCCCTGGAAGAAGAGGACGGGCAGCGTTCGGAGCCACTGCTCCCAAGTCTTCACGCCGAGCCTCAACCTCAACGGTCGACTGAACATCTCCCTGGACCAGAACGGAGTTACCACCATGGGTCTGCTCACCCCTACGTCCATGCCGACTTACAGCATGGAGAAAGTCAGGGAGGACACAGTGAGTGACTCAGGCTTCTTTTGATCACGTCCTCATGAAAGGAGTCGATAAGAGTGGGAAAACTGTATTGGAATTATCATCCAAACAAGTCATTATTTTGAAAAAGAAACGTAAAGGCATTGTTTTTTATTCTTTAGGTACTTTCAGTCCATCCGAAGCCCAGCATTACGGAGGACACAGCTCCAAAACCTCCTCTCCAGCCTTCTCCCACAGCAACAGAGCACTCTCTGGTTGTCAGGAAAAGAGGCCTGAGCTCTGTCAGCTTTCTGAGTGATGCCATGGATGGTGAGTCAAATGAACATAGAAAATAATGTAACCAGATTGAAAACAACTTGTCTTTTTTGTATATCTTTCATGAATTTATCAACAGGACAATCCCTGCTTTCCTACACATCTAGTAAATGTTCAATCTTATAGAAGCTCTTGTTAGAGGATTTATTTTAAGTGTTTTATAGGAGTAAGATGGTGCTAATCATAAGGCTTGCACGTTGAATTTCACCTTTTGAAACATCAAAAAGCCTTAAAACCTGTTGGAGTGACAATTGATATCTAATTCATTTTACACTGTACCATATTTTCATCAGATTTTATTCCCTTTGTGACTATTGAGCCATGTTATCAGCCACCATTTAATGCAGAGTGGCTGGTAAACAAACACTTCTGATTACCTATCAGCTTAAAAAGAAGGATAACACTTGTTTCCCTCCTTATAATTTTCCACTTGCTGACAATCTTGTATTGTGCTTGTTAGCATCTAGTACGTTAACATTCACAGACCCCAAAAGAACAAGAAATAGGCAAAATGGACTCTCGTGAAACTCACGCAGATGAGTAAAGGTGAACTTTTGCTGCTCTTTGCAGAGCTGGAGGAATCCAGGCAGAAGTGCCATCCTTGTTGGTACTCGTTTGCGAAGAAGTACCTGATATGGGACCGCAGCCCCTGGTGGCTGAAGCTAAAGGAGTTTGTCAAGTTCATGGTGATGGATCCTTTCCTGGACCTGGGCATCACCATCTGCATCGTCCTGAACACCCTCTTCATGGCCCTGGAGCACTACCCCATGACTGATGAGTTCAACACCATGCTCTCAGTGGGCAATCTGGTGAGAGGCTTTTAAATGATAGGAGTCGGAAAGTTTCCTGTGTTTAAAACTCTTTCTCCCAAGTGCTCTTGGATAAAGGACGAAAACAACAAAGTACTCTGAAGAGCTAGCAGGAATGCTATTCATGAAGTTTCCTTTTTCTAGTGGTGCACAGATTACGCCTTATCAAAGGTTGTCTTTTTAAAGATGAGAAAATGCAAGGGCGGTATTTTAACAAGAGGGGGGCCAGATTTCTCCCCCTACTTTGGAATCATAGTCGACCAATGTTCAAACTTAAAAGGAACAGTATATATAGATTTTTATATATTTTTTCACTTCAGGTTCTGGTGGGTTTTGGGTGCTTGAATCCATTTTTACTAAAATTATATTTAAAAATGTCCCTAAATGACCTCCAGGTTTTCTTGATTTCTATTTTTAGCAATGGAACAACAAGTAAATTCACCATAGAATCATATTATAATCACATTGGGCACAAAGTAAGATGAACACTTATTAGCTATTATGTAGTTAACTTGAATCAGAAACTCTGGGCTCAGAGAAACTATATTCTGCTTTTCCTGTTGTCCATTTTGACCCTGGTAGTTTTTCTTATTCCCTAAAACTGAAGCAGGTTTAAAAAGGAGAATATGAGTCATGTGAGTGTTTTGAAGGCCCTTGAAAACCAAAAAAAATACAAATGAAAGATGATAAATTCACCACAGAGCTCAGTTTGATAATAATATCATCTGATCTAAACTCAGACTGATAGTTTTTATCTTTGTTTTCATCTTTCAGGTGTTCACAGGGATCTTTACGGCGGAGATGGTTTTGAAACTGATTGCGATGGACCCTTATTACTACTTCCAGCAGGGATGGAACATTTTTGATGGCGTCATTGTCTGCCTCAGTTTGATGGAGCTGGGCCTCTCCAATGTAGAGGGACTGTCTGTCCTGCGATCTTTCAGACTGGTAAAAGAAATACCAAACTTTATTATACCTCAGATACTTATTGTTCTTAATTTCTCTTTTTACATATGGAACAAATCATCCCGTGCAAATTTTAGGCTAGAGGAATGTAAAGGGGTTTGAAGAAAAGGAAAATTTAATCAATATTGGGGTTTTCCAGCTGTTTGGATTAGATTCATTTCAAGCATGCAATTTCTCAAGTGCAATTTAAGGACTTGATTCAGAAATCTAGAGGAGCTTTGGTTTAATAAGATGAGATGGTCTAATGTTTGCCTTCCTCCCATTGTTAGTTACGAGTATTTAAGTTGGCAAAGTCCTGGCCCACGCTCAACACTCTCATCAAGATCATCGGCAACTCAGTGGGCGCCCTGGGAAACCTGACACTGGTGCTGGCCATCATTGTCTTTATCTTCGCCGTGGTGGGCATGCAGCTATTTGGCAAGAACTACCAAGACTGTGTGTGTAAGATCTCCTTTGACTGCCAGCTGCCTCGCTGGCACATGAAGGACTTCTTCCACTCCTTCCTGATTGTGTTCAGAGTGTTGTGTGGTGAGTGGATCGAGACCATGTGGGACTGTATGGAGGTGGCCGGGCAGCCTCTCTGCATCCTGGTCTTCATGTTGGTCATGGTCATTGGAAACCTTGTGGTAAGTTGTTTCACATAGCTCTGCATATCCGTTTAAAATAGGTTGTTTTTGTCCATTTTTTTGCATTTCTGAATCGCAAAAAGAAAAACGAAAAGGATTTGGCTAACAAGTCCCTCTCCTCTGTTCCATAGAGTTTTGTCAGCAAAAGTATATCACACAGTGACAGGTTTCCATAAGTATCATTTTTGTGCTGTAAACAAAGTAGCAAATATATAAAACCAAAACATAGACCGCTAAACGTTTTGCACATGTGCCAGTATTGAGACCTGCACATTTGTGATTATCCCCATTTACAAGCTCATTTCTTTTTACTTTAGAGGTCCGTTAGAATAGATTCACATGTCTTAAATGTCACATTACACTGAAATACTTCCTCTTTAAAGTCCTGTCTTTGTAAGGAGGCCTCCCATTAGGTCCTGCCTACTCTGGTTTGTCAGAGAGGAGGTTTATCACATCTATTCATTAACTGTTTTGGAGTGTGAAAGGTAATTCCTCTGGGTTAAGTTTTGAAGCCTACAAAGAAAGCCTGAACCTCACGTTTCAGGACATAATAACAAGAAAAACCTCTCTGCAATGGAATAACAACTGACTTGTGTTTTGTCACACTGCACTTGTTTTACATGAACAAATAAGCTATTCGGAACTCGTTAACATGGCATATAAAAAAACGTTAGTAACACACCCTTGATTTCTAATCTATTTCTGGTGCAGCCCTTTTACTGCATGTAATATTTTAAGTCAAATCCAGTTGTTCTTCAATGGAACAAACTCTCACTGCAAATCCAAGTGATGATGTCACGAATAATCTTGGATTATGCAATCAACAGTGGGGACAGCTGATTGTGCTTATGAAGACAAGTTATGCTTCCGGCCCAGTCATGATCAGTTTAGCAGGCTCCAGTATCTTCTGTGTGTTTGATTGAGGCCTTTTCAGAACTGTCTGAAGTCTTTCGCTATGTTGTGCAACCAGGTCTTCCCGACTAGCATTGCCAACTCTAAAAAAAAGTCATATCTGCACAATATGTCCCCTGTAAAATGCACCCAAATTTAGTTTGAGTTTTTTTCCACTGCTAATGGTTGAAGTCTTACAGTAGAAGGGGTCAGCGTTCTCCCTGACATTCACATCCAGCTGCCGCTGTGAATAAATGGTTAATCTGTTCGACAGTTCTGTTTGTACACAACTGCTGTCACACAGTGCCGTAGCAAGGATGCATGCTGTATTCGTTGGTACACCCATATGGTGACTTGTTGTCCAGCTGTTGCCTGTGAGCTAACGTTAATGAGAAAAGATCTAAATAAAATCCCGGCTGTGCCAGTAGGCGACATTCATGAGATTCATATCATCAGTTCTGCAACTTTTGAAAATATTCCCCTGCTGGTGGGTTACAGATTAAGTCAAAGGACATAATATATTGTTTATGTCCAGCAGTCTCATTCCTATTTGTATATGAACCATGTTTATATTCTCCATTCCGCCATACATTAGCGTGACGTAAGCTCAGCAAGCTCTGTCGATCTAACTAGAAGCAATCAATGTGTTTCCAGCAAGTTGTATTTCTGCGTAATTCTTAACCGGACGAAACTTTACATTGCAATGCCGGCATCATCTCCACAAAAATGAATGTATTTCCAAATAGAATCTGAAACCTTTGCAAGGTCCAAAAGCAATAACTCATGATCAAATATATTTCACAGCAACAAGTATTGCACAGATGGTCAACATCTAATGCAGGATCAGGTTAGACTTTAAAGTATTTTCCTGAATACTGTTTGCTTTTTAGAGGTTTGTGGTATGAAAGATTTGTGATCACTGGATTGATTAGAAAGAAAAGAGGTTTTCTTTTGAATGTGAGTGTGTTAGATTTGCAATGCTTGAATCCATAAAGACCTACCTGTAAAATAAAAAGATGTCATGGTGATCATGTTATAGTATATAGAGAGGTAAAATATTTGCATTTCTCACTCACAATTCCATACAAAAAAAGAAAAAAAGATCAAAATAATTTTGTCCTGATCAGGTCTTAGCATTAGATAAGAGAACCTCAGACAGCTGGAACAGATCTAATGGATGAATGGCCAAAAAAGTGACCCTTGGCGACTCCTACCTCGGTCTGATATGATTGATATGTTCAGAAAAAAAACAGTGTCCCTTTTTTATTTTGTTCTGTTGTGTTTGAAATTTCTCCAGCAGTTTCATTGTACATGAGACTTAACTTAAACAGACCTTTAACGACGAGACCCGATCACGGCATTGCTCTTTATGGAATTTACAACGGAAACCTTCGCTGCACATGAATTGTGGGACAGCTGTTTATCTACAGGATTATCCAGGATGCTTAGAGGCAGGAAGGTTTCAGGGCATTCATCACTAATCATCTGGTCATGCGCCCCTTCTCTGACTGGCTCAGTGGCTAAAGATGATCCTTACCAACTGTGCACATCGCCCATGCACACAGGAAACGTGGGCACGGAGACCACACAAACACTGCTGCTGCTCTCTAACCCAGCAAACAGATTACTTGGGAGTTGTATGCTCTGAACCTTGACTTCGGGGTGGTGTTGAGCATATCTTTGAAGAATATCCTCCTGAATTACAGGGCAGGATTTGCCAATGTTGACAAAATATGTGGGACATCATGTCTGGCTTTAGGTTTACTTATCCCTGAGCTAAAAGGCAGTGACATGCTGCAACCTGTAAAAGAAATGTTGAGAAGATAACAATGATCGGTGTTCCATAATAAGGCTGTACATGCATGATGTGGTGCCAGTGTTTGGATTGCCTCTCTTATTGATTACTATATTGTTTTCTGTCATCAGGTTCTGAATCTCTTTCTTGCCCTCCTGCTCAGCTCCTTCAGCTCTGACAACCTCTCCGCTCCCGATGAAGATGGTGATTTGAATAACATTCAGATCGCCATCGCCCGAATCCATTCCGGTTTCGAGTGGCTTTCCGCAATTGTCGCCAATCTCCGAAACCACGATGCGAAGAGTCAAGATGAGAAGGCCAAGGAAGCTAGTCAGGCCGTCGTCCCGGTCGGGAATCATGTGGAAAGCAATGGGGGAGTTTTAACAGGCTACGGAGAGAAGTACATCACACCGGAAGAGGACAGCTACATGACCAACCCCAACCTGACCGTCATCGTTCCCATCGCGCCCGGGGAGTCGGATGTGGAGTTTCTTGAGGAAGAGGAGATTTCAGAATCTTCAGAGGATGAAGATGACAAGCCAGTAAGTTTGGTCGAATGCAAATACACAAGTGTACACAAATCTTCCAAAACAATTTCCCAAAATTTCCCAAAATAATCAGTCAGTCATCAACTTGACCGCTGTCTCATTGCTTGAAATGGGGAGTGACCCCTCATTTCAAGTAAAGTCACATCTGTAAAGTTGTGTTAAGATACACAATGGGGAGAGTTTATGTGGCATGGGTTATCCAGAGTAGAGAATTTGGAATTGGCAGAAAAACATAAAATACATTATAAAGGCAAAGGCCAATTTATTTGTAATGTAAATTTTGTTTACAAGACCATTCAAAGTTGTTTAAATAAAATAAAAAATGCATGGAATAGTGAGAGTTTTAAAGCATATGATTAAGTTAGGTTTGATAAGATAAAACTATTAAAAAATGATTTATTAGATAGATTAAAAGTAAAGAGTGCAGATAAAATGTCTCCAGTTGTCGTATGCAGCACTAAATAAACTGTCAAATACAAAACTGATGTCATGCAGTCAGCATCTGGTAGAGGTTTCCCAGAGTTCCCTGATCTGAAAAAAAGTATGACGACAATACTTGAGAGGAGAAAACCCATGAACAGATCAGACACTAAAATATGTCAGAGCCGGATAACCAATATCTAATACTTATAAAACAAAAGCCAAATCATAAAAAAATAAAAACTGACCATAAGGCGAAAAACAGATTACAAAAAAACAGACCAATGAGCATTACTTATTTTATATGTCTTTTTTAGGGGGAGGTTGGGGGTGGTATCAACAAAGCTGAAACCCACTGAGCCAGCATCCTCTTGACAGTTTGCAGCCTAACTGTATGTGTTGTGGTTTTATTACACACTAAAGGAGTTAAATAAATGAAAGAGAGTGAAAAAGAATAGCTGCAAACATCCAAAAACCATCTAACTGACTGCTGCATCTATGGAGAGAACCAGCTGTGTCATGCAATATCGAGATAACCTGCAGAAACACAAAGAAAATCACACAACAAACAGCAGCAAGTATATTAGAAATGACGTATATCACTATGTTTAGCAGCGTTATTATCATAAGTCGGCATGTCAGTGAATTTATGATGGTGCATGTGTATATGGGTGATAGGGTAAGGGAGGACAAAACTGGGGAACTGAGGACAACTACTGGCAATAAAGTGGAACTAGAACCTAAACTGATCTGAAGCAATATGGTACTAATACGGTACAGAATAGATCAGAGCATTAAACAAGTCATGATGAGCTTTTACCAAAAAGAAAAAAACTTAAAAACTCCTGTTATAGAAATAAAAACGATCCTAATTCCACAAAATAACTCAAACAGAAGCTAGCAGAGGACAAAAATTCACAAATCCAAGCAGTTTATATAAATGACGGAAGAGTAATGAATGCTTTGACTCTTAGCTTTTGGGAAAATTGGTGTAGAACAAAGTTGTGAGGCTCCCCCTGTTTAACATTGTGGTCAGAGGACGTGAGAACAAAAAGACCAATGGAAACAGTAAGAATTAAAGTGATAACTGACGTGTTTTATTTGCCAGTTAAAAGTATGGGACTGTGATGCTGACGACTATGAAACCAGATTTTTAACATTTTTCTTGCAGCATTGGTGTGCATTGAAGTCTCTATTTCATGAGTGGACCATTGGTAGAAATAGGAAATTTAAGTAATCTTTTTTTTGTTGCATAAATAGAATGGAAAACAGCTTTCAGGGAAAAATGAAGAACATCTTGGGCTTAGAAAAGCTTGCATGCTGCACCATTTCTAGGCCGTGAGCAATAAGATTTACTGTCACTGTGACACTGCGGCTCAGCTCCTGTTTGTGCCATTTTAAGATGTATTTTTCTTCGCCGGGAAGCTTTCACGGAGCGACCTGTGGGTCAGGCGCTGGTTGAAGAGGAGGCTGCTGTCCTGTCTGGCAGTCAGACAGCAGCAGGCCAGATGTGGAGCCAGGCTCTGTACAACAGATTAAACCTCCACAGCCGAGCAAGGCCAGGCAGGTCCAGGCTGAGCAGAGCAGCCTGCTGTCTATCGCTTCCTCTTCCTCTTCCCCCCCCCCCACACTCCACTCCACACCACCCTCCTTCAAGCCTCCATCAGCTTAACTGGGCATCAGCAGCTGCTCACTGTTAAAGGAGAATATCTTTTACATGTGTAGAGCTTTAAACAGACATAACGTTAGATTATGGTTATTAAAACTGTTTAACGTAACTAATTTCCCTTTTAAGGGGTCAGACACTGTAAATCCCAGTTGTTTATCCTGTTGATACAAAACAAAATACCAGAGCATATTGTTTCTCTTGCGTCTTTGAACGCTAAGACTGTCATGTTGGTAATCTCATTTCTGGGTCCTGTAGACGCATGCTATTGCAGGATAAGACTTCGTACCATTCAATTGGATTAAACCTGCACTTCTGTCCTGCGAATCATGTCAAATACGTTGCCTGTGCAAAAAAAAAAAGGAAATCTCGTCAGAATCGCATTACGGCTCAGAGGAGATTTAAAAATAAGGCAGCGCATCTAGGTGCGCTGGCCTTTATGAGGTGGATTCTCACTGGCTGTTGGTTTGTGCTATTAGCATACCAAAGTCATGGCAGGACGCCGGTTATTGTTGTTTCCTGAAAACATCTGGAACATCTTTGATAACAAGTTGCTGTTTTAATGTGGGCCTACATTGTGTGCTATATTTTGATATAGAGGTATGGGGATATTCCATCTCCATGTGCAGGATCCCAGTATATGGATCTATTAGGTGGCGAACTGTTCAGTAATATTGAACCTTATCTTCTCAGGAGAAGATTAGCCTGTCAGAGGGCAGCACTGTCGATCTCAGGAAGCCCGGAGAAGAAGAAGATTACTTATCAGAGCTGGATGACGATAGCATGGAGCCTGACGATTGCTTCCCTGAGTGTAAGTGGAACATTTAGAAAGCTAATTGCAAAGTGTATTTCTTAAATCCTGGCGGCGCGATTGCTGTTTTTTAATGTATGGGATCATGTCGATTTGCTCCTACAATGACATCAGTTTGCCTGAGGCACTGTCAGTGCTGCAACATCGACACCAGCCGTGGTGTGGCCCAGGCCTGGTGGAGGTTGAGGAAGACCTGCTACCAGATCGTGGAACACAGCTGGTTCGAGACTTTCATCATCTTTATGATCCTGCTCAGCAGCGGGGCCCTGGTGAGGTTTCCGCAAAGCAAAAAGCGTCCCTTCTGATTTCAGTCTGACTTAACGTTGCTAAAATATCACCTCAGATGTTTGAAATTTCACAAACGACCACAACGCTCTTTTGTCTCTTACCTCAGGCTTTTGAAGATATCTACATCGAGAAGAGAAAAGTCATAAAGGGGATTTTGGAGTATGCTGACAAAGTCTTCTCCTACATCTTTGTGCTGGAGATGTTCCTCAAATGGATTGCGTACGGATTCAAGAAGTATTTCACCAACTACTGGTGTTGGCTTGACTTCCTTATTGTGGACGTGAGTGAAACTTTTGTTATCTTTCTTCTTTTGATTGCAGGCCAATTAAAGGATGCAGTTAAATTTGAGATCTCATGTCAAACTGACAAAACTGTGGTTTCCTCTCCCCACTTGGTCTCTATTGGTGTTGTGCAGTAGTAAATGCACTAATATTTTCAGAAAAGCTCCTCACAATGCATGAAAATGGGTTAGTTCTACCCTGTGTTGCTCCATTTGTGGGGGAAAAAATCATCAGGTCTGTATGCAGTTAACTAGATCACATATTCCTAAAAACACACACTGAAACAGTGTATAGTTTTGCGGTTGCTCTGTGTCAGGATTTGGACGGATTTTTTCCCCTTTTAAAAGGGTTTTTCCAGTGCAGGGACTTACGTTAAGCTTTGTGAGCCTCAAACATGTTTAGAGTAAATGGATGCAGCTTTGGACTGTGTAGAAATCCAAAGCGGCCGAGGCGTCCAGCCCGAGGCCTGACTTGACTTCCTCTGATTTCACCTGCTTATACACAGATCGCCACAGACCGCGCTATTGTTAGGGTAAGTGGTAGTTAGCAGGTCCCAGGTGAGTATGAACTCTGGGATTGGATACTTGCATCTGCATCACAAAAGCGTCTGTGTTCCTTCACTTGTAAGTCCTTTCTGTCGTGATATCCAAAGCCACCGTCTTGTTTCCAAACAAATGATGGGACATAAAATATGTCTCTTCCAACAAAATTACTCAGCCGTTCTTTGAATTGGTTACAGCAAGGCCTTGGCTTTTGTATCAAAAACAAATGCGGTGCCATATTCTCTGAGGACTATCTACAGAAGATCTGGTGTGCTTTGAAAAGTCCACCAAACAAATGCTGCCGAAAATACATTTTTACTCCTATATATTTATTTTAGAAATGCACAACTTGAATTAACATCCTATCTGTTTAAATCATGCTCTGAATGTTCTTTGTTATTGTTGTTTGAAGGAACAGATATTGTTCATTATTTCAATTACTTACTTTCTGTCTACTGTTTATGAAAAATACTCTATTGTATATTTATTACTCTGTTTATGTCTCTTTCTGTGTTCTTGCGGTTCCAAACATGTCTGTTATTCAGAAATTGATTACGAGTATCTTCTTTAGATATATTGGACAAACACATCTGTACATAGACTTTTATAAAGAAATACAGGATATTTGGCTCTTATAAGCCTTTAATAAGTAACATAATGGATCAATTGGATTCAAATTGGGAGACAAATTTGGCCAATTCTGATCAAAATTCTTTATAAAACTCACTCTATTTTATATATATACATATTTATATGCATATATAAGTGAGTATGCATGCATGGATACCATTTGTCCATATGTGCATACTTGTCTGTGTTTTACCATCTCCAACCATGACATGAATTTCCTCTTTATTTCATTTATTCCATGCCATTCTCATTCATAAATGTCATCTAAGGGTCATTCAACAGCGGAATACCATTTTGTTTTGTCTGTATTGGATGTAGAATAGAGTGGAAGTCCAAATTTACTAAAAGATGACGCAAAAAAACTAAATCCAAACTTCAGAATTTCATAGGTGGGTTCCTAACTGTGGAATGTCCCAAGATACACCACCAAAAATGAAAACAACAAAAGAAACAGCCTAAAATGTTTAAATGGGTCATTGCTTGTTTTTATTTTTATTTTTTTTCTGCATTTTGATTTTGGTATTATTTCTTTTTACAGTACTTTACCTTTAACAATGACAAAAAAACGTAACTTATCTGTTCAGAATTTTTTTGTCTCTAATAATTTGTGACTTTCTGTTTTCCACATAGGTGTCCTTGATAAGCCTGGTCGCAAACTCACTGGGATATTCAGACTTTGCTGCCATCAAGTCTCTGAGGACCCTTCGGGCTTTGAGACCTCTTAGAGCTCTGTCCAGATTTGAGGGCATGAGGGTAAGGGACCAGTTTTTTGTATTCCCATATACAGTATACTTAGCAGTTTTACTGGAAAGTATTTGTTTTATGTAATAATAACTGAACACCAGATTATGCTATAAATCATTTTTAAAAGATGGTCATTAAATTATTTACAACATGGCAGTTCAGCTAAATGGATTCAGGACCAGCATGGCCGGTTGATCGCTGTTGTCCGTACATGGAATTCCCAACGACTTTTCCAATTTTGAAACATTTTGTATAGAAAGGCATTTAATTAAAACATTTGGATAGTATTTTAACCAACCAGACAGAATTTAAAATGGCCGCATTCGGTCCAAAGTGCAAAAATATGCTCTTTCAAATAATAAGTTACAAGCTGGCAATGTATTTTACATCTACAAACCCTAAAGCTGATGATGTCAAAGGTCATGTGTCACTAAATGATGGCAGGGCTCACGCATGGTGTCTTGTTACATAGACAGAACTTAAATGTCAGTGGTAGTATTACTTTGCATGATTTGGTTAAGATGTTGTCAACACATGCTATGGCTTGAAAAGTACTCATTTTTCAGTGCCATAGTTTAAAACTCACAGGTTAGCACTACTTTTTTCTTTATATGTCGCCAAAAAAAGGTGGAGTTTTCTCCCTGTTAGAAAGATTCCAATAATTGTGACTCAAAGTGTCTTCCCCTCATGCACCATAAGTTTGGGGATCTTTTTTTTTCATTTTTCAATGCTTTAACCATGTTCAAAACAGTGAAACTTTGTCATTGTGACATCATAACGTAGCACTTTTAGCATTTAAAACAAGCCTATATGTTAAAAACTATGTGTCGCCTAACTGGTCGAAGCAGTGACATTTTTCTTGTTTTTTTCCTCATCAGGTCGTTGTGAATGCCCTCATAGGAGCCATCCCCTCCATCATGAACGTGCTCCTTGTTTGTCTCATCTTCTGGCTCATCTTCAGCATCATGGGAGTCAACCTGTTCGCCGGCAAGTTTGGAAAATGTGTGAACAGAACGGGTTTTATCCACAACATTTCCATCATCAACAACAAGTCCGACTGTCTGGCTATGAATGACACCCAGTTTTACTGGACAACGGTCAAAGTCAACTTCGACAACGTGGGGCTCGGCTACCTTTCCCTCCTGCAAGTGGTGAGCTCCCTCCACCTGCAAACAGTTGTGTTTTTTCATCTGTCCAATATACGAGTTCATGGACTGTTTTGTTTCCACCAACAAGAACGTTTACTTTAAGAAGAGCTCCTATGGTAAAAATGTCCAGACAGCTGAGAGGGCAAACCCTTTCTTTGGTCATTTTAACAAGTCAGAAAGTCATTGCAGGGTTGATTTCTGTCAGATGAAACCAGGTTTTCACAGTTATGTTGTGTTGTGTCATGTTATAGGCAACATTTAAAGGATGGATGGAAATAATGAATGCGGCTGTTGATTCAAGAGGAGTAAGTATATCCATTTTTTCAAGGCCAGCTTTATGAATGTCTTGCAGTAACCGAGTGACTCTAAAACACTTTTTTTTAAGGTGGAGGAACAACCCAGTAGAGAAATCAACCTCTACATGTACATCTACTTTGTTGTCTTCATCATATTTGGTTCCTTCTTCACCCTCAACTTGTTCATAGGTGTCATCATTGACAATTTTAATCAGCAGAAAAGAAAGATAAGTATTAACACTAGTGTCAACTGTGTTATTTAATATCTTTTAATAGTTTTTTGCATTTCAATGTATTAGCAAAAAGGATATAAAAAGGCTAAAGGCTAAAAAATCGGCAATTTATAGAATTTTTTTTTTAAACTGCAAACTAATCTGGCTCCCTCAACAACGCACAGAGTAAAGTAGAGAATGGTAATTCCAAGCAATCCAATTGGATTGGAAATAATTTGTCTTAAACTTTAAATACTTTAATAGAGAAACATGTTTGCATTTCTGTAGAGAATAATGTGAGCTATTTTTTTCATTTGTACTTAGGGGGACAGGATATCTTCATGACTGAAGAACAGAAAAAGTATTATAGCGCTATGAAGAAGTTGGGATCCAAAAAGCCTCAAAGGCCAATACCAAGGCCCGGGGTACAGTAAAATAACTCCCACATAAAATTCATTTTGAAGATGCTTATGCATTATCTAAAATTTCTATCAATGGAAATTCTAAACACGCAAGCAAACATCTGTCCTGGATCTTGCATTAGAATCGATTTACTTACCGAGAACTGCTTGTACTATTTCCCCATCGCAGAACATTCTTCAAGCCTTCTTCTTTGATCTGGTCTCCAAGCAAGCCTTCGACATCATGATCATGATGCTCATAATTGTCAATATGGTGACTATGATGGTGGAAACCGATGAGCAGTCCGAGCGAATGGAGTCCATTCTCAACAAGATCAACATGGTCTTCATTGCGATTTTCACCACTGAATGCCTGATCAAGCTTTTTGCCCTCCGGTGTTACTTCTTCACAGTTGCATGGAACATTTTTGACTTTGTGGTGATAATTCTCTCTATTACCGGTAGGTAAAAAGGGAGATTCGCTTCTGTATTTCTATTTTTATTAATCGGTCTTTGAATTTAAGTTGTTTTGGGTTCATAAAGTTCACCGAAACAAAGTATAAACACAACATTGTTTGGTTATTACTTTATCACAACTGAGATGAACATCCACAGGCTCAATATAAAAAGAGTTGTATTTCTGTGTATCAAATATCTGGAAAAATAGGATATGTTATCATGCCAAGGGAAGATATTTGTGGATCCAATAAAAAAATAGGAATGGAAGCCAGGCCAGTATATTAACCTAAACCAAAAAATGTTCCAGATCACATAGTCAAGCTGAAGAAATCTTCACCCAATTTTTATCGGTTTGCTAATGCAAGAGTCTCTCCACACAATGAATAATTGTAACCAAACAATTCATTGTTTATGTGGAGGGGGGGAAAGCATTTTCACTTGTGACTAATTTGTTTCTCCGTCTCATCTCAGGGATTGTTCTCGCTGACATAATTGAGAAATACTTTGTTTCTCCAACCCTGTTTCGAGTCATTCGACTGGCAAGGATCGGACGCGTGCTTCGACTTATACGTGCAGCCAAAGGAATAAGGACTTTACTGTTTGCCTTAATGATGTCCATGCCCGCACTCTTCAACATTGGCCTCCTGCTTTTCCTGGTCATGTTCATCTATGCCATCTTTGGCATGGCGAACTTTGCCTACGTGAAAAAACAAGATGGGGTCGACGACATGTTCAACTTCGAGACCTTTGGGAACAGCATCATCTGCCTTTTTCAGATCAGCACTTCGGCTGGCTGGGATAACCTCCTGAGTCCGATAATGTCAAGTCCTCCGGAAGAGTGCGACAGCGCTTACGTCAACACTGGCACGAACACCCGGGGAAACTGTGGCAACCCCTCGGTGGGCATAGCTTTCTTCGTCAGTTACATCATCATTTCCTTCCTTATTGTTGTAAATATGTACATAGCCATCATTCTGGAGAATTTCAGCGTTGCCACCGAGGAAAGCACCGAGCCGCTGAGCGAGGACGACTTCGAGATGTTTTATGAGGTCTGGGAGAAGTTCGATTCGGAGGCCACGCAGTTCATCGAGTTCCCCATGCTTTCCAACTTTGCCGACGCTCTGTCGGAGCCGCTGCGCATAGCAAAGCCCAACCACATCAAGCTGATCGCTATGGACCTTCCCATGGTCAGTGGGGACAAGATCCACTGCCTGGACATCTTGTTTGCCTTCACAAAGCGTGTGCTGGGAGAGTCGGGTGAGATGGACACCTTAAAGCAGCATATGGAGGAGAAGTTCATGATGGCCAACCCCTCCAAAATGTCTCACGAGCCCATTACCTCCACGCTGCGCCGCAAACTGGAAGAGGTGTCTGCGGTCATCATTCAGAGGTGTTACAGGAGGCATCTTGTGCGCCGGCAGATGAAGCAGGCGTCCTATCTCTACAGACAAATAAACCAGGAGACTGTAGTGGATGTGGAGAACCCCCCGGAGACAGAGGGGCTGATAGCCTGCATGCTACAACACTACAGTTCCATTGGGGTCGCAGCTGCACAGATAACGGAGGACACACTCATTTCTTCTCCACCGTCTTACGATAGTGTGACACGGGGAGCCTCGCTGAGTCCCTCTGACGCACTCAGATCATCGGCCAGAGGCCCCGAAGTGGGAAAAGCTGGTGAGAGCTATGAGGAAACATTTCTTTGAGACTCAGCGACATGGCGAGTGACACATCTGATGTCGTCTATTTTGTTTACAGCTGAGAATAGGGATGATGGCACCTCACAGTCAAATGGATCGGTTGTTTTCAATGAGGAAGAAACATGCAATGTTTTCAAGTAGCTAACAGCCTCTGTTTCAGTGAAATAACACAGATGTAGAGTAGCTTACATAGTCATGATCGTCAAGAGAGCAGGTGAAGAGCTACAATGTGAAACTTGTTCTCAAAACATCTTAAAAACCATTCATTCTGACTTTTGACATCACAGTATGAAAGCACAAAAACTTGGGTACTCTAAATGCGTTTTTTTCAGCTATTTTGAATCGTCCTTGTCTTTGCATAAATATGACCAGCCGAGTTTCTGTCTTTCCTTGGCCTCTAATATTGGAATTCTACTCGTAAAAATCTGATGAGGTCATATATATTTGTGCAAATGTGGACAATTCAAACTTCAAGAAATTCTCTGTGAACTGAGCAGCAACTTTATAACAGGAAACGTGTGGATATCAAACTCTCTTTATCATATTCAATCTTATTTTATAGCACATTAAGTGCTAGCAGCTATTATCTGTGTGTGTGTGTTCTCTTCACTCTGGTTATTGTACAAATTCAATCCAAAATTAGGGCACCTTGCATAAAAGTGAGCTAGTAGATTTGCTAAAGATTGACATTAATTGAAATTATTTTTACTATGACTGGCACTTATTTATATTTGTGCTACTAAATCTGTATAGCACATGTGCAAATAAATATATCTTTTGTATCTTTTGGTTACAGAAGGGAGAGATTCTTTGCTAAACGGAAGCTAAAGCTGCTACATGTTTTTAGGGTTTTTAGAGCAGTTTACAAAAGCAGAAAAGGAGTATTTTTTATCATTAACCTTTGTAACAAAGCTATCTATTTAAAGTTGAAGCATATAAAGTTTTACATATACATGTCAATAGATGTCAGATATTTTTTTTGCCAACTTTTTATTAGCAGGCTATATATTACACACCAATGTTGACTGTGGGAGTTACAATGTGAATATTCAGGTGTTGGCCAACACATTATGACAAAATGAAGCTGTTAAAGACAAACAGTTAACAAAGTCTAAGAGGAAATCATCAATTTTGATGCTTCAAAACTATTCTTATTGGAAAATAAAAATACATTTATGTACACGTTGAATATTTTCTACAGTACAATGGTAAAATGTAGCCTCTTTATTTCAAAGCATAAACTTTTTTTAACCGTTCTTGTTATGTCTTCAGTATTAAACAGCTGCTAAATTTACAATGTTTTCCCGGGTAAAAAATAAGAGCACAAATTACGGTTACCTTGCACATCTAACACATTATAAGTTTGACTTGTGTGTCAGTGACAAAGAAGGGCTGTGTGTACTAGTAATATGTGATTAATGTGCCTGATCTCAATTTTTCTGCACACTTCTCCGAACCTCTCCAGAAATTTTCATTTTGATCTGATGGATTTGAGGGGCATGAATGCACCGAAAGCTCATTTTTGTAATTAAGTGTGTAAAGAGCTTCGAGGTTTTAATGTATGTAAAGCTGATTTTTACCTATTTTTTGTAAAATATTTATATTACAAGGCCATCTCAGTGACTGGTGATGGGATAACACAGTATGATTAAATTACATATATATAACATGTTCATTTTTATATAAAAGTCTTTCCTCCAGAACACAATCATTTGCATTGCATTTAGTTACAGCAGTTCATGGATTGTTTGTCAAATGGTAATAAAACTCTTTTCCATATTTGCCAGCATCCCAACTGTCAGTGCAGTTCACAGTGACTCATATTTAATATTGGCATATGCTATATTTACATTCTGTTCTGAAATGAGAATGAAAAATAATCAATTCAATACTGCAGTGTCTCCATCTTTACATCAAAAGCCAGTTAGCTTATTTGACCTCATTACAAATCATAGTGCTGTTACATCTCTCTCTCGCTCTCTCTCGTGTATGAAAAAAAAAATAGACAGATGTGCACAGACCTCTGCATCTCCATAGCTATCTGCCCTTGTGAGCGTGTTGCCCTTTAGAGCTTAAATTTGTTTATAATGCCTCTACAAATGCAGCACAATCACATAAAACCTCCTCAACATCATAGCTTAAATGTTATTGTAGAGAAATGGAGGCTCACACACACACACACATGCACAGAAAACCACACAAAGATGCTACTGAGAGATTAACCACTAGTCATGGAAAATTCACTAATAAAGCTTGAGAACAACCTTTTTCTTTTTTTCTTTTTTTTTGCATTTTCTGTCTTAAGGGACTTGTCCGAAGGAAAGAAAGCTCTCAGGATTTCGCTTTTTTTGGACTGGTGAAATAATTATTCGCGAATAACGTTGGATTCATGTTAATAGTTTAGGGCTCCCACGCTTGGAGGAAAAAAAAAAATCATCAAGGGTGCCAATTTGGATTTAGCCCCAAAGAGATTTCCTCTCTCTGGTTGTCTACGCGGTCAAATCCAACTCTGACCAGCTGGGATAGAGGGATAATCTCTGTGTTAAAAAAAAAAAAAATCACTTGTTTTAATTACACACACACATGCACGCAAATACACAGTCTGTCTTTCCGTCTCTTGCTCTCTGACACGCACACACACACCCACATATTCAGTACATATATGCACTTCCATGCATTTACACATCTTTAACACGCTCATTTTAACTGTTGCCATCCATGCTCATAATCATACTGAATTAAACTTGCGCTTTTCTGTGAAGTGCCAGAAAACTGTGACTTGAGTGAATGTGACTTGGTAATTGATCTGATTTTCGAAGCGTCATGACATGTGGTGGAGATTAAAGCCTAATCAGAGCGAGAAAACACTTTTAAAAAAGATTAAAAAAGCACTATATCTAATTACAAAACGCAGCAGCTCACAGCCAAAAACCTGCAATGTCAATGTAATGCACTGCAAATTGCCTGCATGCATACTGCGAGCATGCTAATAGAAAATACATTTACTGGATTGCTTGTTTGCTGTGTGTTGTGTATTTAAATAATACTGATTTTAAAGAATGCCACAGGTTCTGTCTCAGGGTCATTATCCTGAGATGATTGCAATATGGGTCATTAACGGATAGAAAACTAAACAGTAGAGACTTTTTTAACAGTTTATGGCTTGATGGTTCATGTTCACAGCAGCAATTTAAGAAACACTTCTGGTTAATTTCATTTGAGCAGTGGGTTAAATGAAATGTAGTCTTTGGGCTAAGGCTGCACTAATACATTATTAAGGTTTTTTTTATGCAGATTTTTACAAAAAATCAATTTAACTTTATCTTATTTCAAAGGCCTTCCGAACTAGTGAATTATAGTAGAGAATACATCACTGTCGTTAATAAAGTACATTTTGGAAGGTTACTGCATAAAGTTTACCCGCTAACTTTAATGTTAGCTGATGTTAATGACTGAAATGTTACAGTTAGTGTTAATATGGTCCCAAGGTTTACCCCATCAACGAGGCTGGAACTTTAAAATAAAAAAAGTGGAATTTTTCTTTCTGGTAGCAGTACTACTCCACCAGTCAGCACGCTCTGCAGGGATTTACTTAGTCATGGTGGCCAGCACTGCCCAGAAGCCCCGTTGAAGCACATCTGATTCCTTATCCCATAGATTCTCTGATACTGATAGCGTGGTAGAAGGTTCCATGTTTTCCATGTTTTTATATATCATGATGGAAGTTTCCATCTTCATCAAATGTGGATCCGTATTCCCTTTATTTTGTGGCCTCAAAAGGGAATGTTACAGCTGTGCAGTAATTGAGCCAAATGATAACGCTTTTGAGATAAGCAGCAAAGAAAATTAAATTGATTGCAAAAAACACTTAAAAAACTGCATTGTGGTGTTTAAATGCAACTTATTTTTCTATTTTTCTGTGCGGATAAGGAGGGGAAGGGAGTTCAAAGTTACATTTAGGCTAAACGCTTTGGCAGATGTTGTTGCAGTTGTGAAGTTCTCAACTGTCAGTTTGTTTTAGAGGATGGAAACACACATGGAAAGAATGAACTAGACTTTGATGCAGCACTGTAAACTATGCTATGTGAGTTTCTCACCAAATTGGAATAGTTTATCTTTATTCCAAACTATGAGCAAATATAGAGACCAACATTTGTTCCATAAAATATTTTTTTTGCTGCATTTCCACAGTATGATTTTTTGGCTTCTGGTCTTTCAAAAAAACATTGTCTTTTTGCTTCAAATATATAAAGCTGATCTATTATACACATTCTGTGCCAGTTGTTACATGATGCGTGAAACCAAAACGGATGACCTCAAAAGCATTACTCAGAAAAAAGGTCAGCCGTGGTCAAACAGCCAAAATGGACTCCAGAGGTAAGTCTCTGTGCCTGAAATGTGATTCCAAGTGGTTCCTGTAGTCGTGCCAAATGCATCAGTCAGTAATTAATCACAATTTATTTAGTCCTTTATGTAATCATCTATTTTTTCCCTCAATCTAATTTTTTTTATTTGTTCTATACTTAAAAAAAAAAAGACATGTGACAGTAGGAGGTTGTGTAAAAACGTGTAACAAGTTATCTCATTGATGGAACATAGATGTGTTGTTGGGGTGTCATCCTCTTTGGTTTTGACTCCGGGGCAGACCGGACAGTACAGTGGCGCTACAGCTCCATCTAGTGGTTCAAAGTGGAAGTACAGCTAAATGTTATTACAAACTGTTTGCTCATCATTCTATTTGGAGGATATCCCTTTAAACCTCCAGGATTTCAGCATCATTTGCAACTTTTAAACCTTGTTACTTTCGTTTTCTGTATTCCAAAATCCTATGTCATCTAAGCTCCCTATCTGACGACTATCAGCAATTGATTATGACACAGCTTAGCATAGCTGCTCATAAGCAAAATACCAATCCAGTATCTTATTACCGTATGTTATGTGTCTTTCAAAATATTGCTTAACAAAATGTTTAAGAAATATTTAAAAAGTTATATTCACGTCATATTCCTCCAAATTAGATATGATTAAAAAAAATAATAACTATGAAATTAAATCACGGATTTTATATTAACCTTACTCTGTAAATACAATGTTAATCTGATACATTTTTAAAATATAAATCAAGTTATGCTAAAAACCCTTTCATGTTGCGAGTAATGTATTAGCCTCTACTGTCCGGTGATGCGGTGCTTGTGATTTTTACCATAGAATCAATTGAAGGGCGGAACCGACGGGCTGTCTTGTATTACAAAACGAGCAACCCTTTTCTAAACCGACTCTGACTGGGCCAACGCTCCCGAGAATAGTGTGTTTCAGGAAGAAGTTGGCGCCTGAAGCCCCATATTCTGGTTGCTAGCAAGCTAACCGAAACGATGAAAGATAGTCTAGTTTATTGAGTTTTCTCTCCAGGGTAACTAAGGACTCCCAAGATGAACGACATGGGTATGCATTATCTTGTAAAACTCGGCAACATGGAGTATTTGTGCATCTTTTGTGCCTAGCCGAATAACTGAAGAGAGGGATTAGCCGAGGTTTAGCAGGCCTTGACTATTCCCTGGAACAAGAAGAGTTTTTATTGCTAAAAATAAGCCGCCTCTGCTAAGCAGCCTTAGCGGCCTTGTGGCTAACACGTTAGCTGACGCTAACGTTTTATATTTAGCACAAACTTAAGAAAAAATATATAAATGCCTTTATAACTAAATAGCTTTTCAAGTGAGTAGAAATGTATTGACTGCATAATAACATGTCGTATATGCACTAGTAAAAATATATATTTATATACATACAGATGTAGTCAAATTCTTGACGTTAACGATGCACCCACAGAAAGTGTTTCAGTCTATGAGTGTTTCAGTGTCAGTAACATGTCAGAGGACAGCATGCAAACCTCTGTGCTCAGAATGAATCGACCACGCAGACGCGTGCATGTGGAAACTGTGCATGAATGGAGGAGTGAATGGCAGAAGAGCTGTGGACAGTGCTGACATCAGCAGCCGGACCTGAGCAAATGCATTTCCGGCCTCCTGTCAACACTGGTCATGTATGTTGTGATGAGTTTGCCAGCTGAAGCCACTTTTTATGTCAAACGAATGACTTCCTGCTTGTGTGTACTTGTGTCTGGGCAGAATTCAGCGTTCCTCTGTCTTCGCTGGCGCTCCTGGTCCCACCGCTTCGCTTGATGTCAGCAGTGATGTGGGAGGTGGTGAGGCAGCGCAACATCAAGCACTACGGGAAACTGGAGGAGTTCGTGTCCATGGTAACAGATGCCGTTCCTGAACTGATGAGCAAAAGAGAGGGCAGGCTGCTGTCACTCGGCCTGAGAGCGAGAGTAAGTGGAAATTTGGTGGATTTGCACAAAAGAAAACTCCATAGAAGCTGTCTGAGGAAAGGTCAAGTTTGCCAACTGTTTTTCCTCCAGACCACCCTGGAGCTGCTGCGCTCCGAACACCCGGAGGATCTCAAGGCGGTGGAGACTCATCTTAACAGGATTCGATCTTCGTGCATCGAGGAGGTGACAAAAATGATGTTATGCAAAAAGAATCACACATAAACACACTCCAGGACCCTAACTGGGTGGACGGTCTCTCTTTTTCTTATGTGAGGGTAAGTTGGTGACTGTCCTCTCACTGATGTTTTGCCAACCAGACAAACGACCATGTGATCGAAGCCCCAGAGGCAAACTTCATGAAGTTGGTGCAGGGCCTCATTGAAGACACTGACGGCAGGGAACACTTTCTCAAGGTAAAGAGCCTGGGTGACTTTGGCCCCGTCCATTACTCCTCTCATCAGAAACGTCACCCTCAGTGTTGAAGCACTTTGGAATAACTGGTCAATTAAAAGAATACAGTCAAATTTAGGGAGCTTACGTAGCAGAACTGAACACACCGCTGTCAGCTGTACGACAGCAAAAAGTCCCCAAGAAAAAACTTGGGGGCTTTTTGCTTATTTTTCTTATTAATTATTTTTAAGATTCAAGCTATACAAGCTAAAGTGAAAGACTGCTTTTCAGGAAGTAAAGTTTAAGTTGCATCTGTCTACATGTTAGCCATTCCAAAAGTAAAGATTTTGATTCTATATTACAGAAATCATATCACACCAAATGTATTTATTTATTTTATTATTATCATGGAGCACAAATTCTGCCTTTTCCAAAGGTGTCCCGACAGCATGGTGCAGAAGGAGACAAACAATATAAGCCGCTGCACAGCGTAATCTGCTATTTGCTCTCTGTCTCATACAAATCTGCCGGCTTTATCCCGTGTGTGACTCCAATAAAAAAATCCCCAGGTACATAATCCTCTCATCTGAAATGCGCGTCGCACAGGGTCGAGCTCCAACGGCCTGGAAGGCCCGGGTTATTTCAGAGCCATTAAAATCATTGTCTCTGTGACAACGTCAACAGTTAATGTGTGGCTGAGTATAATGCCTCTTTATGCCCCCCCCCCTCAGAATGTGTTTCCTGTGGAATACGGCCCTGACTTCGACACGGCGTTGGAGACTCTGGTTTGCGAGTTCTTCAGCAGGCTGGAGGAGCTGCTGCCTATACCGGATTTCAAACAGGCAAAAGACCGTCTCCACAAAACCGTAAAGCAGATGCTTTTATGGCCGCGTTCAGCCTCCATTTCCTGTTTTTTCTCCTCCCGGTAGACGGCGTCCTGGATCAGCGCTGCCCCCGCCGTGCTGGAGGAGTACATGCAGTGCGTGTCAAACGGGGACGACCTTAAATTCCTCCTCCAGAGCAAGCAGTGCCACGGGAAGCTGGCAAAGACCACCGTCGGTGTGTTTGTGGGTGTTTAAGACGGTGCTGGAGTTCCACACATGGGGCTTTTTATTCATTTTTCTCTCCGCCGTTCTCCCCCTGCAGCTCACTTTCAGTCGGACGATCTCCTGATCCCCTCCCTGTCCCTCCCGCCATCCCTGGAGGTGGCCATCGCTTCCCACCCGAGCAATTGCGACGACGAAAACGGCGAGGTCCCCCAGATCGTCATGTTCGACGAGGAGCTGTCCACCAACCCGTCCACCTCCGCCGACTTTCCCGAATCCCCCAAAGGGGCCGACGTCTCGCCGCCCCCCCGCGGGCGGCAGCAGCCGCCGGGGGTCCACAGGTGCCCCGAGTGCGACAAGTGTTTCAAGCACCACTCCGTCCTGGTGGAGCACCGGCGGGTCCACAGCGGGCTGCAGCCCTACCACTGCTCCCAGTGCGGCCGGGCCTTCCGGACCGCCACCCTGCTGGCCGGCCACCGGCTCCGCAAGTGCCGCAACGCCGCCTACCTCTGCATCAAGTGCGGGGACAGCTTCCCCACCTCGCTGGACAAGTTCCGCCACCGCTGCCCGAAGCGGGGCCGCCACCACGAGTGCGGCCAGTGCGGGAAGAGCTTCCCCAAGTCCAGCGGGCTGAAGGAGCACCTGCTGACCCACATGCAGAGCCGCCTGTTCAAGTGCAGCCACTGCGGCGCCGGCTTCTCGGGCATCGGCGACCTGAAGTACCACCAGCAGGTGGACCACGACAAGCCCTACCAGTGCCAGCAGTGCGGCAAGAGCTTCATCTCCTCCAAGAGCCTGGCCAAACACCAGCAGCGCCACCGGGAGGCCGGAGGGGCGGACATGGCCAAGCTGCTGGGCGGGGCTCCGCACCGGAAGGCCGCCCCGGGGGTCCGGACCTGCCCCGCCGCCCTGTCCTCCTCCAGGAAGACCCCGGTCAAAGCCGTGTACCCGCGCGGGCGGGTCACGCACAACTGCCCGCTGTGCGGGCGCAGCTTCAAGTACCGCTTCGAGTTCCTGGAGCACCAGCGCTTCCACACGGCGGTCAAGCCCTACAAGTGCTCGCAGTGCGGGAAGGCCTTCCGCACCGAGACCCACCTGTCGGCCCACCGCAAGCGCAAGTGCAAGAACGCCGCGCACGTCTGCACCAAGTGCGGCTGCCAGTTCCGCTCGCCGCACGAGCGCGTGCGCCACCAGTGCGTCCAGCTGCTGACCAAGTACGAGTGCGCGCACTGCGGGAAGACCTTCAAGATGGCCCACCTGCTGCGGAACCACCAGATGAGCGAGCACCAGCTGCCCTACAGCCCCGGCCACCGCTTCCGCTGCCGCTACTGCGAGGAGACCTTCCCCGGCATCAGCGAGCTCAAGTACCACCAGCGCGTGGACCACGAGAAGCCCTACCGCTGCCCGGAGTGCGGCAAGTGCTTCCTGTCGGAGAAGTGCCTGACCAACCACGAGCTGCGGCACAGCGACGAGCGGCCCGAGAGCTGCGCCGTGTGCGGCCGCGGCTTCCGCAACCGCTACGACCTGAAGCAGCACATGCGCACGCACACGGGCGAGCGGCCCTACCAGTGCACGCACTGCTCGCAGTGCTTCTCCACGGCGGGGGGGCTGCGGAGCCACACGCGGGTCCACACCGGCGAGAAGCCGCACGTGTGCCCGGACTGCGGCAAGGCCTTCTCCCAGATGGGCGCCATGCGCACGCACCGGCTCACGCACACGGGCGAGCGGCCCTTCAAGTGCGCCGTGTGCGGCAAGGGCTTCACCATGGCGCACAAGGTGACGGTCCACATGCGCGTGCACACGGGGGAGCGGCCGTACGTGTGCGCGCAGTGCGGGAAGGCCTTCTCGGACGGCAGCGTGCTGAAGCAGCACATGCTGAACCACTCGGGGGTGCGGCCCTACCACTGCCAGCTCTGCCCCAAGACCTACACCTGCCTCAACCACCTGCGCAGGCACCTGAAGAGCCACACCAGCATGACCTGAGCAGCCGGGCAAGCACGCGCCGGGAACCCAGCTAGAAAGAGCCAAATGCTGCACTTGCTTCTAAAAACAAAACAAAAGGGTACTGAGAGTTCAAAGGACCAACTCGACCTGCAATAAGGAATAATGAGCGATGCTGTGTGAATGCTGCGGAATGATCACAGGAAACGGCACTAAATGACACCTGTCCCTCGTCCCCCGCCAGGCTTTATGGAGTGTCCTTTGGTCTGTTTTCCTGTATGTGGGTCTCTAACGCGCGAACACATGCGGATGTTGGACTGTGGACTGTTTCATGGAGCTCCCACAGAGCCACAGAACGGGCTACTTCCTCCAATGACTTTTCAAATCCACATCTGCATTTTCACTTTTCTGTGGTGCAGGAGCGTGGAGTGAGAACAAATGCGGCTCTTCTGTGGCCCGTAGGGGGCCGTGTGCTGTCGGGCTGACCCTGCTGTATGATCAAATGTCGATTTTGAGGGGAGTTTATATTTTTTTGGAAAGGCTTTGAAAGACGAGTGGACGCGAGGCGGCCTACAGACACTGAAAGTGCAAAAGAGAAATTGTTGATAACCTTTGTTACGACATAACTATTTTTTTTTCCACCTTGCCTCTAGGCCTTTTATAACTACAACTTGATGTGTGAGCTTAGAATTAAAGTGGTTTGGTTAATCTTTGTGTTTGGACTCTTCTTTTTTCTTGCGAGAGAAAAACATTTTAATAGGTCTGCAAGAAAGATTAAACGGCTTCACTAGACGGCGGGTTTTTTTTATTTCCTGTAATTTACCCTTTCCCCCCTATTGGGTCATGCTGATTTAATCAAACATTTCCTTGGAAGCCTTCACCATCTGGGTTTGACGGCCATTTTTTTTCTCTGCTGCTGCAGCCCCTCCAGTGCGCAGAGGAGCCTAATTTGGCCTATTTCCTGTAATCAACTTATGGCATCGTTTTGAATCTTGATTAACGTGCAATTTCCTCGTGTTTTGCCTGGCGCCCAGAGGGATCAGATAAGGAGAATTACTCCCAATCTTATATACCACCGTCTTTCTGTAACGGAAAAAGGTCGATCGGGGCTATCTCCATTAACGAGGAGGCTGGTTTGTGTGCCAGATAATCAGGTATTGGATCACATGAACAGACACATCTGGGCGATCTTTTCCATCTGTTGGTGGAACGTGTTTTTTCGCTGGAAGGGAGAAATGGATTCACAGGAAAGTGCATCCATCGACAGATGCATGCGGCGTTAAATGTTGCAAGATGCGCAGCGGCGCGTCTTCTCCCAGACGCGCGCGGTGTGGGAGTTTTGTCTGAACATCGAAGCCCCCTTTAGAAAGATGTTGAGCATCTGGGCTTCAGTTGTGTTGTTTTTCTTTTCATCTTGATTTTGTGATGACGTGTTGGTGGTTTATGTCTCGACTCCCCAAACTTCCAAAAACTCATTTTGATGTGTGTTCTTTCAGGAAATGCACTGAGGCATCTGAAACTGTAAAACTCGCCGTTCTAATGAGGTCCATGTGATTTCAACGGAATACAAGTTTGAAGCAAATGAACGCATCGTACCATTCAGAGCCCCCACAGCTGCGCAAAAGCCGACAGATTTACTATGAGAGCCCACTAATAAATACAAATCATTACCAGATGTCCCTGTTTCTTGCATCCTCATCCCTCCTTCTCTTCGTTTTTTCCTGTCCTTCCCTCCTGACTTGGTGATCTCAGTGGAAAATCTGAGTCCTGGCCAGGCCTTCCTTGCTGTCCCACTCTGTGTCCACGTACACGCACACAAACACACGCGCGCATATCCACAGCAACCATGCAGCATCTACCCCCTTCGACACCTTGCCAAGTAAACATCCCACGCTTTTCTGCCCCCCTTCCACACTCCCCCATAATTTTTTCCAGAGTAACGTCCAAGACTAACACACCAAGAGCGGTAGATGGCACTGTGTCTCTTTTTGCTTTCCAGTTTAAAGGAGTTTGGAGAGAAAAAAAGACCCTCCTCGATTAGCGTTTTTTTGCCTTTATGTTCAGGTCAGGTCTGTGCTCCACAGTGAACCAGATGTCTGAAGTCTCCACCCACTCCAGTTCCACAGAAACGAGAGGGTTTTCTGCAGAACCGAGCACAAAATGCTTCCAATATGTTCTCCGGCTGCTTTTCATTAACTGGTGAAATCACTCCAGCCTGCATCTATCTTTGGGCCCCTGTCGTGTGTTTTTTTTTTCCTGTACGACACTTGTGAAAGTTCCTCAAACCTGTCCTTTTTTTCCCCCTGCACGACACTTGTGAAAGTTCCTCAACCCTGTCCTGCAGGATTGAAAAACGAAGGATCATCTCTGGCCTCTGTTGTGAAGCCAAAACCACAAAATGAGCATGACCACTTTCAACATTCTCATACTTCACAATATAGTGAAGTTACTATAGAACATCACGTCTGTGCGCTTGGAGCACCCACTGCAGTCAGCACTTTATTATCTCCTCCCTCGCCACTCCCAACTTTAAGGAAGTTTGTGCATCGAGCCCTCACCGTAAAGTTTTGGCCCGTGCGCGCTCTGGTGCAACCATCATCTCCAGACTAATACCGTGAACTCCTCCTTCTTCCCCCTCCCACGCCGTGCGCACTGGTTCTCCTCTGCGCGCTCTGGGTCTCGCGTCGGACAAATTGCGGCGGAGCGCCGGATCCTCTAAAGTTGGCTGAATTTGCGTAAAGGGGGGGTACAAGGTTCGGTTTTTATTTTTATGTGGACTCGGTTATTATATGACTTGGTTTTCAGGCTAGATTTCTTAGCAGTTTGACCATGGAGACTCTCAGAAGTCTCCTCACGCTGCTGTGCGTTTTCCTGGCCGGAGCGCAGATCCAGACGCAGATCCAGATTCCCAAGTATGAGGGTAAGTTTGCAACTTTAATCCTTTACTCTACTGCTCCTGTGATGTTGCTGCATGCAGAGTGGTCATCTTACAGTTTGATTAACTGACGTCATGTTTATGAGATTTGAACTGCCCACAGCTTACATGCTTTTCCGAATCTGCGAAGCCTTCCAAATCAGTAGCGCATATGCAATTAAATTAAAAACAGAATGCCAAGCCAGGAGGTGAAGGCCTCCTGGCGAGTGGGCCTTTAGGTTTGTAGTAACATGTGTTAGGAAAACAACGTATAATTGTAGCCAAGAAATGAAGCATAGAGGCACTTCGGGATTGCTCCACAACGCGCAACGATTGGTGAAACGCCAGAATCCACAAACCGCCATGTTAGAGCCGGTGTCACCTGTCGGTCAGCCTGTATTCATCTGAAAGATGGAACATTGTTTCCATAATCCACCGTGATGCCTCTACCTGCAGCAGTGGTGATGCCTGTGCCGTGCCACCTGTCCTCAGAGGACTGTGGCAAACCCGGTCCCAAGCTGGCACCATTAATGTTGTGTTTCAGTCGTGCCTTTTAAGATGATCATTTTCTCCAATTGCCATGTTTGTTTGTTTCCTTTTTTGAACAGAGTGCCCCGTTGACCTTTTCTTTGTATTGGATACATCCGAGAGTGTCGCCCTCCGAAAGAAAGAGAACTCCTTTTACATTGATCAGATGAAGGAATTCACCAACGAATTCATAGATGAGCTCAGGCAAATGTAAGACAACTATGCACACTCACACACACACACAACCACACACGTAAAGATCTTTTACTTGTGTGTACCTGGATGATTTTGACCTCTTACAACACAGCAGTGATGTACCTCCATGGTGTGGAACCACCACTGGTTGTGGGCACAAGTGTGTCCTGTGCATGCTTCTGCTGTGATGTTATGCTCAGCTGACCAATATTGAGAAAGTCCCCCGCTTTTTTTTAACACCAAAACAGTCTTTGCCCATCACAGACTCCACTAGGCCTCACCTAACCATAGGTGAGGCCTCCTTGAAGTCCTGTATGACCATGTCCAACCCATCCTTGAGACATGAAGATTTTGGGGAATTAGCAAGCCAAGTCATCTCCTCGAGTTGGCTTCCCTTTGGCACCCAAAAAGGTGTTTTGCCATTAGGTAATGCACCTTATCAGCAGCCATCTTTAGCATGGTGGTACATGGCCACATGACATCCTTTAGAATAAATGGAGTCCCAGTCTAACGGAAAGCAGAGCCCAAAGCATCCCTCTGCTCCAACCCACCTGTTCTCTTCCCACACTCCATTTTTCTGCCATGTCTTTCCCAGATACATGACATGATGTAAAAGAGAATCCAACAACCTAAGCCAACTTCTGTCTTTGCCTCCGGTCCACTTTTGATGCTCAGTGCACACACTAGGTGCCTACGCAGCCCAAACTGGGATGCAAGACGTGCTCTGACAACCTTTTCTTTTTTCAGAGACAGGGTTACCTTCTCTGGCAATTCTTTTTTTACTTTGAGTTTGCTTTTCTGTTAGACCCAAAAGCAAGGCCTGTGTCTTCAGTCCCCATGTGTATCGGGGGACTCTTTTCGGCCCTCTGACCAGGTTTGCCTGGGTCATCACAACTGACATGCGACAAAAGCTGCTGTTTGTTTTCGATGTCACTTCTCATTCGAATTCTTGCCAAAGGTTGTTTTACTGCCACCTGAGGATCGGCATAATCCCCAGTTTTTCACGTCACCTGGTTGTGTTAGGGCGGATTGGTGTACTGGACGAGCCCATCGCAGACACATAGTGTGCCATAGTCAGAACGAAAGTTACCCACACAATCAAGTCATTATCTAAATTCTACATCTTAGTTTGAACGATGTGATGTGGAACTGCGTTCATTGTGAGTTGACGCTCTCTCCAGGCGCCACCACTGCGACCGCACCGTCACGTGGAACTCGGGAGCGTTGCACTACAGTGACGAAGTCATCATGGTGAAGGAGCTGAGTGACATGCGCACGCAACGCCAAGCCCTGAAGGACGCCATCAGTAAGATCAGCTACATCGGCAAGGGCACGTACACAGACTGCGCTATCAGGGAGGCTCTGGCTGAGCTGCTCACTGGGTAAGGACAGCACTCGCACAGAAAACAGCAAAGGAAGCGGCCATCATCTCTGACACTGTGTGTGTGTGTGTGATTGCATGCAGAGGCTCCCACTACCATGAGAACAAGTACATCGTGGTGATTACTGACGGCCATCCGCACACCGGTTACAAAGAGCCATGTGGAGGTGTGCAGGAAGCTGCCAATGAAGCCAAGCACCATGGAGTAAAAGTGTTTTCCGTGGCCATCTCGCCCGACCAGGAGGTACGAAACACACTCTCACAAACAAACACACAGAAGTTTCTCCCCCTCGGCACACGGAACAAACTCAAAAGCTCACGAGCCAAACTCTAATCGGTACATGTAGAATGTCAAAATCGTATTTTTTTTTAGGCAGTCTCTTAAGTTTTCTGAAAGATTTTAGAGCAGCATATGTTGCAGAAAAGAACTGGCCTCAGTCCATACTGGTCGTTAGGAGCTTTTCCTTAGGTGATGCAATTGTACGATTTAATAGGTCAGAATTTCACTGAAACAAAAGAGAAACGCATTGTAGTTTTTTATCTTTGATGAAAAGTTGGGATCCTGTCGCAAAAACAGATCCCGTTGTGTGTCTGTGTGCAATACCAGTGACACTTGCTGTTTGACATAAGCACCAAGACTCGGCAGACAATATTTTACAGGCCAGTTTAGATTCGAACATGAGCAATGCTGCCAATAGCAAGCAGACATTTTCATGGGTCATGATCTCTGCAATATGATGTCTGTGAATGTCACATGAACGCTGGTTGACAAATGGATCCCCTTTTAACACCAAGGTAGGCCTTGTCTGATTTCACGAAACAGACGTTCGATCAGAAAGGCACAGCTAAGGCCTCTTTAGGACCTGTTGGTGAAGATGTTTGTGTTTTTGGTTCTTCCCCCAGGAAAGCAGGCTCTTACTCATTGCCACAAACCGGAATTACAGACAGAACTTCACCGCTGCGGATGACGCCCGATCCAAAAAGACTAAATCCATTCAATCCATCATTGAAATTATTGTATGTATCATCTTCTCTGGTATCTGTAAATGTCAAAGAAAAAGTATGCATTTAAAACTAACCACCTTCTCATTTTCCTTCTTTCAGACGAATGAGACCAGGGATGCGGTAAGTCTATCTATATAGAAGTGTTTTTAGGTAAAATGGGAGGATATTGCCACCAGTGATGGGGTTTGTTGTATAGCAGGAGAGGCTCATTTGACTCTGCATTGTGCTAAAAATTGCGACTATTGTTTTAAGCTTTTGGGACAGTTTGTCTCGAATTTCACCTCTTTGTTAAATCTATGAATGAAAATATTGTATTCAGCGTTTTATTGGGTAAAACAATTGAAAAGCATTTTTCTTATGACCTTTTATGACCAAGACAGAATTGTTTGTCCGAGAGCTGTGTACAGCTGTTTTCTCCACTAAATATTTATTTAAGTGTTTATATTGGGTTTGACTGTTTAGTTTGATGCATCTTAATAAGACATGCTGCAGCTGGGAAATGCTTCCAGAAAATTATAAACAAGAGTCATTCAAATCATAGGAGATGATTTTGTGTTTTGGGGGGAATAAGTGGTCAGCAAGGCTCAGTCTTGTCTCTTAAACTCTCCTCTTAATTTTTTTTCCCCAGTGTTGCTCCTATGACTGCACTGTAAGTTTTCCTTTATTTCCCTTTTCATCTCGAAACAAACACAAATGCCATGTCCTCTTCGTCTTCTACTGAGAAGCATAATTCATTTCTCGTTTGGTCTGCAGCCTCCCGGAGGAGACAAAGGCGATAGAGGAGATGATGGCACAAAGGTGAGGTGTCCATCGGACAAATCGGGCCGACGGAAGACCACAAACCTGACCTGGAACCCCCTGAGGTCATTGACGTTCTTTTCCTATCTCTTCAGGGAGAAGCAGGCCGACCGGGAATCCCGGGAGAAAAAGGCAGCATCGGTGACATGGTGGGTACCAAACTTGAGGAAGATGCAGAGGTACCCCTATTTCACTGGAGATGATCTAACAGTCCTGTCTTCCTGTTGCAGGGCAGCCGTGGTGATCCTGGTCCAGTCGGCTACACTGGAATGAAGGTGCAGTGCTCCTAAGCATTAACCAAACAAAATGTTGGCAAAAATGAATTATGTCAGCATAATTATGTGATTTTACAATAGCAGCACAGGATTTTAGCTTCAAACACCAATTTACTTCTTGTGGTTGTTTCTTAATGTCATTGATCCATTGAGTATTAAGAAGCTGTGGTATTGAATATTCCTCAGACTCATAGGTTTAGAATATATTTAATTGACAATTAGCATTCAGCGCTTTCTGACTGAGGCTTCATCCACTCTATCAGCTCATTCACACAATAATGGGTGTATTTTCCCTTCCAGGGAGACCGCGGAATCAGGGGAGACAAGGTACCATCAGTTTGAAAAACAAAACTATTTCCAAAAAATATTCAGATTTTTCTCTAGTCTGTTGAGTTCAACATGAGTGTTTGTTTTTCTGCAGGGTGAACGAGGACAAAAAGGCTTCAAGGTGCGATGCTCCCAGTGCTGTTCCACTACTGTTTGTTGTGAAATCACTTTTTCCCTTTCTTTGTCCAACTCTCCGGTCCTCTAACCCTTGCATTTGTTCTTCCATCTCAGGGCGACAAAGGTCTAAGGGGGAGGGATGGAATCGATGGACACAAAGTAAGTAACAGTACAAATAGGGCAGATATTCCACTTTTTCCTTGCTAAGTGTCTTCGGCGTTTGACTTATTTATGATTTTTTTTTTTTCTCATTAGGGTGAACCTGGCTTTGCGGGCCTTCCGGGCTGTAAAGGTTCCCCAGGACCAGATGTAAGTGTGCCTGTTTAAACCCCAGATTAAAGAAACTGTCTATGAGTCAGCCTCCACTTACAGTAGATGCACCCGAGTGCAGACGGTTTGAACTGCAGCCAGATGGAGGACAGCCACTCATCAGATGCTCACAAACTGTACCTCTCACGAGGAGTCTGAGGGAACGCAGCTGCACGCAGCCTATCAGATAGGATGACGTTACAGCGGGCTTTCTATTTGGAGTCCTAAAATTTTCTTGTACACAGACAAACCCCTTCCGCATCCACCCCAAGACTCGGCCTTCTTTGTTTACAGAATAGCCATTAGCCACATTTCCACTTTTCAGGAATGTTTCCCCGACCAACATCAGGCTCTGTGCCTTAGTCCCCTGGCTCTTTAATCAGGGCTTTGTTTACATACTCTTCTGTCAGGCTGTTTGACTGAAGCCATATAGTCATTCTCCAAACAAACCGCAGCACTCACGCATACACGAGCGGACAAGCGCTGCACCCTTAAAGATCGAGTGTTGGGCCTTCTGCTGCTCGACATCATCACACACTGGACTGGACCCCGTTTGTGTTGTACGTTTTCAGGGTCAAAAGGGAGATGGTGGACCCAAGGGGGACCCCGGCCCGTACGGAAGGAAAGGAGCCAAAGTGAGTTGGGAAGATTTGAGCGTCTTGTGCGTCTTGCCCTTGCCTGTTGGCGCTCTGCTTTAAGGCCGTGCATGTTCCATTCAGGGAGATACCGGAAGAGATGGCGAACCCGGAAGGCCTGGAGACACCGGACCCTCGGGACCGAAGGTAAGAGAAGCGAAGCACGGAGACAAGGTGAAAGGCGGCAGGTACGGGCTTTTAACCATGTGCGTTGTGACAGGGCGATAAGGGCACGCGCGGAAACAACGGAGACAAAGGAGAGCGTGGTGACGATGTACGTGAGGACTCCTCCGGATGACGTCAAACATTTCAGCGCCACGGCGTCCGAAACAATCTCTGAGTTCATGTTTCGTGTGTGTTTCAGGGACTACCTGGGTCAGACGGACCTCCCGGCGATAGAGTAAACAGGATGAACAATGACATTGTGCATTTAGCCAGGTTGTGTGCGTGAGCGGACTGCCGAGATATTTCACATTTCTTATAGGGAGAATCTGGAGAAAAGGGCGAGCAAGGATCCCGTGGAAACAGAGGTCCAAAAGGGGATCCGGTAAGCGATAATAAGGATGCTGAAAAAAAAAAACTGAAAGCACATTTACAGGAAATCAGAAAGCATGTCCTCCTTCCTTAGAAATTCTTTGATACAGGCACTGGGTCAACATTAAGGGAGTTCATGCTATTTCTACAGCACCCCGATGTGACTTCATTGGAAACTTTCCTCAATCTGCTTTGCCTATGAGAATATTTTTGGTCGACTTCTAAAAACAAGTTCTTCTCCTTGCCAGGGGGAGCCAGGACCACGCGGGGAGCCAGGGAGGGAGGGTGGAGCCGGTGAGAACGGAGACCCTGTAAGTGAGACGCATTCAAACATGGCCGTGGGACAGTGGGCGGAAACGCACCGCTTGAATGAATCACCAACGTTCCCCTCGTTAGCTATCCTGTTTTTTTCCCCATCTCGGTGGTGAGAACTCTCTCGTAGGTCCATATTTTATGCTGAAGAAGATTAAGCCTCACCAGAGGCAGACCTGGCTTTGGCCCTGCCGCCCACTCCACCCGGCGAATGCTCCCTTTTTTCTCTCCAGCATTTACTCCTTACTGGGAACACCAACACTCACTCTTTCCCCTCTGACTCAGTTCTTCTCTCCATCTGCTCGAGCCAAAGCCTCAGTACGGTTTTTCTTAATAGGTCACACGGCAGCGTACTGAAAATAATGAGCTGCAAGCTCCCCCGTGATGTCAGAAGCTTGAATGCCTCTTTTGTGCTCTTTTATTTCGTCATCAGTTCTCAGTAACTGAAAAGTACGGAAAACATGGACGACCTGTAGTGACAGGCCAGTCCCACACACAGTAACAAAAAAAAAAAAAAAAAGAAGAGACACCCTCACATGCAGCCATGTCCTTATTTGTAGTTATGTGGAAGTGGGCTGCGGGTTCTGTGACATCAAAGTGGGGAACAGAGGTGTAACCCAACAGATTTGTTGGAACCGACAGAATCAAGATCGAGGCTTTATTCCAAATTATTACTACATGCAGATGTAGCTCAACTTGCAAATGATGCTGCTGTTTCACAGTTTAAATATATGCTTGTGTGTTTTTTGGGAGGGCTAATTATAGTACAAAATACGTATATGTATTTTTTTTTTATGTGGACTGTTTGAAATGTGTTTTATTTTTGTTTTTTTTTCCTCAGGGCGAACGTGGAAGGCCAGGTCTTGCAGGGTACAGAGGAGATGAAGGGGCACCTGGACAAGAGGTGAGTCGAGAAAAGCCAAAGCCGATCAATCCTCCGCTGTCTGCCAGAGATACAACTTGTATATTGCATGAGATTTTCATGTATTTGTGTTTTTGGGCGAACATATGATTTGCTTGGAGAGGACCCAGCTCAAACCGGGTTAGGAAGGAGAGGCCTTAAAAAAAGTGTTTATTTTTTTAAGATAACAGTTCCTCAATTGTAGGTGCTCCAACTTGGCATTGTGAACCTGTGGATCTTTCCAAGTTACTGGAATCTCATAATAAGCCACTGTAAGGGAGCATCATGCCGGAGTGCGGGTTAGATTTCAGCTTTGATGGTTACGTCATTAAATCCTTTCCATCCTAGAAGTCCCCGCACCGTATCGCATTCTGGGGAAATACAGTGTTTCCCTACACTGACTAGTATGCGTGTGTCAGTGTTTGCTGACTCATTTTCATGACTCTTTTGAGTTTATTTAAATACGGCTCTTGCCAGGTGATGACAATTTGGAGATATAATCAAGGCCTTGTCAGGGGATCGAGTTCAAGCTTTTAGTTTTATTGCGCTCACTCCCACTCGCACAGAGACTCACACACCCTCGCAAATCGTTTCAGCAAGAGTTTTTTCTTGAGTTTTTGCATGTTTCTAATCTTATCTGTCTTCCAGGGACCAAAAGGACCAAGGGGGATCAAAGGAGCTCCAGGAGACAGAGGCACAATGGGGGAAAGGGTGAGTCAGGCACTCATGCAGGGGGTTAGAGACAGATGTGTGCCATACATCATTGGCCCTCCCTGCCATGAGGGTTGCATATGTGTGCACCACATATCGATCTGTCAACTTACATTTTTATGTTTTCCTGCAAAGGGAGACGATGGGGCCCCAGGAAATGGTACAGTAGGATGCCACGGTTTCCAGGTTTGTGCTGCAGCTTGTTTAATGCATTTTATGTATGCATTATGTATGCTTTCTAAATTAGCAACATCTGTACATTTTTTTCTGTCATGTTTCTTTGCTTGATTGCTTTTAGGGTCATCCTGGGGCCCGCGGAGACATTGGTGAGAAAGTAAGTCATATCCCCCTTTTTTTTTTCAAAGAATTTTAGACATAATTGTCAGATGTTTGCATGCACATTTGAGATATAACATTTAATGCAACAGTGCAGCTCTTATGGTTATCCAGTGCTTTCAGAAAAATGACTAAAATGGCGTTTTCTGGGTTCTGTTCATATTCTTTTATTACATTTTACAAATTGTGCACACTGACCCATCGTGTGGACAGCCTCGTTTGAAGCAGAAACAGTGTGAAATGGATTATCATCACAGTTTTGCTGTTCGACCTCTCAACATTTGCTTTGTGACCCTTAGGGTAGCAGCGGTCCTCCTGGCAGCAAAGGAGATGATGGAGAGCCTGGAGATCCAGGCCCCGATGTAAGTCTGCCTTCAATTTTGAGTTCCTACTTACTTTTGATCTCTTTTTTTTTTTTCTTGCCTCAATCCTTCTCTTGGCAGCAATTGCTTACAGGATTTGAGTCACATGTCTTGAATTAAGGGCACACATACATGTTTATTTATGCTATTTTACCAGCTGAAAAAACTAGGTGACTATGTTTTTTAACTTTTAGAATTTATCTTGGACTAAATGTTTTTTCTAGTAGCTTTTTGGATGTACTTTTCTTTCTTTTTTTTGGCCATTGATGTTTCTCCCACCCTCTTCTCCTGTTTAGTCTTCTCCTCTTCATCTCCAGCAGCTGGAAATGCTTTGGACATTTGAACTCATTTTGAGTGTGTTTGTGTGTATGTGTGTGTGTGTGTGTATCATTGGAGAAGAAGGCTCTGAGCTGATGCAGCTGTGTATATGCCGTTGTTAAGGATACCAGGAAATGAGCAGAAACGATGGAGAAACAGCTCATGGGCTGTGTGAGCGAGTGAATGTATTTGCATGTGCGAGTGAATTATTTATATCCATACAGCTCGCAAGATTTAACACTTTGACCCCCAATTCAAGTTAGACGTGTTTACACGAACACTACTCCTTTTCCAAGCTCCCTCCGTTATGACATGAGCAGTCCAAGATGTTTACACTTCCCTTTTATCTCTTTGTCAGTGGCCCCTGACCACTTTCTTTCACATCAGTCACCCTCAGTAAGAGTTAGACTCGCAATGCTAGATCAGCTTACAGGTTCTTAAGACTTTGCAGAGGAATGGACCTGTTAAGGATTAGATACACTGCAACTCTCCACATCAATCAAGAAGTATGTTATCCCAAAGGAATTCTTTCTGGAGAAATGACAGCAACATATAGGAGAATACTAACAAAATCAGTTGAACAAATAACTGCACAAGTCCTTTGAAAGTGTAACCACATCCTTTTAGAAACAAAAAAATGTCTTGAATAGTTCATCTTCAAGTTCATGAAAAGCATTTCATGAGCCAGTCCTCCACCACGTCGTCGCTGTGTGAAAGTATTCTGAAGTGGTTCTGAATGTTTAATTGTTAAGAAATGTCTTAAGAAATATACAAAATCGCCTGGTAGCAATTCCAAACCAGAGGTGTTTGGTTTCATTTCATTAGTGGTAAAGTTGGATATTGGAGCTCAGAATGACTTTGCTGTGTTCCAGTTTTGAGTCATTAAACCTGTGTTCATTGTTGCCCATTACTGTGAAGACAAGCTAATTAGCAATAAAAGGTAATAAAAACTCTCCACACCTTATTTTGGACATGGACACTTTAGTAAAAAGTCCCACATAAAGTTGCTGCTATTGATGCAGTATTTTGCATCCAAAAGATTTGAAGAAATAATAAACCCACAGGGCTGCTTTATCCATTAAATATACATTTTTCACTGCTTACACTTGGTCATAGAATATACTAAAGCAAATTCGCTTACCTTGAAGTAGCTCTGAATTTTGGTGTGAGATCCCTAAATTAAGCATGAGTTATGCAATTTATTTGGTAAACTTTCACACATTCCATTAACATTAGCAATAGGCAAGAGAACTGAAAAAAAAGCAGTTTCCACAGCATTGTTTAGGCCTTTTAATCATCTCTATTTATGTGCCTCGATTGCAAAATCCTGCTACTGTGGTCCGAACAACATCTCAGATGTTGGTGTGGGAAACCAGGTTACGATTTGCTCTGCCACTTTCAGTTACCCTTTAGTTGGCAAGCGGCAGTCTCTGGGTCTGTTTTTCTATATTATGTGTTTTATCTTATCTCGCAGTGCCAGAGAAAAATGGGAACCTGCGATTTTACAAGCCAGATATCTCCTGAAAACGCTACCATTTTAGACTGAGTCAGCAGAAATATCGAATTTGTCCGCCTCTCAGCCACTCACTTTGGCAAGCAACACAATAAAGATAATGATCAATCTAAATTATTGACCCGAAACAAACTTGACTATTTTTTTTATACAACTTTCACAATAGTTAAACAGGCACACACCTAAGTAGCTGCACATTTCTCCATGTGATTGAATTCTTCTATTGTTTTATTGCTTACGGTCAACTGAAGACAGCTCAGTTTGGTTTGGTGGTTAAAAAATTCTACTAGTTTCTTCCGTCTAAACTGAGATCTACATTTAAAGTATCATAATCTACCCTAGATTTAAATGTTGGAGCAGGTAGCAGTAGCTACTTAGCTTGGATTTGCATGAGAAAAGGAATCAGGGAGATCATCTACTTTGATCTATTTTGTACAACAGAGTCGATGGCCAGTAAATCTGTTTGACTTTTTCTCACCATTTCCAAGTCGTTTGATAAGCCAAATGAAATGTACCTCAATTGTTTTTGCTATTTCCATCTCCCAGTGTAGTAGAGGGAAGCGTCTTGTTTTAAAAAAAAAACTAATCAATAGGCTTCTTAAACAGGATGGTCATGTTCCACTGGTTCTACTCTTATGGTCAGTCAATAGAGAGTCCATCATTGAAAGCCAGTCTCGGACAGAGAAATAAAACTGTCCCACTCCATTCCATTCATTCCCACAAGTCTCGGACACATTTTCATTTGCTATTTAATCTGCTCGTGTGTTGACACAGTATTAAAAACATGACATTTCAAATTGTTCCAATTTCTAATGCCAGACATTTAAGCGATTTTTAAGTTCACGGCTCCAGAACAAGATACATTGTTAAAACCTTTTCACCCTAAAAAAGGAGATGAAGTTGGAGACAGGTTCTTTCCCTTTTTTTTTAGCCCATTAGTTACGTGTTTAATATATCAGGAGTTGGCTCGGGGCGGTATGGCCCTGGGTTGGGGAGAAGTTTGAGAACATACTTATGTATTTCTCATACGTTTCTTTGAATTGAGAACCAGTATCTGTGGGAACCTGAAATGTATTCAACTCTCTGTGCAGCCAACAGCTGGGGGTCAACACGCAGCAGCCACAGTTGCTTTGGCTACTCTCTCCCACTGCAGCTGCTGTGGCTCCACTCAAATGAATTTATAGTGTTTTTTGCGTTTTTTTTTCTAGTTTTCCTATTATGTTTCCCACTGCATATTCCGTATAATTTTCAGTGGTCATGGCTATTAGACACAGCACAATGTAATTTTTTCTCCATTAGTTTGTGATCCATTGTGTTTACAGGAGTCTTGGCAGAGCGTTTCAGTCCCAGAATGCATGTGTCTTCATGCATGTTCAACAAAAGACAAATAAGCTTCCTGTTCAGGGCATTTTTCCTGTTTTGTTTTTTTACATTAGGCAAGCTGCATTTGGGTCTGACAGTTTAAAACATTTAAAGTTTGACTGCATTGTAAGGTTATATGGTCAAACTCGCATGGATGATTTTCAACTTGCGTGGTCTTAAAGATGAGAAGAGAAAGATGGTCCTTCACTCATTTAGACAAGGCAAATTTAAATTGTACAGAAGAACAAAGATAACTAACCAATTTCTAAGAAAACAATTTGAATGTGTAATCGGAAAGAAAAAGAAAAAAAATTAATAGCAGATTCAGTTTAAAAAAGGGGCAGGAAAACAATAGATTTTTTCTGGTTATTTTTTCAGATGTGTTCAGAGTTGGGGCACAGCATAGTGTTTAACTGTATTTTCAACCTGTTTGGTGCTAACAAGAGGTTCTACTAGATTACTGCTACCAAAAGATCTCAGAGCTCTACTTGGTTTATATTCTAAAAGAAGATAATTCATTTAAATAAAAGAAAACTGTTTTATAATGGACATGTAGATGGCACAAAGCCACAAGATTCCAATGAAGACCATGAAACTCCACTGTACACTGTGACCTCATCCATTCTTAAAAGTCTGTACACGACTGATGATTTATATGTAAGATTTTGTTCGGAAAAATAAACAAATTGTGTACCTTTGTTAAAAAAAATCTCCACTCTTTTTTTTTTCCACAGAACAACGAGGCAGGGCCACCGGGAGGTAAAGGGGCAAAAGGCCACAGAGGGCCTGAGGGTAAACCGGTAAGAAAGTATAATTTTCTGTAACCCCTGTGGAGCGTAAGGCCTTTCTTTACTCGGTACGCGTTTGGTGCTCTGGTGATCACTCACAGCTGGTCGGCAGTTAACTCAGTGAGCAGCATCACGTGTATTTGTCATCATGAACGTGGAATTCATCAGTTTGGGGGCCTGTGACAGCTGCAGCCTGATGTTCATGTGTACATTGCATGTTCTACAGTTTGCTGGGATACAGGCAATGCTATTCTTGATTGCAGAGATAATTCGCCCTCATTTTATAGAGGTGCGCAGAGTATATTTTTTAGGCTGTAATTAAATGGCTGTGAACTGCTAAACCTTATAGATAAGATACGATAAGAGACCCACAGTGACCTTATCACCACTATTTTTTTTTGTTTTAGTTTTTTTCTGAACTCTGAGGATTAAAAAAGCATCTGAAAATTCTGCCCGGTAATATAACATCCCTGAACCAGTTCCATCCCCTTCTACGCAGATACATGTCACAGGAATAACATCTAAGGAAGAGATCCACACCCCACTGAGTTAATTATTGGTCTTGGCCTCTAGGATTTGAAAAAAAACTCTACTGTATAGCCATCAACACCAGTTCCTTTTTATGGCTCTGAAAGTCAAAAGTTCACTCCTTGGGTGATACCAAAAATACTCTCCTCCAAAAAAAACCCCCAAAACAACAGTTTTGGTCATGGCTGTTGGTTTTATTGGTCCTGATCATTAACACATTAAGTGAATTTCTTAGTTTATTGACTGTTTGAACAGCATTTAGAAGCTCATTGGGAAAGACTAAGTGTTAGCCAGCGCACTTGTAGTGTCACAGAGGTGACCCCATAACAACAAGCCTCAAAGCGTTACCATGCAAACCAATAAGAGGTTTCGTCCAATGCTTGCAGAGCACATGTTGGGCTTTCCTCTGACCTCCTTCCCCTCAAGTACTTTGGAATGTCATGATCTGAATGATTGAGATACCGTAGACGCATTCCACGTCTGATGGAGTGGAGGATAGATTCCTACCTGTCAGGGAGGGTTTCTGCTGATTTCTGCTCCATCCAGTCACTGAGTTAACATCATCCCGTCTCTTCCTACTCATGTAAAACAAACACTTTGTTAGGAAAGGTGCATACTGTATATCCCTATGCATGTTCACTTAATAATGTGAATGCTATCCTTTGGATAGTTTGAACTGGATGTTGGATTAATCTAAAAAAAGGAACTGTGTTTGAAGGCGTTTTCTCTCTGATAAACCGCTAATGGAACTCCGCTCAATCACAATTTTCCGGCTTTATGTCCTTCCTCTTCCTGCCTTTGCTCCCTTCCCCTCACCGCTTCTCCCCTGGCTCGTCTCTCCACCGCATATTTTCGTAGGAAGACTTTGCGTCGTGTTCTTGGGAAGACTCTCTTCTCGAAAATTAACGGCTCTGTCCCTTTTTCTGTCTCTCTCTCTCTCTCTCCTCGTTGTGTGCGTATGTGTTTGCCTGTGTGCACACGTGCATGCTTTGCTGGCGTCTTTGTCTACTAAAGAATGCTCTTAAACTAAGTTTTAATGTCTTCTAAAAACAAAACAGATGGCTCCCCTGTAGCAAAGCAAGAAAACAAAAATCCTGTGGCAGCGAGCTTTTGGAGGATTCATTTGTTGTTGCGGAAAGATAGCAGTGCGCACAAATGTGTGGGCGTGGATGTGGGTTCAGTTATTGTGGGAATCTGGTTTGCAGTCGCAGGAGAAATGGTTTCCAGAGAAACCCCCATTTTCTGATTCCAGTTAAAATACTGGGACTTTTAAAGAAACGGCCCTGTCATTTTGAATTCAGCCCAGACTCAGTTCTTTCTGCTAAACTGACAAAACCTGAATTCATTGTCTCTCCTCAGGGTCCTCCCGGGCCGCCTGGACCACCAGGAACCGATGTGAGTATTAGGGGGACAAAATAAAAATCTGTCCTTTTAATTTGAACCTTTGCCCTCATTTTACGAAGCGCCACACACTTAATACCCCTTAGAGACTTCACTATGTTTGAATCTGAAACCGATACTGTGTGTTCAGTTCAAAGCCCCCCGTCCAATTTCCTCAGCTCTAAATCCCACAGCAATCCACAGACTTCAGAGCAAAATATGCTGATTGCCGAGTCTTTTTTTTTTCTCTCCGTCTCTGTTTGGGCAGCTTGAAACCTTCTTGTGTTTTTTGGTCTGTGCGCGTCATGTGATGCAACGCTGTAACGTATACTCCACCTCTGTCCACAGGAATGTGAAATTCTGGATATAATCATGAAGCTCTGCTGTAAGTTTTCATGTACAAACACACGATCAGATAACTGGATCCATACGTGCGCTTTGATGAAACACAGCACCCCGACTTCAAGCGAGAGCCTTTAAACTAAATGTCAAATAGGTCACTCAGGCTTTCGTTTAGTTTTTTCTATCATGTCAGATAATTAACTTTGACTTTTCTTTTTCTTTTCATCCTTTTGGCATCTCCTCCCAGCTTGCTGCGGTGAGTTTGAAGTCATTATCCCAACTCTTCCTCACCCTCCGGCCAGTGTGACGTTGTTTTGTTTGTTTAGTTTTTTCATAGGTTTGTTTATGCGTGTGTTTTTCTGCCTTTTCAGAGTGTAAGTGTGCGCCCCTGGATCTGGCTTTCATTGTGGACAGCTCCGAGAGTATCGGCGCAGAGAACTTTGCTCTTGCCAAAGATTTTATCATCACCGTCATTGACAGGCTCATTAAGGACCACCAAGTGCAGGTGATTTCTTTTAGTTTAGTTTTTTTTTTTGGTGCTTTTGGCAGCTGCGTTTTTTTATATCCATCCTCTTTGCCCGGCATCTGTGGGATGACAGATGTTTGACCTTTGCGGTCTGCCGCGGTTATCTAACACCCTGCCAAAATTCTTTTGATTTTTCTGAGATGTTGTGAAATGTTCGCCTTGAGGTAAGGCTTTTGAAATAGAAAATGTGAATGAAAAGATACTGTTTTGGCTTTTGGGGCGCGCTTTTATGTTCCTCCAGTGACTCTCCTCTTCCATTTTGGGTGTAATTGGCCAGGATGGGTGGGACGCTGAGAAAAACACATGATCGCAGACATGACACATACAGGCTCAAGCATACACTCACTATGCACTGTTTCTTTCTTTTTCCAGTTCAATGCTAGCCATTCCAATGTGAGCGTAGTCCAGTACAGTGGATCGAAAGCCCAAGAAAAGGTCCACCTAACCACCAACCTGACCCATTTCAAAGAGTGAGTTCACACATCTCCTGCCTGTCTGCTTTAATGCTTTACCTCTAGCCTTTTCATTAAAATTGTAGTATTTTTGTACTTATTTATCATCCTTTAAAGGGATAGCAAGCAGTGTGACAAACGACCCAGGGTTGACTTCATATTTACTTTGATTTTTTTTTTTTTTACTGAGAAAGAGATCAATTGAAGAGTGCTGAAAGAAGTGTTCTGCTTAACCAAGGAAAAATACAGGAAACTATTAAGAAACCAAAAACAGCATGCATCTGTTACGATCCAGAAGGTTTACTTGTCTTTTTCCCTCTCAATGTGCCATATTTATTCTTACACAATGAGTTATTGTGGTTTCTGGACACACAAAAAAAAATGAAAACCATATTTTCTTTCTTTCTTGGAGTACCTTCAAATAATTTTCACAGTCTTCTGTTTGTGAGAAGAATAAAGAGAGAGTGAAGTTCAAAAGTAGAGACATTTACTGTTAAGTGGGACTTTATTCCATCCTATTTGCTGAAACGGATGTAATTATGTTTCAGCTGTTAAAATGTGTTATATGACAATAATGACAGATTGAAGTATGTTTTCAATAGCATTTTCAAAAGTCGGCTTTTCTGATTGGTGATGAAGTAATGGAACTATACTGAGAATGGGGGAGTCTGAATTTTGAGACTATTTCAAACTACAGATATGGACTAAAATGCTTGAGTGAAAACACAATGCAGCAATAAGCAGAAGGACTTTATGGACATAACAGTGTAAATTGTGCACATGCTCATAACTAATATATAACATTTAAAGTAAAAAAAAATGCATTCATCATCAAGATAGTTATCAAACTATTATAATTCACCAGAACTCCTTGATTGTATTTGAAAGTTTTAGAACTTTTTTGATAAATTAGGGGTCAGATGTAGAGAGGGGTCTGATTTTTCACATTGCCAGCTTTTTAGCGTAGCATTGCACTTGTTTATCTTTTATAGATTCCAAATATGGGTTAACATGTCAAAATTGGTATTTGTCGACGATCAAGATCCCTAAAACATTTTTTAAAAACTTTTGGATTTTTCCGTCATCGTTAACTGTTGGATGGGCTGCTGAAAATCCTACAAGCTAACATGAGACTGGCAGCTTTTTTACTTTAAGTTTTTGTCTTGTTTTGCTGTTTTAATAGGCCGCATTTTATATGGATTATCAGATTTCATTCAATGTGTGTGTATGTGTGTGTGTGTGCTCATGTACAGGCAAGTAAGGAACCTGAAGTGGCTGGCTGAGGCCACATACACAGGCGAGGCTCTCGATTATGCTCTGACCAACACACTCGTCACAATGACAAAAGACAACAAAGTTGTACTCATTCTCACCGATGGCCGCTCGGACATTATCAGAGACCCAACAGACCTTGGAGTACTTTGCAATAAAGGCCTCAACGTGAGTGCATAGTACATTCCATCACTTAAAGGTTTCATGTCACATGCTCATAATGGGAAACCCAAAATATTCTCTTTCCCTAGGTGGGTGGTTTGGGAGTGAGGGACTACGCAGGCCGAGATTACAACTCAGAGCAGATGAATGCCATGATCTGTCAGAACGACCCCAAACCAGGTTTTCACATGATAGTAGACAATTTTGCTGGGCTGCTAGAAGACGGTTTCCTCCAAAATCTCACAGGCAAGATCTGTGAAGGTACAACACAGCACCACCACTTGGCACGCGGTGTCATTTTCTGAATCATTTTCATGAGTATAGCTGAACTGTCTCATCACATGCTGCTTTTGGTTTTTCAGAGAAGAAATGCCCAGACTACAAATGCGAGAGTAAGTTTGTGCGGGAATGTATTGTGTTGCAGCTCGCCGTCTTCCCTCAATCTTTTGCGGATCAGCCGAAAACGGTCTTTCAGATAACGAAGCGAGAATAACGTGTCACTTGCGTTTGTTTCTGCTCGTGTGTTTGCAGCCGTGTTCAAGGAAAGTACCGACATTTTGCTGATGATGGACAGCTCTGCCAGTGTGGGCAAGAAGAACTTCGAGGTCAGCAAAACCTTCGTCAAGCGCTTGGCCGAGAGCTTCATAAACGCCGAAAAGAAAGGCAGCGCCAAAGTCCGAGTTGCCGTGGCGCAGTACAGCAAGCGAGCTACGGTGGTGGTGCCGCTGAATGACACGTTAGAGGTGCTGACCAAAGGCATCGAAAAAGCGCAGTTCCAAGACGAGGGCACCGACGTTATAGAGGCCATCAACGTTGCCGTACGGGAGTTACGAAAAAATCCAGTCGTCAGGGGACCTTGGAAGAAGCTGGTGCTGTTCTCCGACGGCAGGTCTCAGGGGATGGACAGGGCCAAGCTGGAGGAACGCGTTCGGCAGCTGGCCGCCAATAACATCGAGCTGTTCGTCATCTCTGCCGGTAGCCAAATCAATGAGGTCAACCTGCGCCTGCTGGTGAGCAAAGGCGAGAAAGAAGACCGCAACTACGCTCACCGCTACCTGTTCCGTGTGGCAGACTACCCGTCCCTGCTCCGGGGGGTCTTCTACCGAACCGTCAGCCGCAGGGTTGCCGAAATACCGCCATCTACAGTCTAATCTGCAATATTTGTTTTATCTCTCACCACCCTTTTATATTGTATCGGACGTTTTATGTCACATTAATGCAAAAAGAAGAGAACAAATACAGCTGTGAACCGAAAATGTACCCATTTTCTTTCCCCTGCAACTGTATGACATGTAACCCAGAAATCTGGCCCCTGACTCTTATTGTTTCATTAAGAGTTTTGATGCCAGCATGTTTTATTGAAAGTGTTTTTGTAAAAGTCAAAATGTATTTGTGACGTGGGGTAAACACACACACTAGAAAATGATTTCAAAGCTCTAAAGATTACCCATACAGCAGGGATAACATGATGTGACATCAGAGAGACTCTCAGGCAAAAAACCATCAGCACTTCTCCTGGTAATGAAGTGAACAGCTGGACTTGCACTTATGAGTATTTGTATGTGTGAGCCCCACTGTATGCACAGCATACCAGTGCCTGTTTAGCTTTGGGCTTTCGTTCCATAAACAGTTTTGCTGGGGTCACTGGCTCAAATGCAAAAAGAACAGAGTGACAGAAACCTGTACTTTTTTCCAACCGTTCAGCCGAGAAGCTTTTTTAAAAAACACTCAAGCAAGTACTCACATGGATGTGCACACTTTCACATTTCACCAATACGGCAGCAGAACACCTGTCCAGGTAGAAAAATGGGAAGAATACCTTGTGGGACTTGTGAGCATACACATCAACACAACTAAACACACATTGCTATTTGATCTCATCATGTTCATCATGATTTTTTGCCACCAGATGCTTGGAGGGTTGCTGTTAGTTATTGACTTTGGTGCTACTGGTCTTCCTGTATAAGCCTCTACCCATTTTGTTCAAGAAGATATTTTACTTGAGGATGCGTAGCCTCAGTAGTGTTTCAAGAGCTCCTTCAATAAAGGTTGCTATTCCAAAAGGGCCTGTGTTCTTTTTCTTTTCTTCATTCATCTGGGCATGAAGTCAGACTGGCACTTTGTGGAAGAAATCATTTAGATTTTAAAAATATATATATATATTAACTTGTATGTTTAGTTTTTTTTTCTTCCTGCAATGAATTAATTACCAAGAAAGATGGAACATCTCAAACGAAAGCATCATATTCCAAATGCATGTTTTATTTAGCTGAAATGGCATGATGCAAAAACAAGATTACCAAATAATGCAGATGAGGCTCAAATCTAATACACATCTGACAAAAAACATCACCAAAGTAGATTAAAAGGTAACAGTTCTGTGGTGAATGCATTTATATTCAACATGAAAAGGGATGATTGTCTGACAGAGTCGATAGACCAGTCAATAAGCCTATATGTGAAGGCGTCTTAGAGAATAGTGGTGGTCCCGTTCAATGGCCAGTTTAAGCTCTGTCCATAGCTTTAACAGCGTGTTAGATCGCAGTGATTGTAAAGACAACCACATACCACAATTTCAGACCAACACAATTTCAGTATCCAATTGAGGAGTTTTGCAGCCATGAAGTCAAATTTACACAAGTCAAAAAAATCCGGATCCTGCAAGTGTCAGGGTTTTTAGCACAGTGTCTGAAAAATCATCTGTTTTGTTGTTGTTGTTGTTGGGTTCGGACCAAATTCGGGTTCAGATATAATGAAAGATATAATGATGCAAATGCTCAAATTCAATTAAGATCATTACTTTGGTTAGAGTTAAGTTTTCGTTATGTTCATAAATAATTATGATCAATCAGTGTGTCCATTTTGAAACTCACAAAGGCCCTGACCACACTGTAGTTATCACATGACATTAAACTGTATGAAGATGGAGCTTTGAAAAAAATGAATTAACAAAATAAAAACATTTGCAGGTATTTCGGGGATTTTTAAGTTGAAGCTTATGAAAATAGACTCACTTCAGTTAAATCTAATGTATGTACCAACTAATGTTAGCTGCTTAGCATTAGCATGTAGCTCAGTGTAGCATCATACAGAAAATAAATGTATAGTGGTCACAGTCATGCTTATCTCTGTGTCAGTCTTTGGTTTATAAGTAGAAAACATGAATATGGAAAGTTCAATGTACGCAATTAAATATATTTCAATTAAAATGCACAAATAGGGTGTGTGTTTGTGGGGGGTACTTGCTTAAAATAGTTTTTCCCTGTCACAAATATTCCCTGGTAGCTCAGGGAAGATCAGTGCTGTGGCCTACCAGGTGGGAGGTCAGCGGTTTGACTGACCAGCTTCTCTGCAACTGGGCAGGGCACTGAACCATTAACTACCACTGCATCCATCAGCGGATTAAAACCACACCGCTTCGGGTCCGAGAAGTGCTCTGACTACTTTTATTGAAGCCGTAATCCCTATCTGGATATAACATTCCAACCATTTGGTGTCAAATTGCTGCCTTTTTTACCCAAATAAGTGATAAATATGTGAATTGTTGTAATGTATTTTAGCAACGTTTTGCACTTTAAGAAACTTTGAATGCACATTTTGTTTAACCGGGAACTGCCGGAATTGCTGCACAACTCACATGTTTTACATTAGACCTCAGTCTAAGTTCTGTGGAACTGACCCAGTTTTAAAAAAAACCTCCCCTGCTCGACCCCCCTCGTGAATTTTTTTTGTTCAGCGACAGCTGTAATCTTGAGTTTGTGCATAATTTGCTGACGCCTGGTCTGCAGTCTTTGATGGACCACTTCCTTTGTCAAAGTCATTCCTTAAAGTATGACCAATCCCATGCTTATCAGATGGTTCCTCTGGTTTGTTTGGGTGTGCACAAGTGCACGGGTGTGTCTGTTTGTGTGCTCTGTTTGTACACAACTTATAGCACGCCTGCATGTATGATTTGTGTGTTTGAGGAACTGCTTTTTGGACATTTGCCTTGTCTCCTTTGCAGATTTTCTGCTAATTCTCTATTGCCTCATTCTCCTGCCTAAACACAAGCTTTCTTCCAAGGAAATTTGCTGGTAAAACCACATAAAGTCGAGCCTACATTTGCATGATCTGTGCACAATTTGGAGTGTTAGTGTGATGCACTGAGATAATGACTTGCAGATGCTTTGTCTGGACAAGAAGCACATCTGGATAGAAAAAAGGGAAGAGAAAAAATGGCCAGCGTTGACTAGTCTACTGTTTCACTGTCGGATCATGGTATGTCTTCTTAAATGGAGCTTCCATGGTTCACAAGCAGTGCTGGAAAGACTCACTCTAATACACAGACTGTCACGGATACAGAAAGCACGTGCAAATAACCTCCACAGCTGTCACTTTGTGTATCAGCCCTGCCTACAGATTGTGCGAACATGGAGCTGCTTTTGGATTACAAGGTTTTCAAAGTCTTCTCATCATCTGCCATCTCTTTACCTGTTTGTCGTGTTGGTGCCTGAAACCAATTAAGCTTTTGAGCGAGTTCTGTAGAAGTGGGGAGGGAAAATAGTTGTGGCTATTTTTATGGAGAATGAGCTGTTATTGGTTCTGGAACAAGTTAAGCAGAAATCCCTACAGACTGAAAGAGTCTTTTGCTCCATGTGGGAGACATAAAAAAAAAAAAAAGAAATTGAATAAAGAGGGAGTCTGTGAGGGAAAAAGAGAAACAGAGGCAGAGAGAGAAAGGCTGAGACTGGTTTATTCTTTTCAGGGAGGAAGGTCATTCCTATTCTATGAGTCACGCACAAATTTAAGAGAAACCAGAACACCCCAGCACCAATTCCACACACACACTCACACACACACACACACACACACATGTGCAGACAGCCCAACTTACTCTTGCTCCTTCCACCTCCACATCTCTCCATCACACTCGCACACACACACACACACACACATACATACTACTCTGCTTCTCTCTGCTTCTCTTTTTAAGGAAAAACGTTCCCCCCGCCTGCCAAAAAAACAGAGAAAGGCCTTTCACAGTAATAACTCTGGTCAACAGCTGGCCTTTTCCTTCTCTGTGTCCTCACGTCTGTCGCGGCACATCTTCTTTTCATCTCCATGCTTATTGGCTGATGCCTCATCACCAACCAAGAGGGGATACATCAAACACCGCACTGTTAAATACCAGACCTTCAGGGCCCGAGGCCCGATAAGGTCTTTTTAAGGTAATTGCGTCATTGGTTTGCTTCCAAGTCCACCTCAGCTGTTTTTTTTTTTCTTATCTCAAGCAGAATGTTCTTAAAAACATCTGGCAGATAGGAAGACTGAATCCGGGGCTGGGTGTCCCACTCACTGGACAATCATCTTCAGAGTTATGAAATAAAATCATGTTTACTTTTCAGTGAGTGTGTCTTGTGCGTCTAGTCAAGACCTCCCATCATGTGCACAAATGCTTTCACACGTGCGAATATACAAAAAAGTAGATGGGAACACCTATAAATGTATAAACATGCTGAGAAGACTCATAGCCCGACTGTAAGTGTTTACACCGCCTGTAAACTCCTCTTGAGCGGCCTTGTAATTACAAACAGACCGCAAGATGGTCGAACACCAGCTCGTGTGCGCGTTTATGGGGGTGCTGGGGCACCGGTCTGTTCTTTGTCCTGCTCCGCTTCATTCGGCCATTCCACATGTTTGAGATTAACTGTATATATGTCTTAAATGCTCTATCTGAGCTGCAGGAAGGCCCCAGGCTCGCCCATGTGTTCGGCCCCGGGCCACCTCCAAAGCGCAAAGCGCGGAGTTATGATTCCCCGAGGAGCGGCGCCAGGTATCCTTTGGTAACCCGGCGTTTGGGACTATGGCAGTGACATCGATGCCAGGGCCAAACGGGAACGCGCGCACGCGCACGGGAGGGTCCAACGGGGCCACGGCGCCCCCGTGCGGAGGGGCCGCGAGCGCTGAGGGCAGCCGCGCGCGTAGAGGAGGAGGAGGGACCAGGGCTTCGGCTATGGGCTGGACCGGGACAGGAGTGGGAACGGACGGCTCTTGTGCGCGAAGTTAACGCGCATCCAGGGCTCTCTTTTTCCACTTTCTGCTCTCGTACCCCGCTTATCTCTCGATTCTTTCCCCCGCAGTGGAAATGTGGATATAAGCATCTGAGGGGCCACCGCTTCCAGAGTTCTAAAGGATTTGGGTGAGCTTCACTTTTACGCATTACTTGCCAAATTCATGTTTCCGTCTTTCTGCCTAATTTGTCACTCTTACTCCTACTCCTCTTAATTTTAAATCTTATTTCACTTTTTTCTTTAAAAAAAAATCTTGTATAGTTTAGGAATTGGTGTTTTTCTTTCCTTTCTTTTGTGAAATTCTCTCGCGCTGAAGAAATCCAAACTTTTTCCAGAGCTCTGGCTTTGTCTGCTGCGCACCTGTCCGTCGTCTCCTTGTGTCGTGCATGTTATTCACCTGGACAGTGATGAAGGGCTTTGAGCCTTTCACGCGCTCACTGTTGGGAGAGTGTGAGAGGATTCGGTGCACACGCAAAGAGCGACTCCTCCGCAGCCCGCTGCGGCCTGTCCGCTAGAGGGAGGCACAGCAGGGCGCGTGGCCGACGATGCGCAAAGGCCGGTCAGTTTGAAACAACTATTTCAGGAGACCGAAGTCATGGTTTCAAAAGCTTCCCCTCACAGAAGGGATTTAATTTGACTTTTTATACTCTCCTTATTTTTTTACACGGGCCATTTTTCTCAGTGTATAATCCTACATTTCTTGTGGATAGTAGTCTGGTGGTATATGTTTGCTGAAGGTTGTTCAGGTTAATGTGGGATGAGGGACGCAACATGTTTTTTCACACCATACTACAGCTCTCCTCATTATTAGCCTTTGGGCTCTGGCTCTGGAATCCATCCCCTTTAAAGCCTTAGAGTGTATGAAGCTATTACCTCTTGCTCCCCCCTAATGAAAAGGTCACAAGTCAATGTTCGCGGTACCATTTGGTTCTCATTGCCAGCTCATTGTGTGGCCAACGTCCAGCTTAGAGACAATATTTGTTTTTTTTCTCTAAATCAAAACTGATAAAACCCACGTGTTGCCAGGTGGTGGACACTTCCTCCAAGTAGAGCAGTTCCAACCATATCCAAGCCTTGAGCCCTCTTGCCTATAGACTACGCTGTTATGTTTTCATGTGTTTTGACAGATTTGGGCTAGTTTTGGCTAACGCTTTCGGCTGATGGTTTTGGCATTGGCATGGGGATTGTTGCTGCTTTTCATCTTTGTAAAAATGGACTCTCTATTACTGGTGGTCTCACCAGCTGACTTTCTCTGACCCTCTGGCCTCTGTTGTCCGGTCATGCCGCTGTGCTCTGTTTAACATGAGAAGGATCGGGCCATACCAGACACATTTGAGACCGTTGAGACAGTTGCGTTAGATAGTGCAACAGTCTCCAAACAGGCCTTCCAGCCTATGCGGTAAAGCTATGCTATAGTTCTGCTCATTGAGCTGTAATGGCTATCTGTAGTTACTTGGGTCAGTTGCAAATCATTAATCCAACCCCCTTAAAGGTGTCTCTTGGTCTGCTCCCACCTACTCATACAGACTAGAGTTAAGCCTCATCTCATTGGTCACATCATCTGATGTTGCTACCTCCATAATCCCAGTATTCCATACTACTCTCCCAGACTAGTTTCCTGTTTTTTGTGGTCCCTCAAACTGTATTTACCCAACCTGAAGATCTGCTCTCCACCCTTGGCAGACTCGTGGTGTTGTACCTGTTAATTGGGAATTGCTCCGTACTTAATTCTATTGTGACCTCCAAAGTTGCTTTGGATAAGAGTGGCTGCCATGTGCATGCAAATGTAAACATAAAGGGGAATTCCGCACATGCAAGCAGGACTTTTCTACCCATGTGTGCTGGAGATAGCATCAGTGCGCCAGGCCTTACTGAATGTTAAATCAGGCCACAGCCAGTAAACACATGTTGGAAAGGTAAAATCCCCTGTAGGACATTTGGACCAAAGGCTTGCGAAATCACATGATTTGAAACCAAATTTGAGGCTCCTCGTGATTATTAAAGCAAGCCGCTCTGCTCGCCAGATGTAGAAGGAGCCTGTTTCTGTCATCTCCCACGGAAAAATGTGTCTGTTTTTTTTTTTCAACCAAACTCATGAAGATCTAGGGCTATGCTGTGAAAAATAGTCAGTGTAAACCTTTTAATGACACAAATACATTTTAAAAATGTACTTGACTTTTATCAGACGTTTGGCCGTAGTTTGCCTCTTGGGTTTGTCTATTGCCCTCACCAATTTTATGTTTAGATTATTTTTAACAATTTTCAAATTTTTCCATCTTTATACAAAACACTACCCAGCTCCTGGTGCAATCACAGAGTATTTTTCGACTTATTACATAACCTTTTGGCAGCCATTTTGATCCTTGGGAAACAGCAACACATTTGCCTGTGTAATGCTTAATGTGAAACTGGTGGAGAATTTCATGTTGAGGAAATATAAGGGATTTTGTAACAATCTTGACTTTTACGAGGCAGGTTGCATTTTTTAATGTACTCCTTTCTTTTCTTTTCTTTTTTTATCTGTTCATACTTTTGTGCCTGTCTAATTGTAACATTAAAAAGTACACGCCTTCATGTCTTTCATATCTCTTTGCCAGACAGGAGAAGAGGAAGATGTTGGGGTTGGAGGTGTTTGTGCTCTGTCTTCTTTTTGGAGCCCTGACTCATGCACAAAAAGAAGGCTGCACAGGTGAGTGCCACAAAAGTTCCTTATAGCCACAAGGAGAGTCTTCTTTTTTTAAACTGAGGTCTAAACATGTTTTATTGTGTGTTCCCTGCAGAACCGAGGGAGTGCAACATAAACGTGTACTTCACTATAGACACTTCTGAGACCATCGCCCTGCAGGAGTCCCCGCCTGGGGCACTAGTGAAGAGCATTAAGGTTCCACATTAATCAGCTTTTTTAAAAGTCCAGTTCTTCTTGTCATTTCACGGCAGGGAAGACGGAGGTGTAGCTGAGGACATAAAACTAACTGCATCATCTTTGTTAAAGGAAGTTGAGAACTTACAATAATTAGAAACAATATTCATAACTCTGTTCGTGATCTAATGAGTCATGCACGGATACTTTTATTTGCAAATGTTTCAATAGAAGAGAGCAACAGCTTGGAAGTATTACTGACATCTAGTGTTCAATTGGAAGACATGCATCTCAAACACTGTGCATCCAATATTTGCTCTTGTTTCTCAAATCCTCTTGGCCTCCTCATCTTTTTGGTACTTTGCCATGTTCATATCACACTGCGCACCTTGCCCTTGCTTCATTGGAAAAGCATGCTCCTCAAATGTATTTTGTGGAATGCATTTTGAAGGACCTCAACAGGTCCTCCAGCAGGTTTATCCACCTCAACCTTAAAAAACTTGACAACAACTCAATGAATCATTAAGCATACACATTTTACAGAACAGACAGAAATGTGGTTATGTTGACATGTCACAACATTGTCTTTCAAGTGTTTTCTGCGTTGACAGCAACTATGCTTGATATTTAATGATGTCAAACGGAAATTGTTGAATTTATACGTCTGAAAGGCTTGTTTTCTGATGAGGTCTAGTATATGCAAGGACAGCTTGTCACAAACATGATCAACTTAAGGTGTTTTAAATATTTTTGGTAGATTTCGCTGGCAGAAAAGAGGCAGTGAACAAGTCAAAGGCAAAACTCAACATTCAACCGTTAATAGGATGTAAATGTTTTGTAATATCCACCTTTATATAATAATGACAACATATCTTTATTTATTACTTTCATTTGGTTCCCTATTTTGTACTGCAGGTGACTAGAAAAAGGGTTCTGTGGTATTTGGTCATTTAGTTGCATGTGACCTATTATTATTCAAACACTGTTAGACCCTTGGAGAAACTCTTGTGTTTTTCTGGGCCTGTTACATAAAAACTACATCGGGTATTTTTGTCATGTTGCAGGACTTCACACAGCAATTTGCAGATCGTTTGGAAGATGAAGAATATAAGGGGCTCATAGACATCAAATGGAAAGTGGGTGGACTGCACTATTCTCAGCAACAAGTTATAATCAGCGGTATTGGACCTAAGGATGAATTCATTCGAGTAAGTAATGAAAAACACACGCGCAAGCTGTGATAAGGATACTTTTTTGGGTCATTACATTTACATCTATAAACCTTGGCCAAACCAAGGGTAAGTGTGTGTGTGTAATCAACATGCGATAGCCGGATCAAGCTTCAAACAAGTAATTTTACTTACAAACCATTTTTCCAGACGCTTTTATTTAGCATGAGACAGCACATAAAAACACCAACATCACATGTGACTTTTTCAGATAATATTTTCATAAGTTCTGAGCTTTAAGTTATGCCTTTGCCTTTTTGTTCAAAGTGGCTACTTAGAAAAATTGTACATCTTGAAAATTAGTCATCACACTCTCAGTTTCAGGTTTGCATTCAAGGAAACATTGAATTTGGCATCAGCTTTATCCTTTAACACAATAGTTAGTTTATTTTACATTTGACTCCCAATAAACACCTTTCATCATCTTCACATTTTTCAGAAACTCAGGGGGATCGACTATCTGGGCAAGGGCACCTACACGGATTGCGCCATCAGAAGAATGTCCCAGGAAATGCAGCCCTTATTGTCACTCAACAGAACCCACCACTTTGCTGTGGTCATCACTGACGGTCACGTGACTCGTAACCCATGTGGAGGAATTAAGATGACAGCAGATGAAGCTCGGGAGAAGGGCATCCACATCTTTTCCGTGGCATCATCTCAAGTTATGGATGATATGGGGCTGAGGGAGATCGCCAGCTCTCCATCTTCACTCTACAGGGACAAGTTCATTGCTGTGGATCTGACTAGAGGCAGTGACAAAATAAGAAAAGATACCTATGAGAATATCATCAAGAAAATGGTAACACGCGAACATACATGCAGATAAACCACTTTCTTTGAACTGCCTGCTCATGCTCTGGTTCTTTTGTGTTCACAGAAACATCTGGCATTTAAAGAGGTAAGACAGAAGAACAAACGGATATGTCCTTTAAAATGCACTGGATCAAGCAGTTTAGTCTATGTTAATGGTTTCTGACTGTTTTTTGTCATGTCCTGCGTGATGCAGTGTTACAAGGTGAAATGTCTGGAGAGAAAGGGACTTCCTGGTCCACCGGGCCACAGAGGACAGAAAGTGAGTGTTGCACACCCAGATATTCACAGCACACATCGGCCATTTTGAAACGTCCCTTGTGTTTTTACACAATGAATTTCTTGACTGCAGGGTGCTAAAGGAGACATTGGTGAACCGGGAGACAAAGGAGATAAGGGCCGCGCCGGAGACCCCGGTATCGAAGGTCCTATTGGTCAACCAGGCATCAAGGTAAGTGGCGTCAGCGAGCCGGCCGCTGCCCCCAGAGCAAACATAATATGTTGTGAGATTTTGATTGGATACATGATTTTCTGCCCTCTGCAGGGAGAGCCAGGTCTGAAAGGCGATAAGGTAAGGCTCCAGCTTGTATTTCTCTCAACGAGCATGTTCAGACTTCAGTTTGCAGATGGATGATTTGTCGGGTCAGAGATACTCAGATTTTGAGCCGACATAATTAACTCTTTTGTCTGACCACAGGGAGATTTCGGGGCTCAAGGGAGAAAGGTATGTGTCTTCGTTGTCTGTATGGATTTCTGCACATGTGATTATTGTAGGTTCTGGAAAGCAGCTTTTCTTTTTTTCTAACGGCTCACTTTTTTTGTTGGAAGGGTAATATGGGGACTGGAGGACGTAATGGAACGGACGGTCAGAAGGTGAGATCAATGTTTAAAACAGCTTTTGTCCTGCATTTTTGGTGGAGTATTGAGGACTAAAAAAATGGTTCTCTTTGGCAATGTAACTATTCTTATTTGTTTCTTGCTTTTAGGGTAAAATTGGACGGATTGGCGCTCCAGGCTGCAAAGGAGACCCAGGCGACAAAGTATGGCATTCACTGTCATTTAAAACTGCTGAGACATCTATGATGCACTGTGTTTTTGTCTGTTTATGGTCTGGGTGGAATGGTTGCAGGGTCCCGATGGTTATCCCGGAGAAGTTGGTGAACGGGGCACCCCAGGAACAGATGGAGAGAAGGTACACTGTCCCTTCACTACTTACAGGTAGAACTGCATCAATTATTTATGCCGCTTGTGGTTAAATTATTTATAATTATTTCCAGGGAGATCCTGGACGGCCAGGTAGATCTGGTTCTCCTGGCACACCTGGAGGTATTGGACCAAAGGTAAACCAGAAAATTGTGACAGGTAGCTTTTTTTAAAGATTGTCCATGTTTTGGAGGTGAAAAGCTAAAAGTTGGTGTTTCATCTCTAGGGAGATGTGGGAAGTCCTGGTTCACCTGGCGCTCCTGGGGAAAAAGGGAGGCTTGTAAGATGCATCGCCATGGACCAACACATTTAGAGAAACACAAAGTCAGTGGAAGTCGCAGGGTTAATCTCTATGTTTGATTTCTTAGGGATCCCAGGGAGGTCCTGGACCTAAAGGCGAGCCGGTAAGAATATCTCACTCTCTTCAATTACTTTTAATTAAATTGTATTTATACAAAATACAGTCCAAAATCCAGCCAATATGATCCAAGCCATTGTGGTGTTATAATAATCCAAATGAGTCCACTTTATGTAGAGCTGCTTAAAAAAGTTCCCTGCCTAAGAAAACAGACTGCACCAAATCTTAATTTAATCAAATCCCCCATCAGTTTTTGTCTGGATTTAGGAGCAAAAACTTCAGTCATCCTGGTGCATTCAGATCATCTCCTACAAGTTCTGTCTTTATAATACACACTGGCCTGATTAATTTTTCTAGGGGAGAAGAGGAGACTATGGGGCGAAGGGGACGCAGGGACCTGATGGCGTCAAGGGCGACAAGGTTTAAGTTCACGGGACAAATCCACAAGATTTTTGCATATACGTGCTGATTTTCTTCCTGTCTACTGTTGCTTCTTTATTGAAACTCCTGGAGGCCAAAGACTTACTTTAATATATTACAGGGGGAAATGGGACAAGAAGGCCAGAGAGGACTTCCAGGAGAAAATGGAGGTAAAGGGGCAAAGGTAGGATTAACTTTTCTATCATGTTATTCAGTTATATGGTTGGAAGGTGTTTTTGTAGCAATAACTGTACATTTTCTTTGATTCAAACAGGGAGAGAATGGTTTGCCAGGGCCAAGGGGACCACCAGGGGGACCAGGAGAGCGTGGGAAAAATGTAGGCCCCAGAAACACACTAGACTTATTTTTAAGAAAACACATCACAAACAGGTGGACCAGCTCAATTTAACCATGTTTGAACTTCAGGGTACTAGAGGTGATCCTGGAGATGCCGGACCAAGAGGTGACCCTGGTCCAGCAGGACCAAAGGTAAGCATGCTTGTGTTTCCATGTTTGTGTGCATCTCCATGGTTGGATCCTTCTTCTTCTGTATCTCTTGACTGTGTGTTCTGTCTCTTCAGGGAGACACCGGAAGACCCGGCTTCAGCTATCAAGGATCAAGAGGACAACAGGGTGATAAAGGAGACAAGGGCAATCCTGGACCTCGTGGCAGCAGAGGAGAATGTGGTAAAAAGGGCCCACCTGGTAATAAAGGAACCCCGGGAGATCCAGTATGTCCTTCCTCGTGTACAATTTTAATTGTCCTCTCACTTCAGTTTACAACTAAGTAATTTGTTTGTCTCAAACAGGGTGACCCAGGTTACCCAGGGGAGCCCGGGCAGAGAGGAAACAGAGGAGATCCCGGGCCAGACGTAAGCAGAGATATATCTCAAATATAACTTTCTCAGAGAAAGAGACATGGCTCACTGTATTTTCTTACTCTACAGGGGGGTCCTGGTCCAGAAGGAGATCCTGGCCTCACTGTGAGAGCATTTTCATCTTGCCCTGTTCACCAAAACTAAGTGGATGTGATAAATTTAAAGACGCTTTTTGTCTTTTCTTATAGGAATGCGATGTCATGAACTATGTTAGAGAGACCTGTGGCTGCTGTGGTGAGTTCAGTTACCGCAGTATAGCCAAAAGCACTCTGCTACATTCTCTGATCATAACTGTGCTTTTTATATTTCCAGACTGTGAGAAACGTTGTGGGGCCCTGGACATTGTTTTCGTTATTGACAGCTCAGAGTCTGTGGGTCTCACTAACTTCACCTTGGAGAAGAACTTTGTCATCAACACCATAAACAGACTGGGATCTTTTGCCAGTAGCCCTGATATGGAAATTGGTAGATACATGTATTTGAATTACACTGTGTCATGCCAAAACCTTAAAGATGACTGCCATCTTGAGTGTGGGATTCAATTTTTTCCTAGGCACAAGAGTCGGAGTTGTTCAGTACAGTCATAACGGGACCTTCCAGGCAATCCACCCCAATGACGAAAAGATCAACTCACTGACTGCTTTCAAGGTCTCAATAACACCTGCACATCTGCAGATGTGCAGATTGTTGACATTTATTCCCAGCACAGACTTTGCTTGTGTCTGCTTTAGAGCTAATTACTTGACGTATCAGTCATGATTAGAAGTGTTTGTTCATATAAGGAAGACCTCAATGTGAACAGGTCACTCTGAGTATACATCTGTCATTGCAAAGAATCTGATGTGCAGAACATGCTATAACCACTTTCATCATTTTCCAGGTCACGTTTGACGTTTTGGTTATTTGGGAGTCCAACGATGAACCGATTGAATATCGATCAAACACAACTTAATGGGGGGGGGGGGGTGCTCCAAAGGTCAATGATGACAGAGTTTGCTCAGAAATTGAACCATGCATTTGTGGCGTGCAGGAATTGGGCACTTAAAGTTTTTACATGAGAATAAAACATTTTAATTTATTTTTTCTACTTTTGACATGATATGTCTCCATCTCTAATGACAACGCAAGAAGTTGGACTCTGCTAATCCTAATTTGGTGGCCGGTATACCTACTGCTGCCATAAAATGCGAAAACTGTCTTTAGTTCAAAACAAACATGTAGATGCATAAGATAATTTAGGATTACATTTCTCAGTAGCCATCAGTTTCATGACTATTCAGTGACCTATTGAAGGGAGCTCCCCCTATGAGTCTATGAGTCTAAAAGTGGACCTTAGGCCATAGCCTTTTGCGTAGACCACGCTATCTTTCCCTCAAGTTCTCGGTTACGACCTCTTTAAAGAACCAATGGGAGACACGGGAGGGGTCCTGTTCTGTTTTCTTTTGCTAACTTCTTGCCTTCTTCACTGGTCAGGAAGCAGTGAAGCGCCTCGAGTGGATCGCAGGAGGTACGTGGACTCCATCGGCTCTGAAGTTTGCTTATGAGAACCTGATCAGGAACGCCAGCAGAGCCAAAGCCAAGGTCTCGGTTGTTGTCATCACGGATGGACGCTTTGACCCTAGAGATGATGAACGTCTGCTCCCTTACCTGTGCAGGTGCAAGTTACCACTGTATCATAGTATGATTAGCCTAAATGACAAAGAACAAAAGCCTCATGTCTATGCTTGCTCATGTGTTTGTGCATTCTGGTGCATGTGAACAGCAAGCCCGGTGTTGACGTAAACGCCATTGGTATCGGAGACATGTTTAATAAGAGTCAGGAGAACGAGAGTCTGATGAGCATCGCTTGCAATGACCCTAACAAAGTAATGGGAATGAAGCGTTTCGCCGACCTTGTGGCGGAGGAGTTCCTGGAAAAGATTGAGACCAAACTTTGCCCAGGTAAACTCCCACTCACTTCATCAGCCGCACGGTAGCACAGCAGACCGTAAAAGCTTGTGTGCTCCTCTGACTTTGTCTTTGTCCTTTTTTAGATCCTCTCATTGTATGTCCAGATTTGCCTTGTAAGACAGGTAAGACTTTGAGACGAAACGTGCCACATAATCCTCTGTCCTCTGGGTTCTTGTCTGTTCTTACATGTGCTGCGGTATTCCGGCATGGGTAACCAATTCCCTTTTGGGTCAGTGCGCTTAAAATAAGGTGCTTTTTGTCTAACTGCATTGTAATGGTTCCCTACGCCCTGCCAAACTTTAGGTCAGATATTTGGCAAGCTGATCTCATTTTTGTTTGTACAGCTGAATAACATGGCATGACTGACTGAGAGGCGCACTTTCTCTGAAACAGTGTGGTCATATTGAAAGGAAGGATACTGATAGTTTTTTTCTCATTACACCTCACTTAACACTGGGAGTGTCTCTTTTTTTGCATTCTGTTTTTATTTTTTGGAAGTTGTATTCTTGCATTCCCGTAGTTCACATGTGAGTAAGTCGTGGGGCTGTAATTCATCAAGGTCGAACTAACAATTTAGAGCTACTCCGGCATGGCAAATGGCTATGACGATGCCTCTGTGGGACCCCGCCCACAATCTTGTTCCGCCCGCTTGTTGCAGGAGGGGGCATTGCTGTGGGGGAAGACCCCCTCCCCTGGAATCTACCGGCTGAAGAAGGCAGTCCCTCATTGGTTCCCACCTCTTTGGAGGGTGTGGCCAACCTGCTGAACGGCCTGAGAGAGCAGCAGTATGGGGTTGGCATAGCAACCATGGCGTACACAGCCCAGAGAGCCAAACTCACCCATGGAGCGGACAGACAGCAGTGGACCCAGCTGTTCATCGACTCCTTCAAATATGTCTATGGAGACTTAATGGGAGACCCAGAGAAGGCCCTCGGGCTTTGCTAGAGCTAAAATACTAACCACGCCACCTCGCCATTGTTGATGCTAATAATCAAAAAGCTTTCTCCTGGACATATTTACCTAAGATACTGGGAATTTTATTATTCTGGAATTGCAATGTAGATCTAGATAATTGCAAAAGATGCATGATATGAAGCTGGACCTTCCATGAACTTTCAGAGGAGCCTCGTTTTCTAAGTGTTGAGCAGAGAGTCTTTGTGAGTCAATTTGATTAATGCTCACTTTCCTTCTCGAACACTGGCCACATGGAAGCATCCGTCACCACACGTACATATCACTTCTTCCATCTTTTCTGTTTTCCGTTGAATTGGAAAATGGTTGTTATTGGACTGTAGAGCCATTCGTGTTGCTTCTATAGCGACTCACCGATGAAGCCTCATTTCCACTGTGAACCACAAGCTCATTGAATCACTCTCAAAGATTTTCCTCCTTTTTTTCCTGTTTTTTTCTGTTTTGCACATACCCATGGTTACAGCCAATGATCTCCCTTTTTCCTCTCAGCGAACAATGTATCTTTGTTCATTTGGCCATTAAATGTGAAATATCTGGCTTTATGCATACATATCACAGTATTCTGTATCCGGGTGATAGACTTGGTACATTGGTACGTACAGTGGAGGACATATTTTGTGTTACACCCTTGGGTGGTGCAAGTTCTTCTGCATGTGGCTTGATTTGAAAAGAAGGATGACTTGAGAGAAATGACCGTCTAGCGACTTTAGTCAGCGGCTCTGTGACTGCAACTGTCTGATGTGAACAATTTTGTTTTATTTAAAAATGGATGTATACAAGTTTTTCCCCTAGTCTCAAGGGAATAAAGCATAAGAGCAAACTTACATTTCTGTCTTAATGAAGCCATGCTGACCGCAAAAAAAATTAAGCAGCCTGGGCTGTGCTACTTTGTGTGGACTTGCATCATTGAACAGTATGTTTTTTTCTTGGCTTGGATGTTTGAACATCTGTTCTCCAGCTGTTGCCCGCTAAACAAAGTGCTCTATGTATTTATGTGTGTCTGTTCCAGAACCCGCTGTGGCTAGTTGTGTCCAGCGACCAGTAGAAGTGGTATTCCTGTTGGATGGCTCGGAGAGATTGGGTCTGGAGAACCACCGCAGGGCTAAAGAGTTCATCAGCAGAGTGTCTCGCCATCTCGTCCTGGCCAACGGGCCGGCGGACGCCAGAAACGCCCGCCTGGCGTTGCTGCAGTACGGCAGCCCGGAGGAACAAAGGGTGGAGTTCGCGCTCACACACGATCTGAATGAGATCTCGAAATCGCTGTCAGCCATGACCTACTTGGATTCCTCTTCTTCATTGGGCAGCGCCATCATCAGAGCTGTCAACAACGTGGTGACGAAAAAGGTACCATACGGCTGAACACGTTTGTTTAGCTGTAAAATTGCAGGTTTATCCTGGATGATGGGGCACATCAAAGCTGTGAACCAATCACAAGTGATCGTCATTTTTTTAAAAACTGTTACAATGTTTGAATTAACACAATGTAACACGTCAGCAGGTTGTGGAGAGTGCAATCGTTGACCCTTCCAGTCCAGACTTGCTATTTACATTTTTCATACAAAGCTAATCACACAGTCTCCTGGCTTTGACTCCATGTTTATAACAGAATTCTTTCATTGTTTTCATATCATTATACATCCAGAACCGTGTTTACTCAAACCATTAGGGAAGCAGTTTTAAGCAGTTATAAACCTGTTTATAAAACGACGGACATTTTCAAGCATTACTTGAGAGAGCAATTTAAATCTCTTAAATTCTTCTCCAAATCATTTTGAAGCCAGTCAGAAAATGACACATCTCTCCCGTCACAAGACATACAAACACACACACAAGTTATGATGGCTGATTCTAGACATCTAGTCTAATCAGCTGAATAAACCTTGACTGCCCTTTCATTCTGAAGCTGCTGCCTCTGGTGAGTAGTCCAGCAGAACATAAACATCTGCCGAGTTTCACTCAGAACCTGATTCGGTAGATTTTCTTGTCATCGTGATCACATAATATCGCCTTGCTTGTTATAAGAGTTCATCGATATTTTAGAGAGAGCATTTAGCACAATGTTTTTTTAAATCAAAGAAGACAACAAAACCTTAAAGCTGGAGCATGAGAATGTGATTGTTTTTTTTTTTTAAGTGAAAGCGAAAAGTATCGTAATGTGTATCTAAATACATGTTCCATTAACAAATAATGCAGGTGTTTTCCTGTAATGCAGAACTATTCCTTTAATATTGTGTTTATAGGCACGAGTCAACGCAGAAGTGTCCTTTGTTTTCATCTCTGATGGGATCACGTCCTATGATCAGCTGGATGAAGGCGTGTCGGCCATGAAGAGAGCGGGAGGCGTTGCCACTGTGATCTCCATGGGAAGCGACCCAGATGAAGAAGTGCTTAACAAAGTGTCCCTCGGGGACAGGTCGGCCATCTTTAAAGGAGGCGACTACACCATACTGAACACAGATTCATTCTTTGATCGCTTTATTCGCTGGATATGCTAGTGAAGAACTGTATTGCTCTTCACAATAGAGTTAGAAGGCATAGAAAGACAGAAGGACCAGCTCCTTCAGTGTACACATAAACATTCACAGAGACAACCGACTCAGCTCTGGGATCACTATCATTCCTGGATGTAAGGCACTGAGATGGCTACGTGTCCTGTTGTTTTGAATGAGAATGAGTTTACAAAAGCCAAAACAATCCATTCAGGACTAACACATTAAGAAACACGAATGCATTCCCACACCAAAAGTCACTTTTGTATTATTCTAAACCTGTCCTCAACACATCTAACTAAAGATACTCAAATCTATTCTACTGGGGAAGTTTGTGTTTACTGAATTTTTACCAGAATAAATGTAGTTTTTAATGTTCTTTTCTTTTTCTTCATAAGGTTCGGTTTGCAGAAACTTAGTTCTCTTTTTGTCTCTATGTCTCTCTCACACAAGCATACATACGTTATCTCACAGTTCCCTCCTTGAAAAGTCTGTTTTTACATTAAAGGTGCTAAGGTTGAAAAAAGCCATCTGAGTTGTTCAGACGACTCCTTTTTACACTATGTTATGCTGTAATTCTTATTGTTCATTCAGGGCATGAAACTATGTAGACATGTCCTTTCTATGGGAGAGAAATTAGACTCAAATTCCCTGTGTTCAGTCACACAGGACACCCATAGAGGCATACATATGAAGGCTGTTGACAACTACACACAAACCTACAAACAGGCATGACCGAACCAAATCTGTATACAGTACGTTCAAATAAAGTATAAAGTTGTGACCTCCAGCACCGCGTATTTGTCATCGCAAGATTTACTTTTTGCTTTTGTTTAAATCTTACAATGATTGTATATATTATTAACAATATTTACTTTGTAAGCTCTTGCATATTATCAGATTTCTACTACTGAGGCAAGAATCCATACATTCATCCATTTGTCTTACCTTCTTGATCCAAGTTAGAGTCACCTGGGTGCTAGAGACTATCTCAGCTGTCACCTGTCAAGAGTCAAGGTACACACTTAACCACAAAAATGCAAATGAGAAGAACCACAATGCTCACTTTCACTCCGGAGGTTGTGTTTTTTTAACCACCTACCCCAACGGACATGTTTTTAAAAGGTGGGTGGAAGCAAAGAGAACCCACACATTCACAGACAAACCTAAATCATTATTATGGATAATACCAACATTTTCCTCCCTCATAAAGAACTGATTGGGCTGCTTTTTTTAGTCTTCTTTCTGAGAGGATCTTTTGACACGGTCTTGCTGAAGTATTAGGTCATTCCATATCTGTACTTTTTGTCTTAAGTCAGGCTGTTTTCATCCAGGCGTGCAGCCCGAATATGGTTTTATCCATATCATAAACCTTTCCTTTTTTGGTCCACCACCAGGCCATCTCCCCCCAGACGTACAGTGTATATTTTGTCCATATCATGAACATCTCCTTTTTTGTCCTCTGCCAGACCCTCTCCATATTTAATCCATAGCTTGAGAATCCTCCCTACACTATACTTTAGGAGTGTGTTTTCTCAAATGTTTATGCTCTACGAACAGAACAGTCTGTTCTTAACTGTGAGCTTCAGACACTACAAAAACTTTCTTGATTTCCACGCATCACTTCAACGGCCAATCACAGTTTGCATTGTAGAATTGGTAATTTTTCTAAAAAACCCTTTGTCAGGCACCAGGGGGCAGCACAATACAGGCAATAAAAAAGATGGTAGCGTCTATTTAAACCATGACCAAATGTCGCAAATGTCTTTACAACAGCTGATGCTGCTCCAAAGGCTTAATAACAAGAAAAAAAAATGTTTAAAAAAAAGGTACTTTCCATTGGTAATTAAATAGCCTTACAATTCTAACTTTATCCATCCATGTTAGTAGAAATAAATCAGTGCAAATCTAAACACTGGTGACAACCAAAGTAACCAGCTCTTAAAAGTGTGCAGAAATTAAATGAGGTGAAAGCTGAAACCACAAAACGTTGAGTAGTGCTGTTCCGTTGGGGATTTTTGACCACTCACGGACGCCGTAGTAATGTGACCGGTGGTCAGGCATTTCAACCAACGACAGGCTCTGTTTCTTAAAGGTAATTCATGTTTATTCTCCACGTTTTTGTACATGTTCAAAACAGTCTAAATATGTTATTCTGCATATAATTCGTTGCCTGTCGTTGCACTTTGGTTCATTGTAAAAAAAGATTGCACCTAATGTATAGAATTCTTGGAATAAAGTATTCAAAGAATCTTAGTGAAGTTTTTTGGGGGGGTTCAAAGATCTTTATTTCACAATGGCCTGGCAATGATAAACTTCACACATTGCTAAAGTCATTGCTACTTGTGCATGCTTGCTTCTGCAGAACATTGATGTTTTTGTATGGTTTGCTATCAGGAGAATTGGGCAGACGTGGAAGCCTGTGAGGAGAACAAGTCATGCATAAGAATTTAATTGCATTTGAAATGACTGATGTGTGTCTGTGTTTAACTCTCCTGCGCTGTCAGCATGGAGGGACAGCTCCTCTCGGCCCTGTGCACCCCTGCTCTGGTGGTGGACGTGGACATAGTGAAGGGAAACGCTCAGAGGATGGTCGGACGGTGCCAGAAACTGGGCGTCCAGCTTCGCCCTCACATGAAGACCCACAAAACGCTGTGTGGCTCTGCATTATGACTTACAGTTTAAGCACATGCATCGATCAGAATGTATGTGGTGCATACTAACTTCATCTGTTTGCGTGTGTGTGTGTGTGTGTGTAGTGAGTGTGCTGACATAATGACGGCTGGATCACGGAGGTGCATAGTGGTGTCCACCCTGGCAGAGGCCTCTTTCTATGCTGACCATGGCTTTGATGACATCCTCTACGCATATCCACTGCCTTTTGATAAGGTTTGCCCTTTTCATATTTTTGTTCTGCATTTTTATTACCTAAGAAGGAAGGATGGAACATTAGAAACGGCATAATTCTAACATGGAACTCTGCAACTCACTGCAAGAATAGCAATTGTGGATAAATTATAGAAAATATACCAACTGTCATGCACAGTATTTAATAATCTTGATTTTGGATGCTACTCAACAAATGTATTGAGAGGGCTATTGGCGCTAAAAGGAAACAATAAATAGGAACATGCTGCAACTAGTTAAGTTTGTTGGCAACAGGTCAAAAAATCACTGTAGAGATGCAAAGTCCCTCAGAAATAAAGCTGAGGGAAAGTTCAAATATTTTAATCACTGCTATCTTTTCCGAGCATATGCTCTTTTTCATATGGATTGGCTGTGGGTGGAAGTGTTTTGTGGTCAGATAAACAGGAATTTCTTCCTAGAAATGGGACAAATGAATCACATGTCCTTTGTATTATAGAAAAAAAATCTTCCAGCTCAAGCATGCATGCCTATGGGTCATGCAGCTAGCACATCCCAAAAGAAAGGGTTTAGAAACACATCCACTCCAATTCAGACATATCTTTCAAATTCAGAAACTGACAAAGAAGGTCCAGGACTGCTTGGCAGGTGAGCATTTCATATCAGACAAAAACAAGATAACATTCCTCTCCCAAAGGAGAGAGCGACTGGTCTCCTCGATTTCCAGATGTTTTCTGTAAAAAGAAGCAAAGATGACCCGCAGTGCTGAAACTGACTAATTAGGATTGCGTTAAAAACTATCTTGTGATTTCTTTTTCTTTCGTTTTGTCCTTAGGTAGAACGCTGTGCAGCCCTGTCAGAGAGGTTGGATCTCTTTCAAGTCTTGTTGGATCATCCTGATGCTCTGGAGCAGCTCAAAAAGAGGCCCCTCGCTGGCGATCGGCAGTGGCACATCTGGCTGAAACTGGACTGTGGCAATGGGAGGGGTAAACACGCTGGGAGACCTCAACAGTGATGATCTCAACTGTATTGAAGCACACACTGACACTGTATGTTTTTTTCCCCCTGTTTTTTGTTTGTTGCCACAGCTGGCGTTCTGCACTCGGACCCAGAGGCACTCAAATTGGCCCAATCCATCACTGAGACAGAGGGCATGGAGCTAACAGGAGTCTATGCCCACTGTGGGAACACCTACAGCTGCAGGGGAGAGGAGCAAATACAGACTGTGGCCCAAGAAACGACAAGCTTAACTCTGCATTTCATGGAAAAGTAAGATAGGACACAAACGAAAAATCTGTACTGTATCTGCTCAGTTGGATGAAGAAAGAAATGGTCACATGTTTACTTCTGGATATGGCAAAACATTTTGGGGCTCAACTGCTCGTTCCAGGTAAAATTAAGAGTCATGTATTTTCAATTAGTGGGAGGAAGGACTAGTCAAACAGGTTGCATCCTTTGACCCGGTTGGAATACATTATGGAGTCAAGAAAATTGGAGAACATAACATTGGAGAAGGCTGTGATGTGGGCTTACCGCAGTCCAACTGCAACTGTTCAGTAAATATTCTTAAACAGTGTGAAAGACAGAAAGTTTCAGCACTGTTACAGTAAACCTTAAAAAGAAACAATGTTACTACTCATCTTCTCTCTAAGTGAAAGTGCATGGACAGGTTTGACATTTTTTGAGGACAAATTAGTCCAGAAATGGTACTCCTGTTTATGTGTTATGTCTTCAGGAAAATACAGCATTCCAGCATAAAAATATTATCCCATCTGCCAAAACCTGGTTTTAGTATCATATCGTGGAGTTGGTTTACAGTATTATTATTTTTATTATTATTATTACCTTGACATTTGGAGATATGCAGTGGGTGATGCAGCACCAGGACAGCTAGAACAACTGAATGTGTTTATTATTTTATATAATATTTCACACTCTTTTCTTTGGCAGACTGAAGGCTGTTGGCATAACATGTAAGTCCAGCATCGGCTCTACCCCGTCCTGCAGTCATCCAGTCGATGACATGGCAAAGCTTAGCGAGGTGCATCCTGGAAACTACGCCTTCTATGGTCTGTTGATATACAGGAGCTTTGCTTTTTACAGCTAAAGTTAGGATAGACAAAAAAAAAAAAATGTTTGAGAAATGTTGAAATCAGTCATACCATTTCATAATGTTTCAGACGTGCAGCAGTCTGTTATTGGCTCCTGCAGCCTGGAGGACGTGGCTGTGAGGGTTTTGACTCGAGTTATAGGACACTGTCCACACAGGAACCAACTCCTGATCGACTGTGGATGGACTGGAATCAGGTGGATTCATCAGCATTGTTCTGACAGACTAGTAAACTGTTAACCGTTTGACAAATATTGCATCCATGATGTACTTGTAAAGTTGTTTTTAAAATCCCCTACCCTACATTACTATTATATCTGTGTCACTGGAAATATCTGAATTACCCTCTTTTCCTCTGTTCCTGTTTTTAAAAAAAGTTTGGATGGAGCTGGAAAGCTTCCCACTGGATACGCTGTCATTGAAGGACATCCAAATCTCAAGTAACGCTTTCTTTGCTCTTTGCTCACCTAAAAAAATAACTGAAGAGTGACCAAATTGTTAATGTGACGCTTTCCCTCCAGGCTGGTGTCAATGACTCAGGAGCATGGAAGAGTGGAGCCCATCTCAGGTCCACTGGATTACAGCAAATACCCTCTTGGCTCTTTGTTCAAACTGATACCCTATCACGTTAGTATCATTAAATGTAATGTTTACGGTCACAGTGGTCAACCTCTCAGCTTGATACTGCAAAATCCTACAAGTATCCAACAGTTAAGGTATTTTCTCTGTCTTATTTTCTTATAATCCCTTCTTTTGCTCTCTGCAGTCCTGTGCAACTGCTGCCATGCATCCTGTGTATCACGTGCACTCTGAGGGTCGTCTGCTCGGGAAGTGGACACCCACTCGTGGGTGGTGAACATCTGTGCCTCGTTAAAATAGGCCTGATACACCTACAGCCAATTTCATAATTGATGGAATTATGTTGGCAAAGCTGAATTTTGAGTTGTTATTTTTCACTCTAGTTTGTGGATTTTTAAGAGAGGGTACCAAGAAAACAAAACCATGTCAGACAATTTGAGTAGAGTTTGATTTGATGTAATTTGCAAAGCAATCACACTAATAAAACGGTGAATAAATGACACTGTCATTGAGTGGTTATATGGTTACTGCACCGCAAACATGTTTTTTATTCATGAAGTTTAGTACTTTTCTTGTTTGTTAAAACAGCTTCTACTCGCATTTCAAGTGTAATCATATTGTCAAACCAACCAGATGAAGTCATAGCACTACTTTCTGCCAGAGAGGTGAAAACATCCCATTAGGAGCCGTCGTTTTTGTTCGGTTCAATGAGCATGAAGGGAAATGTAGTTTTGACTGAAGCCGGCTTTCTCATTGGATCTCGTACGACCCTTGACTTGTCACGTGGTTTAAAAACTTCAGCGGGATGGCGCGAGAGCTTGTCACAGCACCACGGACCTAAACCCGGTTTTTCAACGCTTTTGTTTACATTTCTGTTGTTGTTATTTTTGCTTTATTCCCCCCGGCTTAAACCAAGATTTACAAGTAAGTAACGTTTCCGTTTGTTGTGCTTTGTGTTGCTGCTGTCCGCCGGACAACACCAAACAAACCACGTTAACGTGGCTACAGACAAACCAAATGACGTTTGTAGCTCGTAGTTTGAAGCTTGTGCCCTGAAGTCCGCGTGCCCAGGATATCCGCGTGCCCAGCAACTGTTACGGTGGCAGTGTTTTTCTTACTTTTCAGAAATGAGTGTGTTGGAGGTGAAGTTCGTCGGGGACGGGGACGTTTTGGCCCACATTGTGGATAAACAGGAGGGTACGGACACCGTCTCTGCTCACAGAACGGGCATCCCGGGTTAGGCTTTGGCGTCCGTTTCTGCTTCAACTGTCCGTTTGTGTCGTACCTCCATGAAGACGTACCGGGAGGCGGCCCTGCTCAGAGGATGGTGACGTTTAAGAGTCCGGCCGGGAGGCGGGCACCCAGAGACGATGCACAGCAGGAGGAGGATGAAAACGGAGTTCTGGATGAACAGAATTACATCCATGCTTTGGGAACCCAAAACACAGAAGGTGAGGACCTCCAGGTACTTTATTTATTAAAAAATGATAATGGATGAGTGCAAGAGTTCAAATAAAATACAGTTACACACATCAGAGGGCATGGAAATCAACAGTTTGTCTCTTTATAGTACCAAAACAATGTAAACATACAGTCTGGCCAAAATAAGATGGCTTAGGTTCAAAGTTCCCAACAAATTCACACAGTCTAAGCAGATAATCCACAACCCAAACACCAATGGTTGCATAGTAAAGAGAATAAAGTTGTTAATGATATTAGATTTTAAACCAAATGCATTTCATATTTCATTCAATGTTAGGAGATGACTTGCATCTTTTTGAGCTGAAAGCTGATATATAGGCAGTGGATGTTTCAATCAAAATAACATCAGACGGCTCATTCAGTTTTTAACTCAATTGGCCAATTTAGGGCTCTTTATCTGATTGTAAAGATTTGCTTTACAATCAGGATTTATCAAGATGGTGTTGCCATATCAATAATATATTTTTAACAACTTCTATGTTATACTAGGCCGCTTTTGATGGTTCAGAACTGTACAAGGTGTTGAAGGGACAGTTTATAGTTGTTGGGGACAGCTGGATGGGGTTTGTCTGGTTTTGTTTATTAGATAATACAGGATGTCGTCCATACACTGAAACTTAGGCGAGGGCCGTGTTAAGTCAACGTCATCAGTACTTATCCTGCTAGTTACAGCTAGGTCATCATAACATGTAACGGGACCGCTGGTTTTCCTGGATTTACAGAGGATGAGGACGGGTTGTCAAAGGTGGCTGGTTCCTCCATCTTCACCTTCCAGAAAGGCCGACGTGGCCACAGCATGGCCCAAACAGGTGACAACCTTTGCACTGCACATCCCCTCCCTCAACTTTATCCATCCGGCGTTGAGTTGAGGTTTTATCTCTCCGCCCGCAGCAAATGAACTGGCGCGGACTCCCGGAAAAAGCGTCAGCTTCAGCGCCGCCCCGAGCGTCGAACCCTCCACTCCGGTTCGATCAGGACGCGGTGAGTCAAGGACATATCTGATGGAGGGTTGTTGTTTTTTTTAACGACCGATGTCCTTTGTTCGTTTTCAAAAACGTCTGTTTCTTCTCCTGTTTTTTCTGCTTAGGCCTCAGAGGTGAAAGCAGGACGCCGCAGAAGGTGAGGCCAAAAATAACCATTTTACTTCTCATAAAAGCTTCGAGGCTTGAAACCTGTGGAGGACAGCCAGACCAATCAGAGATTTAACTTTCCTGAACAGGGCAAAAAGGTTCAGTTTGTCTCCACGACACCGCACAGACTCAGGAAGAGAATCACAGGTGAGCCCCAGCTGTCATAGTTAATCTGAAGTGTGAATTCGAGGTCATCTAAACATGCTGTGTGTTCAGCCCCGAGCCTTCGCTCAGACAGCGACAGCGAGCTCTCCCCCTCTGACTCGGGGGAGGAAGACGAGGAGGAGGAGGTCGAGGATGGGCTCGGGGAAGAGCAGAAAGCTAAAAAAGAGGACAAGGAAGCCCCGAAGATGCCAAGAACTCCCACCAGAAGTTCATCGGCAGCTCTCTGCAAGACTCCGGCTAAGAAGAGCAAGAACACGCCGCAGACTGTCAAACGGCAAAACATGATCCAGGAGTACTTCGAGGCCCACGGCAGCTCCAAAGTCTTGACCTCAGACCGCACCCTCGAGCGTTTGCACACCCCAAAACTAGACAGGGTTCGTTTTATTTTCAGTGCAATGGGCGAATGAGAGCCCGCCTTTGCTTAGAAGTTAAGAAGTTACATTTTCTCTTATTTTTTTTTACTCCTTCCCCCATTTTTTCAGGAGACTTTGGTTAATCTTTTAGAAGGAAAAGCATCAGCCTATTCAACAGAGATTCAGCAGCTGCACAGCAAACACAAAAAGCACTTTAACAAATGGATGTTGCAGTTACAGTAAGTGTGGCCGTGCTTCATTTTGATGCCGCTGTTGGTGGCATGCACACGTCAGCCCAGAAAAAAACAGACGGTCTGCGCTTGTTTGCGCGTAGGTTGGGGTTCAGCGTGCTGGTCTACGGTCTGGGCAGCAAGAAAGCGCTGCTGGAGGACTTCAGGGCGTCCCACTTGTCCCAGGAGATCCACCTCGTGATCAACGGCTTTTTCCCCTCCATCACTCTTAAATCGGTCGGTGTTGTTTCCACAGGACACGCACGTTATCAGGCTGAAGCTCCTCTCCAACCACAGCGCTTTGCTTTTTCTTACAGATATTAAACGCTTTGACATGCGAAGTTCTCGAACACCCGGGAAACTTCCGAACGCCCCACGACCAAATCCAGTTCATCACCCAAACCTTTAAAGATCGTAAGACCCCCGTAAGCATTCCAGGTCCGGCGGTCAAGTGGAAGTCCAGTGTTTCACATGTGTCACGTGTCCTCCCAGGTCCAGACCTCCACGTGTACCTGCTAATCCATAACATCGATGGATCCATGCTGCGGGGGGATAAGACCCAGAGTGCCCTGGGCCAGCTGGCCTCCATCCCCAACCTGCATGTCGTGGCTTCTTTAGACCACATCAATGCTCCATTAGGTGAGAGCCGATAAGAATCCCGAAACATGGCCGCCACGAACAAACCCAAATGTTTTTGTCTTGTTGTTTTGTTTCCAGTGTGGGACCAGTTTAAGCAGAGCCAGTTCAACTGGCTGTGGTGGGAGTGCGTGACGTTCCAGCACTACTCGGAGGAAACGTCCTATGAGAACTCGCTACTGGTGCAGCAGACCGGCGCCCTGGCGCTGTCCTCCCTCACGCACGTGCTCCGCAGCCTCACGCCCAACGCCAGGTACGGCCTCCACTCCAACGTGGGGGGGGGCGGCTCTGACAAGTACATCTGGCTGCAGACTGTAGGAAGCCAAGGATGGATATCAAACCCCGCCCACATCCAAGTCGGCCATTTTGATTACGTCACCAATAGGAAGATCCTAGGCAAGAAAATAGTAATTGCTTCATGGCAATATAGATGTTAATTTAAAAATAGTGAAATTAATCTTGCAAACACTGAATTAAACTCTATACATAATATTAGCTTAAAATAGTGGATGTTAAAGAGGTTTGTACAAACAAACAACCCAAAAAATGTTTACTTCTCACAATTATGAAGGCTGGAGGGTCAGGGTCAGGGTTATGATCAGGATTAAGGTCAGGGTTAGGATCAGGGTTAGGGTCAAGACATCGTTTCTCTTCCGATTTCGTATAGACAGTAAAGTTTCGTTTCCACCTCAGAAAGCTGCTAGTCACATGACCTAATCAAATTGGCCGACTTGAATGTGGGAGGACTTGGATATCCAGCCCAGGCTCCTACAGACTGCAGCCAGAGGCTGCTCGGCTCTGAGCCGCTGTGTGTTCCATCTCCCTGCAGGGGGATCTTCAAGCTGCTGGTCAGATTCCAGCTGGAAAACAAAGACAACCCCTCGTACGCAGGTAAATGTCCAGCGCTCGAAAAGCCGCCAAAGGTTGTTTTTTTTATTCTTTTTAGCCTCCAGCGTGAGGCTTTGGTGACCGTTTGTGCTGTGCACAGGATTGTCGTTCCAGGATTTCTACCAGCGCTGCAGAGAGGCGTTCCTGGTGAACTCCGACCTCACGCTGAGGACCCAGCTGACCGAGTTCAGGGACCACAAACTCATCCGCACGCGCAAGGCGAGCCTCACTTCACTAAAACAAAATCTGTGGGCAGTCCTCAGACGCCGTCCGCCATCATTCCTGACACCGTCTCTGTTCTGGTGACCCCTCAGGGCGCAGACGGCGTGGAGTACCTGGTCGTCGCCGTGGACGCCAGCACTTTGATGGACTTCCTGGAGAACGAGGAGGGAGACTGAGAGAACAAGACCCCGTAGTTTTCAATCATGTCTTCCTCCAGATGTGGCCGGTCGGCCCCTCGTTTGAGGTCCCGGTCTGATTAACATTAAATCTGACAGGTCTGGAAACACACTGTACAAATGTGACATCCCCATTCTGTTTCACGCAAATCCACACTTGCAGAATACATGCGAGTCATTAAAAGCAACACTTGGCGTTAATTTATTGCTGGTTACTGTCTTTTTTTCTTTTTTTTTTTAAATTACAGAAATAGATTCATATTTAGCGAAACGTACATTCTTTTGTTCTTACAAGGCAGGTGGGCATGCAGCTGTATAAAGAAAGCAAAGGAAACTGCAGTCAGTGTTCAACCCTGTTGCAAAAGGGGGGTGACGTGGGGGGGGGGGTCACAAAAGGGAAAACGTGTGAGCTGGGACACTGTGGCACGGCTTGTTTTAGAGGTGGAAAGGAGCGTAAGGGGAGGGCCCTGTATGCATGCTGTCAAACGGGTCAGTGATGGATTTCAGCAGTTTTCAGTGTGGGCAGTGAATGGCCGAGCATCTCCGGAGTCCAGCGTGTATGTCTGGAGTCTGTTCTGCGCGGCCGTGTGCACAACACGGAGCTCCTCTTCATCCAAATCCCTCAACAGCAGCAAAACTGCATCGAGAATGTGAGTCTATGCAAAAAAAAAAAACAACAACATTTAGATGATTAAATCGAGTAGAGCTCCATTTGAAGTTTGAGGCTGAAGCTGCTGAGAGGACGCCACCTTTTTCATTATTTGCTTTTCTCGAGTAGATGGAGAAGAAAGAGACGGAAACTTGTCCCTCGAGAGTGGCTTCATTCCCAACTCTTCTCTGATTTTGCTTAAAACAGAAAGGGTGGGGTTGTCACAAGCTCATTCTGTTCACTTTTATTCATTTATTTCCTTCTACTAGAAACCTACTTGGTTTCCTCCATGTTGTAATTGAGCGGGTCATTCTCTGTGTCTGCGTCCAGCACTCCGTTGTTAGAAAGCTGGTTTGGGGCATTACCTGGAGGCGTGCTGACCTCTTCGCCTTCCACAAGAGCGAGTGCAATTTCATCATCGGTCACCACTGCACACAGAAAGACCCCCACATGTACCGGAATTGTTCAGACGGGTTAGAGCCGGGGAATCTCCGCGCATCCCCCACCCACCTTGATTGTCGAGTTTCTGCAGGCGAGGCAGGCATCGGAGCACCGTGAGCCGATAGCGGCTGGAGTCGGCTCCACAGCACGGGTTCTCCGCCAACCAGAGCACTCTGAGGCGCGTCAGCGGGCGCAGGTGGGACAGCTCCGACAGGGAGGGGATCAGGTTCCTCCTCAGGTAGAGCTCGCTGAGAGACAGGCAGCCGGCCAGAGGAGCGAGAGACGAGATGCTGTTGACGCTGCGGGAAGAGAGGAGAGAAAGCATCACAGCCCAAATTTGGGCTTCATCCTTAAGGACACGGCAGGTGTGATGTCAGAGTTAAAGGGACATGGCGCCTCAGAACGGGACAGCAGAGTTTAGTTTAACAGCCCCACCTCAGTGTCAGCACCTCAATGCTGGGCATCTGTGAGAAGATGGAGATCTGAAAGGACACGTGGGTGTTATAGCCTCGTGCATAGGGTTCAAATAATCAGTGTTTCAATATGAGCACATCTAAAAAGAGCCAGCATCCCCAGCTGCTACTCACGTCTGTCAGGTTGCATCCCCTACGAAAAGACCAAAACAAGGAACGTTTAAGTGAAAGCGAGCTGTACCTACCCATCAAAACTACCTTAACGTAGACCAAAAAGCACGTACAAAAATGTACGGCGATGTATTTCAAACACTTACCAGCAGTTCAGTTTCTTCACGCTTTCCAAGTCGGAGGCCTTAGCCTTCGCAAGAACCAGTTTCCGCGTTAGCTTCATATCATATTATCCACCTTACCTAAAAATTAGGGAAATGTGTACGGGCGTATTTATTAGCAAACAACAAAGGCCGCATCATCACAGACGATAGGGACAAACATCTGAACTCAGCAGAAAGGGACGCTGCCGTCGAGCGAGCCTTTGCGCATGCGCCAGAGTAACGAAGCGTCCTTAGTTACGGTTGAAATGAGTGGACAAGTTTACGCTAAATGTTTTATTGTTAGCTTTTGTGAATCATATATAATACTGATAAAGTGCAAGTACATATTTGCAGATATACATTTATTAAGCTATCTATTAGTGTTTAAGGACTAATTTGTGGAGAAACTCAGAGTCCCACAATGCAAAGTGAGCGAGGGAGTAAATCGCGCATGCGCGATGGGCAATCCCTCTTTGGACCTACGTCTCCACTGAAACGATGGTGAGCCCAACCTGTCCCTCTGATAATCCATACCAATCTAACAATTCTAGTGTGTTTAATGCTACAGAACCACATTTAAAGGCTTAATTGTAACCTTATTTCCCTGACCCCCATTCGATATGTGTTCATTTGTTGACTATATGTATAGTAAAGCCGATGTTTTCACCTCCTATTACGAAAGAAATGGCTGCCATCATAGCCCTTACTCACAGAGCGCAATTGAAAGAGAGCTAATCTCTTTAGTCTCCTTTCTGTCGTTTAAGTGTGAATTCTGCGCTTGACCTGGCCTTGCCATTGCATCAAATAAAAATGTAATGGTTAATCTCTCAAGAGAATCCCTGGCCACATTTTTAATAAAGTTTAAGTGTTGGTGTGGGATAGCATGAAGGTTAGCTAACTAGTAAGAAGCTAGCGTTGGCTAACCGGCTTCCTTTACAGTGACAGCCGCTCTCTTACCCCTGTCCCCCACTGTATTAGCACAATTGTGTGTTTAATGTATTTTCTAAGAATATACCAGTTATGTTCTGGACACGTAAACGGTATAGTAGTGTAGCATAACCGGCTAACCGGACAGTAACGTCTCCATCGTAATCTTCCGCAGGCCAAGCGCACCAAGAAGGTGGGGATCGTCGGTAAATATGGCACGCGTTACGGTGCCTCGCTGAGGAAGATGGTCAAGAAAATTGAAATCTCCCAGCACGCCAAGTACACTTGCTCTTTCTGTGGAAAGGTGAGTATGTGAGCCACTCACTACTGCATTAAGATTCTGGTAGAATATGTTGTGACTGCTTACTGAACACTGTTGCATTAAAAGTTCTACGTGAATCCATGTTTGCAGACTAAGATGAAGAGGAGGGCTGTTGGTATCTGGCACTGTGGATCCTGCAGGAAGACGGTGGCTGGGGGTGCCTGGACGTACAAGTATGTTGACCCTGTGACTTTGTTTTAATCTGTCGCTATCAACATAACTAAAACATTTTAAGAGTTTGATTTACCATGATAGTTTCCCAAACTGGAAGGCTCACATTTTTTTCCTCTATCCCAACGTTGAATAGCTGCATTTAAACTTAATTAAACTTTATCTTACTAGCCCACTAAGTGCAGTAAATGTTTGTCACTATGTTAAAGAAGAGAAGGTGAACTTTGCAAGTTTTGTTTTGAACAACAGGCACTACTTCAACTGTAGTGTAGTCCTTTTTTTTCCCCCAATAAGCCTGAGAGGCTACAAATACTTGTATTGGTGCAGACTGAGGCTAACTGTGATGGGGGGGGATCTCATAATTGTTGGAGGTTTTGTAAGTAAGGAGGTTTTGCAGCAGCTGTGCGAAAGATCCAGGGTGTGTTTTACAGGGTGGTCGCAAAGTAACTGAGACCCAGAGCCGGCCGTTATTTACCAAAGAGGCCTGAAATGAAGCATTTAGTGGGTCATGTGATTCATGGGCTTTTCTGGGTGGTAGCATTTGGTCAGAGCAGTCCTGTGGTCACTCCGTATGGCACAGGCCGGTTCTCTGCAGTGGATGAACCTGATGGAACCTCACTGAAATTCACCGTGGACCTATAACCCCACTGTGTGGTGTTGGGCTCGGATTGAGACTTAGCCTTTACGGCACATCGGGTGATGCAGACCTAAATGTTCTGTGAGCTCTGAAGATGCATGTTCAGCTATGTGTCTGATGCCCACGGTCACTGTAGGAACGCGTTTCTTTTGATTCCAACGGCCAATTTGGTAAAGGTATTTCAACCTGCTAAAGGTGCTGCCTACTAGTCCCCTTTCACCGGCTCCTCTTTTAGTCAGATATTTCCTCTCCGTGGCCCCTCGCTGACTTTAGCATCAGAGGAAGAACGAGTGGAGCCCACTCAGCATCGCATTAACTCAGCAGCTCAGATGTTTTCTGAGGAATTCAGTACTCATTTTAATAAGTCCTCTCCCGGCTTTAAAAGAAGAAGCTCAACATCTGTAATTGCTCGTGCAAAGCAAACTCTATTTGTGTACTCATTCAAATCTGAGCCCCAGAATGGCAGGCCTTGTTTTAATCAGGAAAAAGGGACTTTGTATTTTACACAAAAGAAATGTCAGCCCTGATATCTTCATTCCAACCAAAGTGTGACCAGTCCATGCATTTATCTCCAAGGTGTGGAAAAGGCTAATGCAATACGCAGATGAGCTATTTTAAAACCCAGCTGAACACTTCAGAATGTTTCCTGGGAGTCAGACTTTATCCTGACGGGTGTTTTCTCTCTTTTTCAGCACGACGTCTGCTGTCACAGTCAAGTCCGCCATCAGGAGGCTGAAGGAGTTGAAGGACCAGTAAACCAGTGCGCAAAACTCGCCGCTGGCTTTGGGACTTTTGTTTTCTATAATCAAACCGAGCTGGACATGGCCTCAACATCCAAAAATAAAACAGTCTGGAGCGGATTTCTTTGTCTCTTTGTTTATTTGTCATAAACGTTAAAAACTCCTCCGCTTTGACATCCAAACGTCCATGAGGAGAAAGGCCAGAGCAGCTTAGGTTTAAATGGAGGCAGGTTTTACTGTCCTGCTGCACGTGAAGCAAGAAAGATGAAAAACTTCAAAAGACCCAAATTGTTTTCAGTCAGACCTTCAAAATAAGCTTCCAAAGTAGATTTGTGCTCCAGTGAAATTACAAAAAAAAAAAAAAAAATTCACATTTTACATTTCAGGTTAAGAAAAAAAGTTTTCCATGCTCTGAAACTACTGATAGAAATTAGATACACTGTGGCCAATAAAATGAGCAAACCTCATGGCTTGTACTGTCAGAATAAGGGCACCATCATGCCTTTTGGAAATGTTTCAAACGTGAAATGAATGGCACTGTTCAGGAGATCAAATGAAAGCAATGCTAGCGAATAATAACAAAATAAACTAGTATTGCAAATAGGTTTATGATGCAGGTGTAAAACTGAAATGCTTTACAATCAAACAAGCCTAGAAAAGCTAAAACTAGTTTAAACAGCTAGCGTGACATCTGTAAAGATCTGTCGCTGAACGATGTAAATATCCTGTCCTCCAGCGTCTGGGGACAGGGGGAAATAAATCAGATCACGGATCATTGTACTGCAAAAAAAAAACGTTTCCCGGTGGACCTCCCTGAGTTGAACTGCGCATGCGTGAAGGGGAAACTCGCAGAGCCACTCACTCCCAGCCGCTCCGGGCGAAAGCATGGCGGCGTCCAGCGTCTTCAGACCGGGCCTGTTCAACAACAAAGTCGCGATCGTGACGGGCGGGGGCACGGGGATCGGCAGGGCCATCTCCAACGAGCTGCTGGAGCTGGGTGAGCACCGCCGCCCGAAGGGCGCGCGCGTCCCGCGCGGAGCCCAAAGTTTTAAAGCGCAAAGTGCCTGAGATCACCCAGGTGAACTTCGGCACACTTCAGTATCCAAGCAGCCTTGAAATGAGCAACAATGTTTGCATGTGCGAGGTGCTGAATGTTCAGAAACAGCTAGAAATGTAAAAAAAAAATATGACGGAAAATAATGCTGTTTGTCAGAGATAAAAATGGGTTCTTCTTATATTTGATGCAATAGTGAGTTGACAGACTTGGAGCCTGATCTTTCAGGACTGGTTGTGGGTTGATTGTTGGGGGTCATTTGTGGTGGTGTTTTGGTTCCTGGCCGGTCCTCCTGCAGGCTGCTGTGTGGTCATCTCCAGCCGGAAGCTGGAGAGGCTGGAGAAAGCCGCTGAGGAGATGAGGGAGAAGATCCCCCCCTCCAGCCCGGCCAGGGTCAGCCTCCAGCCGTGCAACATCCGGGACGAGGACGAGGTGAGCGCGCCTTGCCGGCGACCTGTCCTGCCCCCCCCCTCCCTAACGGTGCGTCCCACCTGGAGCTGCAGGTGAAGGCCCTGGTGTCGTCCGTCCTGAAGCAGTTCGGCCGCATCGACTACCTGGTGAACAACGGCGGGGGCCAGTTCAGCAGCCCGGCCGAGCACATCTCCTCCAAGGGCTGGAAGGCCGTGGTGGACACCAACCTGACCGGAACCTTCCACTGCTGCAAGGAGGGTGAGCCGAGCGCCGGGCTCTGAACCCGTCTCCACGGCGACTAGAGCCACGCCTCTCTTTATCTCTCTCCTCAGTTTACGCGGCGTGGATGAAACAGAACGGAGGGGCCATCGTCAACATCATCGCCGACATGTGGAAAGGCTTCCCCGGCATGGCGTAAGTCCCTCCCACGCGTGGGCTCGGGATCGGGGTCGGAAGATGTCCCACTCTCTGCTTTTTCTCCTGACAGCCACACGGGAGCAGCCCGGGCAGCCGTGGACAACCTGACCAAGAGCCTGGCCATCGAGTGGGCGTCCTCCGGAGTGAGGGTCAACGCCGTGGCCCCTGTGGGTGCATATCACGAGCTGATGGTTTTCTGCAGGTTTTCGATTGGAGAAAAAAGTTGAAATAGTTGTTTTTTTTCCCTTTGCGTGAAGGGTACAATCTTTTCTAAAACTGCGATGGAGAACTATAAGGAGCTGGGACCGAACCTGTTCAAGAGGTCCATTCCCTTTAGCCCAGCGAAGAGACTGGGAGTGCCTGAAGAGGTGAGTAACCGCTTATAGGACACACATCAGTCCAGAAAACAGGGGCCTCCAAGTGACACACACAAAAATGATCATTTTAAAATATTAGCTGTCACATTTTAATGGCAGACTTTTTTTTTAATAATGTGAGTGTGTGGGCAGTGGTGTGGTGGCCTCACATCCAGACGGTTCTGGGTTCGAGTCCCGGGGGAACCAGAATCTTTCTGGGTGGAGTCTGCATGTTCTCCTGTGTCTGCATGGGTTCTCTCTGGGTTCTCCGGCATCCCCCCTCCGTCCAAAAACCTGCATGTTAGATTGATTGGACATTCCAAATTGCCCTTAGGAGTGAGTGTGTGTGGTTGTTGGTCCTTGTGTGTCTCTGTGTGGCTCTGTGATGGACTGGTACACCGTCCAGGATGACCCCGCCTCTCCCCATTGACCACTTGGATAGGCTCCAGTTCCCCCTGTGACCCCATTAGGGAATAAGCAGTTAGGATAATGGATGGATGGATGGAAGGATGGATGGATGGATGGATGGATGGATGTGAGGGGGTGTTCACTTGGTTACGAATGTGGTTTAACCAGTAGATGTCACAGTTTCCTGCACATTGGATCTCTACATTAGACTTTCTGATCTTAATGGGACTTGTTTTCTCCTATTTAAATGTTGTTTCTTTACTCAGATCTCCTCAACAGTCTGTTTCCTGCTCTCTCCGGCTGCCTCCTACATCTCCGGAGCCACCCTGAAGGTGGATGCTGGACAAAGTCTCTACCGCTCCATGTGGGAGATACCTGGTGTGTAACCCAGCCAACGCAGCTGCTCCTTTGTCTTTACAGTATGTGTGAGATGATAAACGGTGTGCTACACGGTGAAATGAATGGTTTGTGTGCAGATCACGAAGCATGGCCTGCTGCTCCGGAGGGCGAGAACCTGGAGGCTTTAAGGGAACTGCTCAAACCACCAAGCAAACTTTGATCTGAGACATTCAGATTCCACAAAAGCACAAATCAACCAGCAGGGTTTCATTGATATACAGCTGTACAGAGATGAGTAGAGCAGTCGGCAGTAACTTAGTTATAACGTGGGCTGTATGTGTGTAGAGTGATTCATTTCATAAAATGTATATTGTTTTGTGATCGATACCATTAGCATAAAGTTTAAAAGATAATATTTGTAACATTTAACGTAGAGATGTAATTTTTAACTCAGTGCCTTTTTTTTGTAAATCTATTCCAAATTATTTGTTAAAAATGCTTAATAAACGCGTATTGTAAAAAAGACAAATAACTCATTGAACATAAGTTTCCTAAAAATGATATCCAATCAAAGATAATGGTTCGGATCATTAGAAATGTATCATAGAAAAACAGCGGCCACATTTATATTTATATTAGATTACATACTTGCATTACATCCACAGATAAATGCATAAAACGTATAAGCCGACATACAGTATAAAAACACCCGAGATAAATTCGCGTACGTATTTTGTCCTTAACGCTCGCCGTAAAGTTACCGCAAACAGCTTCAATTGTCGTAGTACTTAATTCAGCTGCAGAGGTCACAACAAACCGCACAGGTACAGTGATGTGTTTACTAAACCCTACATTTCGATCGAATCTTTACATTACAATGACCACTGATGGATAAAGGGAATTACTTACTATCTAATTTACGTCTAGAAAGGTGTTGGAAGCCAGGAGTGCATTTGTGGAATCGTGTATTTATCTATAGCTAACGCTGCTAGCTTCGACATAGCTTCTGTCCACAGTGTGTCAGCTCTTGGTGATATTCATATATTACCACGTCTGGTTTAAGAATTGAAAAACACTACATTATAACATAACCATGGCATCATATACATCCATTTTTTATGCTACAGTAGTAGTCGTGTGATCGTTGAACTAGGGCAGTGCAAATCCAAACACATAAAAGTTTTACGACTAACAGTAAGTTAATTTTTCCTTTGACAAACGTGTTTTAGTAGCTGATTCTCAGCTATTGAGGACGACTTTTTATGCCATTACGTTCTATTTATTTGAGTAAATGAGTTCAAATATTTGCGTCAGAACGAACAAGCAGTTGAACTGGTTATGAATTGGCACTATTTGATGTCTTAAATTTTTGGTGAGCCGGTTTTATTAAACCTTGATGTGGGACCATCATCGAAGCAGCTTAAATTTGATAGCTTGTTCATATTTTTTTTATTATTGTGCTTTAAAAAAATCCTTTACATAAGTAAAAAGAGTGAGGATCATTTTTAAAAGTTAGTCATTTTTGGTTCTCTTAGATTATACTTAAAACTTAGTTTTTATTGGCCTGAAAAGCTTCAATTATTAAATCTGAATCACTGGTTCAGAATATTTCCTCAAAGGCAGATTGAGAAGAGATAATAAACTGATATGAGCTTTTTTTCATTAGCCTTTTCTGCAACTGTCTTTTTTTTTCTGGAAAGTTATTTTTTCCCACTTTAGATCTTGGTGTTCCTCGGCAAAAGACCTTTAGCATATTTGGGTTCCAGTCATGTTCTTCACCCTTGTCGCTTGGCAGTGAAGAGGATATCCATTACAAATAAGTTCAGGCTACAACAGGAGACCAAACTCCTTCCCTGCCTGCTGTAAAATAACAGCTTTGAAAAAATATTTAGATGTGTGAATTTATTGCATCAAACAATCCAAGATTTGTTTTTCCTCAGTACATTGGTCTCAATTTGAGGCTTGTGACAAAACATGACTAAACATGTCATGTTTAGTTTTTTTTTTTTTAAAAAGGACATCATAAAAAAGTAAAGTATGGTTTTATCTGTTGACTGAAACCACTCCTGAGCTGCATGTATGTATATGTTCTTTCAGAATGGGAGGCGACCACGGCCACAGCAAGATGTCCATGCCTGATTGGCGACAGTGGAAGGTGGAGGGAACGCCTCTGGAGTTCACACAGCAGAGACTGGCAGCCCGCGGCCTCAAGGACCCGTGGGCACGGTCAGTATTCACACATTCACATTTATTAGAAGCCCTGAAAAACTCTTGGTGTCTGAGTCTTCCCCCAATCTTTTTCTCTCTGCCTGCAGCAATGAGGCCTGGAGATACGCCGGAGGCTTCTCTCGCGCTGTGACTTTCTCAGAGGTCCTCCTGAGAGGATTCAAATGGGGCTTTGCTGCTTTCACTGTTGCTCTGGCCGTAGAGTACGCCCTTTTCCCTCCAAAGAAGGGCGGCCACTGAAACGCACCATTCTCCTTCAAACAAACACCATAACTAATTCAGTAATGATGTTTCTGTGTTTTCTGTAAATTAAATGTCTATTTGATGGTCATCTGTGTGTGTGTGTGCTTATTAAGAATGATTTTACACTTTAACTCCACACTTTGCATCGTGGTCTGTGGAACATTTGTAAACAAAGACAGGATCAAAAGAAGACCTTTATAACACCATCTCACTCCTGCTTCCTCTTCCTGCTCACTTTTCTGAAGCA